ATGCTCCTCAAAAGTTCTTCCCATAACCAATACATCGTCGAGGTAAACCAAGCACGTTTTCCAAGTTAATCCTCTTAACACCACCTCCATGAGACGTTCGAAAGTGGCTGGAGCATTGCATAATCCAAACGGCATGACCTTGAATTGGTATAGTCCGTTTCCTGTAGAAAAAGCCGTCTTTTCTTTGTCTTCCTCGTCCAGACCAACTTGCCAGTATCCGCTCTTTAAGTCGAGAGTGGAGAACCAGCACGAACCTGCCAGTGTGGTTAACGTGTCGTCTATACGTGGCAGTGGGTAGCTGTCCTTCTTAGTGACGTCATTGAGCTTCCGATAGTCCACGCAGAATCGTGCACTACCATCTTTCTTCGTCACCAAAACAACAGGAGATGACCATGGACTCGATGATTCTTCGATAACTCCATCTTCTAGCATCTTATCTACCATTGTCTCCATTTCTTGTTGTTTGGAAAGGGCACCCTCTAGGACGTTGTCAAATCGGCTGAGCATGACCAGTATTAATCCGGTGCTTCACAAAATCCGTTCTTCCACTGTTGTTCTTCTTAAAAATACTGCCATGCTTTAGCAGGAACTGCTTAGCCTTCTGTTTCTCCTCAGATGTTAGGTGATCCCATGGCTGCTCTAGATGTTTTAGTGTTTCTTTGGATGCCATTTGTGTAACAGCTGACGGCACTTTATCACATCGGGTGACACTTCTTACAGGTTCGCAGATGGCTATCTTGTCACCTTTTTGAATCTTGACACAATTCGGGAAAACATTCGCAATTCTGATCGGTATATTCTTGTCAGTGTTCACCAATGACTTTCCTACTAAGTACCTATCTTGTTTGTTGTCGCTACTTTGTACCAGTCCAACACAGCACCCAGTGATTTTCTCCACTTTACCGAATACGATCTTCTCGGTATTACCAGGTATCACCACAGTTTCTGCTGATCTTACATCCATTCTTCCTGGTCCCTCGGCTGGAGATAACAGGAACTCTTCGTTTCCGATATTTAGGATATTTCTTTGGTGATCGAACGAAAATCCATGTTGACGAATCACATCCATGCCCAAGATGAAGTCATCTTCAATAACCGCCACTAAAACGCTATGCTGGAACTTCAAATTTCCTAACTTCAGTTCGACGATAGCCTCTCCTCGTACAACGGCTATTTCCCCCGTGACTGTACGTAAACACACTCTTCTTCTCAGAGGTATCAGCTTCAACCCTTGCACTAAGTTAGCCCGTACCAACGATACCATAGCGCCAGTGTCCACTGTCATTCGGATTCTCCTACCATTGACCTTCCCGTCGATCACCAAACTGTCAGCGGTTCTTCCAGTGACTCCCTGACCAGTGCTTCGCTGCTGGTAGAAAATCGGGATATTTGCAGCGCCCTCTGCAATTCGTTGTCCCTCAGTCCGCTGATAAAACACTGAGCAGCGAGTTCCTCACTAAATCCTTCCGGTGCTTCTGGATATGCCAGGTGTACCAGCCGACGTAAGTCTGCTTCAAATTCCTGCAGACTCTCTCCGGACCTCTGCAAGCGTGTCTTGATCTGGGCCTGGGAAAGTTGACGTCGATGTTGGTCGCCATATCTTCTGTCCAGTGCAGCAACCAAAGTTTGGTATTCCTGCTGTTGGGCTGCAGGAATAGTTTGCAGCAGTTCCAGGGCAGGGCCCACGCGCGATGACAAGTGCCGCTGCTTTCTCCTGGTCGGTCCATCCGTTGGCAGCGGCGGCTGCTTCAAACTGGCGGTGGTACATAGTCCAGGTGGTTTGTCCATCGTAGGTTGGGGCCTTAAGGTTCGCAGTTCCTTGAACGCCAGATGTTCTTACTTGTGCCTTGGTCTTCTGTAGGTCCATCTCCAATCTTTCTATCTTCTGCTTAAGGCGTTCCTCAAGATCTTCTACGGCTTCTTGGAAGTGGTTCTGCTCTTCCTGGCAACGTACTTCCAACATTGCTTGTTGCTGTTCCCCCAAGCTTTTCTGAAGTCGAATTTCTTGATTTTCTAAAGTTTTCTTAAGACGGTCCTGATCTTCTTGTCTTTCTTTCTGGCGGCGCGTTTCTATATCTTCTAAAATTTCCCTCCATTCACTTTTCTGACGAATTTCTAAATTGCCTAAAATTTTCTCAAGCCGGTCCTGTTCTTCTTGTTGTCGTTGAATTTTCAAATCTTCAAAAATTTTCTCAAGCCGGTCCTGTTCTTCTTGACGGCGTAATTTTTCTTCGTCTTTTTCTTCTGCTTTCTCTCTTCTCATATTCTCCATAAAATCGCCCAATAATTGCTTACTTCCTCCATTATCTTCGCTTGCTCCCTTGTACAAACCATAAAAATACTCTGATTCGGTCTAAAAATCTTTCAATCCACTTAATTTCTTCTTAAAATCCTCTTGAATCGCACTTCCGACACCAATTGTTACGGATTCCGTGGGTCCACTATTTAAACTCACGATAAAATACTTAACGAATTTATTTGTTTCACTCTGTACACACAACTTATACTATTTACAACACAATTTATGCAACTAGTATTACTCTAACGGTATTTCGCGGTATTATTCAAACTTCAGACTATCTTCAGACTTGTCCAACTGTCAAAGCGCGGGCCTTATATACCCCCTGGCGATGGTTTCTGGAATTTTCTAAAGAATTCTATAATTTTCTTTTACTTTTTGGCGAATGCGCCAGGTTCCTCAATGCACGTTGCGATTATTTAGCAGTATGCAGTTATGCAACCAGTAATACACGTTGACATTACGTTAAATATACAAAAGGTACCGCAAAAAGTTAAATATAAAAATTATAGCGTTTTTAAATGTCTATTGGCGAGTAATAAATTTATGTATACAGAGTCGGTTATAAAGTCGTGGCACATCAAACTTTCATTTTTTTAAATAGAACCCCCTGTATATTATTGCATATTTCAAATCTTCCTTCAATTCTAAGCAAAAATCGAAATACACATAACGTACCTCAAACAAATCGTTTCCGAGTTATTGACTTATTTTGAACATATTACTTAAACAATTTGATTTAATTAATACCGATATGTTCAGTTTCATTTAATGATGTCATTCTGCCGAAACTGTGATACTGTTGTAATAGGTTTTTGAAATGCCTATTAGGTGTCATTACTCGCTAATAGATATTTAAAAATCCATACATAACAGCGATCCTGTATACACATTACACATTATATGAATAATTTCAAAGAAGAATAGGTGTTTTCCCCATAGATATTGGTTTCTAAATATATGATTGCATCGTATAGATCTTTTTAATCTATGAATGAACAATGAATGGACTCGACCTTTAAAAGTTCGAAAAAGTTGAAGGCTGCCGTCAGAGCAGGCTTGATTTTTTTGTATATTTCCTACCAACACATTTTTCACATTAAATTGTAGTTTGCGAAAGTAATTAAGAACGATTATCAGTTTTTTTTAATTAAATATTATATTTTTATGAATTGCTAGAAATAAATCAATTTATAAAACCACAAACGACGAATAGGCATATTTTCATTGGAAGAAAAATAAAAAATATATATAAATAACTAATAAAATATAGAAAATCGTTCATATTTCAATACCAAGTTTTATTTATATAAAATACATTTTTTGTCTTGATATACCTTCATGTTTTTTTATTATTTACCTATAACAAAGCATCAATAGAGTAGTCTAGTAATGCTCTATCATTACTATTTCTGACGGTGATTGTAGAGCAGTTTGCCACAAAAATAAATAAAGCTAAGTAACAATAATAAGGTAACTGCTTTTTATTAAACTAAAATATATGTATTGGGTCGTCCGAACTGTAATCCGGAAACTTCGGCAGCATATTCTGCAGATAAAAATAAGTAAAGAAGTTCGTATAAATGTATATCCTAAAATGCTTAGATTCGGAGATACAGGGTGTAGAAGTTTCATTTTTATTTTGAATTTTTCCAAATAATTTCTGAAATAAAGTCAATATTTTAATGAAAATTGGTGTCTGGGAGTTTTTCGATATGAGAAATTTGATTTTGATGTCCGTATGACTCCTACTTGTAGAGGGCGCCACCTACATATTTTTTAATTGGTTTGAAGAGCAATAACTTTTCGTCCATACCTGTATAAAACTGCCGAGTAGAAAAATATACACTTACGACGTTTTTTACGTAAAAAAGGTCTCTTTGGTAAAAATCGCTACGAGTAATAGGTCTTGAGATATTTGGAGAATCGAAATTATCAATACCTTTCATCATTGACATAAATTAAACATGTTGACTAATTAGTTATTAGACTGAAATCATAAATTTGATATGTTTTCGTGCCAAAAATTCAACAGAACCTGTTTCATCTTAATTTTTGTAAGAAAAATTTATGAGTAATTTAATCAAATAAAAAGTTCCCAAATTTATCACTTCCAGTGAAACAAATAACTACTAACAAAGCTACTCATGTTTATTTTTTGTCAATAATGATATGTATTAACTATTTCTGCTCTAAATATCTTGAGAACGATTGCTCGCAGCAATTTTTACCAAGATGCATTTTTTATACATGTCAAAATCAAATTTTTCATGTTAAAACTCCAAGACAACAATTTTCATCCAAATATATTAACGTTACTTCAAAAATTATTTCGAAAAAATCGAAATAAAAATGAAACTTCTACACCCTGTATCTCCGAAACTAAGCATTTTAGGACCTACATTTATACGAACTTATCTACTTATTTTTATCAGCAAAATATGTTGCCGCAGTTTCCAGAATACAGTTCGGACCACCCTGTATATTTAAAAGAATGATTTGTAGAGTATGACAAAAAAAAAACGACTGTGTATTAAAAGCGTGACCTGTCAAAGTTCACTTTTAATCATAGATATGTATTTTTTTTAAATTAAGTTTATTTTGCCCTTGCATTTATATATTTTACAGCAAAGAAGAGAAAGAATAATATTGGTGCATCATAAAAATAAAAACATTCAAATGTCACCTGGGAGAGACCTACCTATAGATGCACGATACTTAAATTTGTCCAAACTTAACAAAAAGACACTATAGCATTCAGTCACATTGCATTAAAAATAACCGTATAATAAGGTATATGCGTTTCGATTTGGGTCGTATTTTTGTCACCATCACACTGAAAAGCGATTTTCCACGTACGAATTGCACTTTCCCTGTGACAGACTGAAAATCGAACGCAAAACACAGAACAGAGCGCGCCGCGCCGCTATCACCGTCTGAAAACGGATTTCTGAAATTGCTCAGGCTTGGAGTCGACGCGACGCCAAGATATTCGAGCGGACAGGACCGGAATTACAGTATATTGTTTTATTAGGAGTAAAAATGGCGAGGGGGTACCTACCTATATTCTTGACCACTCGCATCTTCAAACATCGTTCGCATCTCCGAAAAAGCCATATAACAATACACGTGATGCGTACATACATACTGCCATTACTCGCTGACGAGTATTTGACAACAGGTATATTATGTATATATAAACATTCAACATGAATATCCTACTCGATTATTTTTTAGTAAAAAAGTATCAGTAAAGAAACGGTATTAAACACTCCAAGACATAGGAAAGACCCAAGAACGGTAAACTAATTATTTATTAGTAATTATTATTAATATATATTTATTATTAATTTTTTTTTATTATTATTTATATTATTTTTTTTATTATTATTATTAATTAGGTTAACTGTTCTTGGGAAAGACCAAAAAAAAAATCCTGAAGAAGCATAATACAATAAATGCGAAACGTCGTCGAAAAACTATTGTTTTAATCTATAACCATAGCCACCAGACCCAACTAAAAAAATAATTATTTTTTAATAAATATTTTAATATATTAAAAATGAGTTTTACTTATAGCATAATTCCTCTACTATAATAATTAAAAGAAAAAATAAACTCTTAGAGCTCTTATGGTGGGTTCATACAGCCAAATAAAATAAAATAAGAATAAAATAAAATAAAATAAGAAAGTTGGTTATATGGGATACCGTACATGCGTTCATACAGCCAAATAAAATAACAAATAAAATAAGAAGTCTTTATCTTTTAACTTCTTGTTTTATTTTATGTGAAAACGGCTTTGCGCACGCTTAATTCTAACCTACAAATATTTTCAGTTTGGATTTAATTTATTTTATAATTTCACATAAGTAAAATGTATAATATAGTAGGCAACGAATAAATAAATATACTACAAATAGTAAAATTACTATAAACAATCGTAAAAGTTAACTTTTATCCAGCCTCATCGTACTGCGCATGAGCAAATATATATTTCTTATTTTATTTTATTTGACTGTATGAACGCACACAAATAAGAATTCCTTATTTCTTATTTTATTTTATTCTTATTTTATTTTATTTGGCTGTATGAACCCACCATTATTAAATATAACAAGGAAAAATATAGAATAGCAGCCTAAAATATATAATGGCATACTAAAAATATAATCGCAATATAATATACCTATACGTTAAGAAATATATGAGTCTGAAAAATATACCTCATTTCTGTTCAAAATGAAATTTTCGATGACAAAAATGCGGCAAATTTGGTTGCCCCGTGCGAAATTTTCAACACTACAGAGAAACGCTGAATTTTGTTGACTCTAAGACTTTGACTTCGTTTTCGAAATTAAAACGCTAATAACTCTGTAATTAAAAATTAAAAGAGATATTGGGGCGCGCTTAGTGCCAATCGATAGGGAATTCAACCCTCCATCTGTACACAAAATTACAACCCCCTAGAACAACAAAAAAAAGAAACCACCTTTTATTTTTTAGGCCAAAAATTTTCCAAGGTTTTTTGCTCCAAAAAATAAAGTTTGTCCTAGGGGGTTGTAATTTTGTGTACAGATAGAGGGTTGAATTCTCTATCGAATGGCGCCAAGCGCGCCCTGATATTTTAATTAGTTTTTGAGTAATTAACGTTTTTCTAAATGAGTCTAACTGTTCGAGCTCGTTGGCCAACGATTTCCGATTTGATTCACTTGAAAAAAATATTTTTAAAAATGCGCACTTTTGGTGCTAGATGTGACTGTTTTAAGGTAAAAGAAATCAATCTCTATAAAATCTCATATGGTTTTAAACTACGAACGAGTGTATATCATATTAAATTGTATAATGTACTGAGGTACTGAATAATTATTGAGGGATCAGAAGACGGCATAAAAGTGAATGGCAGGCTGATTAACAACATGAGATATGCTGGTGATACCGTCGTTATTGCAGACACCACTGAGGGCCTGCAAAGACTTCTTGATAGACTGTCCTCGGTGGGCTACTCAATGGGTCTCAGGATAAATACAAACAAAACAAAAGTCATGGTGATAAATAGAGATGCAAGACAGGCAACGGAGGTAGTCGTAGGTGGGACACCAATAGCAAGAGTCTCAAAGTTTAGATATTTGGGCAGTTGGATTAGTGAAGACCTAAACCCAGACATTGAGATCAGAGCTCGAATTGAGATGGCTAGATCAAACTTCCTAAAATTGCGGAACCTACTGTGCGATAAACGTCTCAACATCCATATAAAAGACAACTTCGTCAAGTGCTACGTACTTTCCACACTTCTCTACGGGGTTGAGTCGTGGACACTCAAAGTAAGCGCAATGAATAAGTTGGAAGCATTTGAGATGTGGGTATATCGCAGAATGCTGAGAATACCACGGACTGACCGTGTCTCGAATGAACGAGTTCTAAACCAAATGAACAAGGACCGAGAACTCCTCGACATAATAAAAAAGAGGAAAGCAGACTATTTGGGCCATATCATGAGACATAGCAAGTATGAATTCCTTCAGCTCATCATCGAGGGTAAAATTGAGGGAAAGCGCGGACCCGGACGACGGCAATGCTCCTGGCTGAAGAACATCAGAGATTGGACAGGACTGGACTCACATACTTTGCTGAGAAGAGCGAAAAATAGAGAGGAATTTGCCATGGTTGTTGCCGATCTTCACTGAATGGAGAAGGCATTTTAAGAAGAAGAATGTACTGATATTAAAGGCGACTGATGAAAGAGTGTATATGGTATTAAAGGCGACTAGATTAATATTTATTAATATATTTTTTAATATTTTAATTTTTGTTTTGTCAACCAGTAATACACCAATATAACAGATATGTTGCCTAAAATTTTAAGATTATTCAAAGAAAAGGGTGTAAACTTTAAGTAATTTAAAACTTTAATACGATCACAGATAATATTTATTTTTTATTTGAAAAAGAATAGTTTGTAAATACAATTATCACAATTGATTATAAATTTATTGTTATATAGACATATTATACAGCCCAATTAGCATAAGTCCTTGGATTGCTCGTTGATTCTTCTATAGAATTTTCTTTCTGATGTATACCGGACGTTCATATTTCCAGTAACTTGCAAATATTTACACAGAAAAATATCTTTACAATCAAAAAACAGAAAAATTGTAAGTGCGACCTAACGACACGCTGCCTAACTGCCTAACTGCCTAACGGAAAATGGGGCATGTCAACATTGTCAGCTTGAACACATTTAAAATAGAATAATTTTTTGTTGCATAAATAATGATGTGACTGAAAGAAAATATATTATTTATTTTATCGAAACAAAGTTTGTGTTATATTTTTATTATATTTATCATTATTTTATAACTGTTCAATTCATTTTAGACTTAAAAAATATTGATTTAGATAATTTTCAGGATTTCGCTAATAACTTGGCAACCTGGGAAATAATTTAGTTCAAAATTTGTTCAATTTTTTCATAATGGCGCCACCAGCATTCTTCTTCTTTTTCGTATATCAGACCTTAAAAAAAAAAACACAGAATAAGAATAATTTTCTTCTTCTTTTTATATTAATGGTCCCAAAACACGGGCAACCACAGATGCGACATAGATTTTCTTCTTCTTTATTTTTATATGGCTTGAACCTATAGGTCATATTGCCAATCCAGATTATAATCTATGGATAATTATTAATTATTAAACAAAGACAAGACTACAAGACTATTGGTATGCAAATTATTCTTGTTTATTTTTCTAGTTCATGTTTTATTTAAAATCATTTTCAAACTCGATGGAGTCCAGAGGTTCGATTTGAACTCTTGTATGTTATATTTAAATATACCAATAGTTAATTAAAAGATTCTCAATTAAAATGAATACATTTTTGAAGTGTCGACTCTGTCTAGAAGAAACCAATAAATATGTGAATATTTTTATAGAGGATTTTGCCTATATGATCGAATTACTTACAGGATTAGAAGTATTTTTATTTACTTGCTGTGTGTATATTTCCTCTTAATGCCCAACATTCCAGGTTAGACATAGCGATGGCCTGCCTAAAATATCCTGCTTAGACTGTTATCGAGAAGTGAAATCGGCAATGTTGACTAGGTATCAGATTATACATTGCTATAAAGTTTTACTTGGCCAAATAAATAAATCAGCAATTAGTAATGCGAATAAAAATAAAACCATAAGCACAAGAAGTAGTTCTATCCATGAGACTCACAAATTATCGAATAAATGCACAGGAGATGAGAATATTTACTCTTTTTCTGATTGTGACAAATCAGAAGACAAATCTACTAATGAAGTCATTAAAGAAGTTGTTATGTTACAAGATACCCAGGAAATATCAAAGATCGCAAAACACAATGAAAAAGTATTAAAAAGTAAAATTCGTTTTAAGAGAAAGAAGAGAATATATCCTGTTCCTTCAAAACAAGATAATCTTCTGAAAATCCTTAAGCCAGAACACGTGGATTTTTTGAAAACAATAAATAGGAAAGAGAGGGTCGCCTGTCCTGTATGTTTTAAAGAAATATTTGGAATGAACATGAAAAATCATTTTATAACCCATAATTATGACCCAGTGATATGCGATACATGTGGAAAAAGGTCTAAAAATGCTCAAGTATAATGATTTATTTTTTTTTGTAAATAAATAATTTTTATTCAAGTAAACATTTCTAGGCATTACAAGATCATATAAATTATTATCACAAAACGACGCCAGATAGATTTGTATGTGATAAATGTGGAAGAGGTTTCCGAGTTAAATGTGCTCTAGATAAACATGAAAAGAAAGAACATGGCAGTGCCGAGAGGGCTTATAAATGTACCATATGCGGCAAGGGATTTTTTGAAAAAAGTAGTATAACTTATAGTCTACTAAAAAGGACAGGATTTTGTATTTTTTAAGTTTTTAGCACATTTAAAAAGTCACATCGATATAACCCACAACAAAGTCAAGCCGTTTAAATGTGAACACTGTGGTAAAGATTTCGGAAGGAGAACCCAATTCGTAACGCATCAGTTGGTGCATAGCAAAGAAAACAAGCATCACTGTCAGGTGTGTGGGAAAGGATTTAAAATTAAACAAACCATGCAAACACACCTGAAAGGAGTGCACGGTATAGAGGAAGAAAAAACGATATTTTGTAAAATTTGTCAAAAAGGATTTTCCTCACCTCAAGGTTTAAGAGCGCATATAAATTCAAGGGTGCACGGCCAGGAGAAATGTCAATATTGTTCCGAATACATAACTGTTGAATATAAAAGTATACATTTAAGAGATGTGCACAGTATAGAATAATAAGTAGCATTTCATATAAGTCCTAAAAGGGTTGTACCATTTATATTTCGTAAATAAAAGTTCTCAAACAGTAAAAACAGCTATAGCTTGATCTCTGTTTTTTCTTGATTTTTTTATACAAATTTGACTGTTTTGGTTAGATGCCATGGTTAGATGCAGATACACTGCAAGATAAACAATAAATGTAATATTTCCGCAGGAAGTTTTTTGTGTGTTTACCTACAGAAAAATCTCTAATGTAAAATAGGTAAGTTTTCATGTGACTTGTTTCAGTTATTCTAAAGTTAGAAAAAAGAAAACGATGCATTTCCGCAGAGAAATTTTTATGATTTTGTGTTTGGGGAGGCTTCTATACCGGATGCGTCTTAAAAGTGGCTCACCCCCTATAACTTTTTTATTTTTTCAGATAAAAAAACGAGATTTGGTATGTTAGTATCTGACATAAATTAGGATTGACTGACGTATTCAATTATTTTCGGTCACTTCCTGTTTCACCGGAAATGACTATAGCTTTTGATTTTTAAATGGCACCCTCCGTATTTTTTTACTTTATTCGATAGAAAATGACACTCTGAATGAATGACATATCACATGTCAACTTTTGACATTTTTGCATATGATTTATTTGAAATTATAACTTCGGTGTAACATAGATAGATTTTTTTAGGAAATTTTATGCTCTACAAGAATCCGCGATTTAATTTTTTTATCGTAAACCGTTTCAAAGTTATGGTACATTTAATGGAAAAAGATTTTTACGTGTTATATAAATGGAAAACTTTGAATGTCCACCGACACTTTTTTAAATTGAGCTAAAAATAACAGATAAATAAAAATAATTGAGACATATGAGTACCTATCTGCAAACCTTATTTCTGAATGTTTAACAATGTGATCGAATATTTCATAAAATAAAATTCGCAAAGATATTTGACTCAGGGCCGTATCTAGACCAAAATTTCGGGGTTTGGCTTGGAGGGGGTGTACAAAAGCTGTTAGGAAAAAAGCATAATAAAAAAATCGCTTTGGGCTACACTCAAATCTTAATTGAAAATAAAATTTTAAAAAAGTAACAGGTAAAAATTATTAATCTTAAAGGATAAACTGGGTCTTTTCCCTTGAAAAACGATTGGCTACCTCTTCGATATCGATATTTATTTCTCTATGTACGTTTAATAGAGCAAGTCCTGTCAATCGCTCCTGACCTGTAGAGTTACGTAGGGAGTCCTTCAATCGTCTTATACCGTAACCGCACATGCGGCATTTAGCGAACTCCGAGCGCTCGTCAACTACCGAACGCTCGTCAACTACCGAACGCTCGTGATCGGACTTCGCCTTTCCATCCACACATGCGGGCTCTGATAGCAACAACATAGAGACGAGCGCTCGTTCTCGTCGCCGATTGGGTCGCCGAACTCCGACTTCCTCATCCGCACACATAGGAAATCGGCGAAGCCCCGATCGGAGATCGCCGAATACCGCATAATTGCAGCATTAGAGTTGAAAAAGACCTTTCTCGTGTAGCTGTTGACACTTGTAGAGTTGCTAGGATCATTAATAAAATGTATATATTTGGAAATATTACACTCCGATTATCGTTTCGATGGCATTTTAGGTCGGTCGACTGCAGGTAGCTGCTTCCATTTTTGCCGCCACAAGTCTAGTTCTGCCGCTAAAGTGTCATAGTCCAAGAATTCTTTGTCTAATAGCAGAACAATAACAAACATTAATCGCGTTAATGACCAGCAAAACACACAACATTCAAAAGCTTGTCCTTGTCAAACTTTTGCTGTTTTAAACACTTGAATGTTGAAAGTCGAAAATCGAAAATGACATGGAAAAGTGAGGTTAGGGTGTATAATGTATATTTATCAATGACTAAAGAATACAAGGACAAATAGCACCCGAGCCCAAACTGTGACCATCCTTCCAAACAGTGCCGTGGCACATATTTTACTTAACATTGCCGCTTGAAGGGATATTTATATTTTTGATATTATGTTTTCACTACGCCTATGGTGTATCGGGTGGTATCATACTGATTAATTACGAAAAAAACGTATTAAAATGTTAACAAAAGGTACATAACTAGTATCGACGTATAGTACATATCAAGTACATATAATATCAGAAAAATAATTATCGAATTCAATAAAAAAACGCTAAAAAGGTGTAGGGGACTGTTAATTTCCCTATAAAACGTAACTTCTGGCTCTTTCTTATCATTGCGCCTTTTACACTTGAAAGCTGAACAAATTACCATTGTAATAAAGTTTATACAAAGTTCACTACACACAACCAACTATTAAAAATCGCTAAAATTGTCGTTGATGGCCCGTATGGGCGTTACATGTCCTTGTATTCTTTAGTCATTGATATTCATCCATCTTCTTCTTCTTCTTTTTTGTTTCGTTCTTACTTACTTACTTAATGATCATTACTTTTTAAAAATTTTCGGCCATAATTTCGGGGGGGGTTTGAACCCCCAAAACACCCCCCCAGATACGGCCCTGATTTGACTTGTCGCTTTTATTAACATATCGAATTGAAATAGCACAGAGACTTTTCTGTAATATCTGTTGTATCGTCTTCTTGCACCGAATAAAATAACGCGCTTTTTTATTTCGGATTCTTTTATTTCTGTGGCGTGTTCTGAAATACAACCGGTTATATCATTTTTAATAATTTCGAACAAGCCTGAAAAATGTTTCCAATTTGCTTTAAACGTTTTAGGAATTTTCATATAAAAGTTTTAAATGCTACGTATAATGAATCATATGAAATATCCCCTTAACGAAATGTGATATATCTCCTTATGAAATATCCGGAATATCCCCTTAACATCTAAGCCTACCGAGCCTCCAGGGCTTCATGCGAAGGCGACCGGAGATTTCGCCTAACATGATACAACTCCGACTTACGTCGCGTCGCTACCGCACGATGGGTTAGACAGAGACAGAAGACTGCCGTACGTCGTGCATCGACTCTGATAGTAGGCGATGTAGAAATCGTCGAACAAAGGCACTCCAACGGTCAAAATTATTTTGTTTTCTAACGCAGCGGCACAGTCAGCGGTCAGCGTACGCTAGCGGTAGTGAATATGTTAATATACAAAACCACAAATATTAAAATAATATTGATTATTAAAACACACTTCCGTGTATTAACAGTATTTTTATGTATTGGCAACATTAATAGTAAATAATGTAATGTACAGTTTGACAAATATAGGAAGAGACTTGGGGATAGCACCGGTCGCGCACACGATAGAGAGAGAACGCATTCGGCGGAAGAGAGATGGAGTTACGCTACGAAAAATCTGATTCAAGCAAATTTGTGGGCTGTCCACTGCGCATCGAGGGGCGTCTCTTATTTCATATTTCTCACGTCTCTAGCTATACTTGTTAAGTTGTAATAAATCGCTTAAATTCTGCCAAAATCTTAGGGTAGGCGCCGCCTACCTTGTCTATCCTGACGAGCCGCCACTGAAAGTGACACAGTAAATTATCACTAAATATGTACAATCCTCAACATTTATTTATTTATTTTTTCCATATAAAATAACAAGGAAACCAATGCCGTATCCTTTTTCAGAATGCATTTCTATAATAACATAGTTATGTCCTAAACCTCCATTTTTAACAAAGGCTTTACCTCCGCCTTTACCGAATTGCCTATTATATTCGTTCAGGGCCTTTATACAGTAAATTTTCTGGTCTCCGTACCACGAAGCTGTTGCGTTTCTCGTTATAAAAGGAATATCGGTTTTTTCGATCATTTTATGAAAAACCATGTCAGAGTCCTTAGCATTTTTGCAGTTGCCCGATACTATTTCAGTGTGTTCCTTGGGTTTTTCTTGTGAGTATTTTAAATAAACACAAATCAGCAGTACAATAGAAAACTTCATCACAACATTCTATTAAATAATTATTCCATAATAATTCGTAAATTTGATTTGAACCTTGTCAATTTTGACAAGGAAGATTGAAAAACGTTTTATATTATTTTATTATATAAATGTTTCAGTTATTTCAAATTTAGAAGACAATAAGTTCATTAAAACTTTAGAAAAGTTAGAAAAATTATTGTAAATGAGATGGAAAATCATATTCAGCTATATGAATACAATCTCTATTATACAGGGTGGTCCGAACTGTATTTCGGAAACTTTGACAGCATATTCTGCAGATAAAAATAAGTCAAAAAGTTCGTATAAATGATTGTTCTAAAATGTTTACTTTCGGAGATACAGGGTGTAGAAGTTTCATTTTTATTTCGATTTTTTCCAAATAATTTCTGAAGTAACGTCAATATTTGGATGAAAATTGGTGCCTGGGAGTTTTTTGACATGAGAAATTTGATTTTGATGTCAATATGACTCCTACTTAGAGGGCGCCACCACTGATTTGAAGAGTAATAACGTTTCGTCCGTACCTGTATAAAACTACCGAGTGAAAAAATATACATTTCCGTGATTTTTTACGTAAAAAATGTCTCTTGAAAAATCGCTGAGCAACAATACGTGTCATTATTGGCAAAAAATAATACATGTCGAGTAGATAGTTATTTGACCAAAACGATAAATTTGAATTTTTTTTAAATTAATCAAAATTTTTCCTTGGAAAAAGTGATGATAAAACAGTTTCTGTTGAACTTTTGGCACAAAAACATTTCAAATTTATGGTTTCAGCAGAGTACCTAAACCGACGAGTAGTGACAGTCCCGTTTTCAATTTTCTTTGCGGCTGCGCGAAATAAGTAGGTTATCTGTCATACGAAGAAGCGAAGTTGCCACTGTTGCCATTTATCAAATATCTCTATATACTTTATTTCAAGTATACCTCAGGCAACGAATCGTTTTTTTAATTATTTATCAGTAGTAAGATATTTTATACATTCAAATTTAGAAATAAGGATAAAACAAAGCAAAAAAGATATGTATAAAACTTTATAATTAATTCCACTTCAAATTGTGAGCAGTGTATATCATGTTTATAGGACCACTTCATAAGTTGAGCAGTTAAATACGTAGTCTATCTGTCAAACACGTCAAAAGAGAGAGAAAGAAAATTTGGTCCCACCACATCAAAAGAGCCGACGGTTTCTGTCGCTACTCGGCGATCTACGTACTCTGGTTTCAGTCTAATAAGTATTTAGTCAACATGTTTAATTTATGTCAATGATAACAGGTATTGATAATATCGATTCCAAATATCTCGAGAACCATATTACTCGTAGCGCTTTTTACCAAGAGACATTTTTTAAGTAAAAAACATCGTAAATGTATATTTTTTTTACTCAGTAGTCCTATACAAATACAGACGAAAAGTTATTACACTTCAAACCAGTTAAAAAACATGTAGGTGGTGTCCTCTAAAAGTAAGAGTCATACTGACATCAAAACCAAATTTCTCATGTCAAAAAACTCCCAGACACCAGTTTTCATCCATATATTGCCGCTACTTCAGAAATTATTTGGAAAAAATTCGAATTAAAAATGAAACTTCTACACCCTGTATCTCGGCAACTAAGCATTTTAGGACATACATTTATATGAACTTTTTTACTTATTTTTATCTGCAGAATATGCAGCCGAAGTTTCCGGAATACAGTTTGGACCACCCTGTATTTGCTATAGTTAGTATCAGAGTAAGTAAATCGACGAGTAGCGACAGTCCCGTTTTCAATTTTCTTTGCGGCTGCGCGAAATAAGTAGGTTATGTGTCATATGAAGAAGTTGCCACTGTTGCCATTTATCAAATATCTCTATATACTTTATTTCAAGTATACCTCAGGCAACGAATCGTTTTTTTAATTATTTATTAGCTGTAAGATATTTTATACATTCAAATTTAGAAATAAGGATAAAACAAAACAAAAAAATATGTATAAAACTTTAATTAATTCCACTTCAAATTATGAGCAGTGTATACCATGTTTATAGGACCACTTCATAAGTTGAGCAGTTAAATACGTAGTCTATCTGTCAAACACGTCAAAAGAGAGAAAGAAAATTTGGTCCCACCACATCAAAAGAGCCGACGGTTTCTGTCGCTACTCGGCGATCTACTTACTCTGTTAGTATAATGAAAATTGTATGTAAAAAAAGTTATAATCAATATTATTACAAATATCTTTTAAGAGCAGAAGTAGAATGAGTATCATCGCGACCTTAAAGATCTATTGTGTCCCCCTTCCTTGAGTTATAACTCATCACAGTCGTTACTCATCATACATGGGGAGTTTCCTGTTGTAGAGGGGACGGGGTATTTCCCATCCTCCTCTGACAACTGTTCATCCTCCGAAGAGTGGACATCCACCTCCTACGAGGGTATACACCCTTCCACGCTTGGGGTTGCGCCCTCCGTGCTTGTCTCCGGCTTCGGTACCCTTGAGGTATCCATTTTCTCCACACAGTCGATTAAAAAAAATAATTTATGGCGTTTTGCACCTAGGCACCTACCTTTGGTGTGGTATTAAGAAAAAAAAACTAGAAATAATATTTTTATTGAGTTCTGGTGCTCCGTATAAATAACCGATGCGGAAAATAATTTACAAATAAACAAAAGTACATAATCAATATCACGTTTGAAAACAATACTTAATAAAAAAGAAAGAGCACAAAGAACAAAAATGCGCGACGCTTAACTGGTATGTAGTTTAACAACCAATGCTAATAAAAATACTATATACGATATCTCAATATATATATACGCATACTGATTCCTAGTAACCTATATTTCATTACAAGTAATTAAAAGTACATTTTATCATAATATAAACTCTCAAATATACACAATTTTGATTTAAAAACGTCTTTTTCAATAAAAATCCGAACTTAAAGAACACGTTTATTTCACTGTGCACACATATTTTTTATTTTAAAACTGTGTTCTATGCAGTCTATGTCTGACCATAATGTACGCACCTCCTTAAACAGCTGAAACAATAAGAATTATAAGACAGTCCAACGACTTTAAATAACACTGAAAATATTTTTCAATAATATTTATCTATTTTTTATCATTAACACATTTACACAAAGTGTACTTGGATCAAGTCAACTAGATGAGAGCCATTCTTTGAGCCCAGCTCAACTAGAGTTGCCATTTTAATATACTTACGCTGTTTTATCAAAGCTTCTTAGTATCCAAGTAAGTTGCCAGCCACCTACAGTTATATGGAAGCATCCGAGTGTACTTGATCCAAATACAGGGTGTCCCAGAAAAAAGTGCAAGTATTTTAAGGGGTGGTAGATCTCGATAAAAGAAACATATTTTCTCTTTATCGTTTTTGAAATAAGTCCAAAATAACGGAATTATTTTACTTTGAAAATTTCCATTTTTTTGCTAAAATTTAAGAACCACTGGATCTTTTCTGGATTTTCTTTCTTGTAAATTTAATCTAATACCTATGTTGCCATATTATCAAGAAATTATGTTTTTTAACTAAAAACTAAAAAAAATTCCGAATATTATTTTTTCTGCGAAAAAAACCTCATAGGTGTGTTTCTGGGGTTGAACTATACTACCAGTTAAAATACTTGCACTTATTTCTGGGACACCCTGTATATTTCTTCTATTATCTAGTAATTCTTATAACATAATTCTTACCTGATTAAGCCAATTTTCGTCGGCTAAAAGTTCGTTTAATATACAAGTGGTATCCTTGGTCGGCTCCGACGTACGTTTCTCGCCGACCCGCTTTGCACATTCTATATACATAAGGTATTTCTGATGAATAACCTTGTTGGCAAGCTCTACGCGACTTGCACATATTCTACACAAAAAGAAGTCCTAAAACAAGAATATATTTCTGCATATACGTCAAACATGAACATTTCTAAAAAAAAACAATCGAAATATATAAAACTAGAACGTTGAACAAACTATAGATGTAAATTCCAATTCTGAACTTTTATCTTCGACTTTATTCAATATCTTGTCACCTAATCCAACTTTTTAATAATTTTTTAAGCTTGATTTTTCGTGCATCCGTTGTCCGACGATACGATAAGATATTACTTTTATTGGTTGCATTTAAGACTTCGATTGGTTAGAAAATTACGCAGTTTTTAAATTTATTACATTTTCATGCCTCCGTTCATCGGATATACGATTTGCTTGTGATTGGTGTCATTTTACATTTTCATTTCCATAACGATTTCGCTGTTTTACTTATAGTCTAAGACCTAGAAACGTTTTCGAGAGAGAATTTTAGGAAAGCTGATTCTTTTATAAGATCTTTTGCTATGCTCTCCTGAACACAGTGCGGACCGTCTGGCTGCCGTTAGACGTTGCGTTCACTACTGCGCATCATATCTGTAGTAAACATCAGTTCACTACTGCGCATCACAAATTCGCCCTGTATTTACGGAACTAAGGAGGCTAGGACAAACCCATGTGTAGTATATTTAGTTTCATATAAAAGTAGCTAAGTAATGTGAAAATCGCATCATTGTATCTCTACTCGTAAACGAGAAATCCCACAAAACACACGAAAATGGGATACCCTGTACAGATGTGATGCGCAGTAGTCTACCGGCAGTCAGACGGCCCGCACTTCGGTGAGTGAATGAAAAGTATCGTGAAAACTACACACATAGCCAAAATTATTGCATATAACGATATTTTTATTTTATTTTGGACCTAATATGATTCTTTTTATTTTTTTTTGGACATATTGGCTTACTACACGACTAACTAATATAAAATTAAAAATCTAAGTGCAACTAGGCTGTTATTACAATTTTATTTCATAATGAGTGAAAATCAACAAAAACAAATTTCATTTTAAAGAGAAAATATTGAAAACAATTTTAATTATTTCTCGCAACTAATAGTCTGTATTGCCTCCTCGAGCCTCAATGCAAGCGGGGAGACGACGTGGCATGCTCTCAATTAAGTTGTCCAGAAGATGTTGAGGAATGGCTTTCCATGTTTCGCGCGCAGCAATTTTCAATTCATTTAAGGTACGGGGGGGGGATCATTCCTTTTGGCAATATGGCGTTTTAGCATGTCCCAAGCATGCTCGATAACATTCATGTCTGGAGACATCGGTGGCCACCACAGTTTTCTTATACTCTCTTCCTCATAAAATTCGCGAATCGCTTAAGTGCGATGGGGAGGAGCATTATCGTCGCATAATTTTATACTGTAAATTAAGCTTCGGAACTCGTAGAGGCCTCCTTAAATGTAATCCTCTGACACGGAGTCTTCTTGCTTTTATACTCTCTTCCTCATAAAATTCGCGAATCGCTTAAGTGCGATGGGGAGGAGCATTATCGTCCATGTAAACAAATTCATCCCCCACTGCCCCTCAAAATGCGTCCATTTCAATAGGCTCTAAAATATCTCTAAGATATGAGGCACCTATCATTGTGCCATCAATAAAACAAGAGGAGTTCGAGCTCCGTGCTGCCCATACCATAATGCTTCCCCCTTGAAACGGGACACGGGGTTGAGCTGCATTCAAGCGTGCTCGTCTTCCAGATGCTCTCCAGACAGGTCGTCGCGAGTCTGACACTAGGCCTATTCTTGTTTCATCATTAAACATGACGAAATTCCAATTAGGTCCATTTGCTCTCATCTCCTCATCCCATTGTAGTCGCGTAATTTTATACTGTAAATTAAGCTTCGGAACTCGTAGAGGCCTCCTTAAATGTAATCCTCTGACATGGAGTCTTCTTGCTTTGGTCTTTCTTGAAACATTTACTCCTTCAAGGCGAGCTAACTCATTTTTAATAGCAGTACTAGAAAGCAGGGGATTGCGTCGTTTAATTAGGAATATTTGACGATCTTGCACAGCAGTAGTAATTATCTTTCATCTTTCTATCTCTTCCAAGCCGGTTTGTAGCCTCGTTTGTCTTCCTGAATTTTTTTAATATTCGCGAAACATCGCTTTGGTTAACTCCTACAATTTTAGCTATTGCAACTTGCCGGTAGCTCTGCTGAGACAGTTTTACTATTCTGACTATATTAAACTGTGAAATAATGTTTCTAGACATTTTAAGGCCAAAACAATGGTCAAATTTCTTCTGAAACCCAAGAGACTACAAATCGAAATGTGCAAGAATTTGTAATAATATTGGGTCTGAACGATAAACATTGTTTACTATATCCATTTTGACAAAAAAAAATTATTACAGATTATCAAAGTTATGTATAAAAAAAGATTCTTTAAATTCCTTTCTGTATATTTTTAAACAATATATGCAATAATTTTAGCCATGTGACCAATCAGAGCGCCGTCGGACCATCGTATCAAAGGATAACGGACGCATGAAAATCAAGCTTTATTAAGCCATAAAATAATATCTATTATATCTAGCTAAATAACTAGAAAAACTGTAGTTAACGCAACTGTTGTTGCATACCTTTTCGTTTATGGCATTGGGATCCGGCTGGCAACCCTCCAACGTGGTTGCGTTGTAGGGCTGGCCATACATAATCACTCGAACGGCAACGTTGCTCTTTCCGCAAGCCGAGCAACTCCGAGTCTGGCCGTCGGACGGGCCGATTTCTCGGAGCACGTTGAAGCAGGGCCACGTACACACCGCGGCCTGCAAGTTGGACGGCCACACGAGTAGATTTAGCAATTTCTGCTTTTTGCTATCCGTGATTTCGTCTATCGTTTGGACGTTGCTCAAGAAGTACTCATCTAGAAAATAAACGTATATCTGTTAGCTTCCTTATAGCTATATAGGGTAGAGGTAAGAAGAACCATATCTTATGGGACTATCTAATAGAAGGCGCTGGTTCTCTGAACTGTTGAAAAGCTGCTATAATTATTGTTCATTATTTCAGTTTAAAAAAGGTATGTGTTTTTTCTGTATTCCGGAAACTTCGGCAACATATTCCGCAGATAAAAATAAGTAAAAAAGTTTGTATAAATGTTGTCCTAAAATGCTTAGTTTCGAAGATACAGGGTGTAGAGTTTCATTTTTATTTCGATTTTTTCAAAATAATTTCTGAAGTAACGTCAATATCTGGATGAAAATTGGTGTCTGGGAATTTTTTGACATGAGAAATTTGATTTTGATGTCAATAGGACTCTTACTTGTAGAGGGCGCCAGCCAAATATTTTTAACTGGTTTTAAGAGAATAACTTATCGTCCGTACCTGTATAAAACTACTGCGTGAAAAAATATACATTTGCGTGATTTTTTACGTAAAAAATGTCTCTTGGTAAAAATCGCTACGAGCAATGGTTCTCGAGATATTTGGAATCGAAATTATCAATTTTGCGAAAAAAATTATGACTAATTTAAAAAAATAAAAAGTTCTTAAATTTAACATTTCAGTCAAATAACTATCTACTCAACATATGTTTATTTTTTGTCAATATCGACTATCGAAAAAAATTTAAATATCTTGAGAATGGTTGAATGTAGCGATTTTTACAAAGACATTTTTTACATAGAAAATCACAAAATGTATATTTTTTCACTCAGTAGTTTCATATAGGTACAGACAAAAAAATAGTTATTACTCTTCAAAACAGTTAAAACACACGTAGGTGGTGCCCCGTACAAAATTAAACGCGTAACATTGACATTAAAATCTAATTTCTCATGTCAAAAAGCTCCCAGACACCAAATTTCATCCAAATATGAATTAAAAATAAAACTTCTACACCCTGTATCTCTAAAATTAAGCATTTTAGGACATACATTTATACGAACTTTTTTACTTATTTTTATCTGCAGAATATGCTACTAGAGTTTCCGGAATACAGTTCGGACCACCCTGTATAGTAGACGTATACAACACCATACTTAATAGTAATCTACAACGATTAAAAAATCTACAGGGAATAAAATTAATTTAAGTATTTATCTTTGTAGAAATTTAAAATTCTTGCTCTCCAAGCACTATAAACAAATTTCCGAAAACCGAAAAAGTTAGTTAAGTTATCTAATATTTTCCGAAAACTGTCAAGAAAAATATAAAATTTTCAACATTTTTTTTAGCAAAAAACCTTCTGGTTTTGAACTATACTACCAGTTAAAATACTTATAACTTTGTTTACCTTTTTCCTGGAATATTTCTTGTAAGAAATTGCTGTCGAGTGCCTGTGAGATCAGGGTCTGTATATACACTTCAAAATTGTCCTGATAACTTTCGTACTGCTTGACGAACTGTTCATGAACTTTCGGATCGATTATCGTCATCTCTTCTTTTAGGAATTCAACGACAGTTTCTAACTGACTCTGAGACTTGTATTTCACCGGGACAGATACATATTGCTTTTTATTTTCACTAGTCCATGATGTATACTATAATAAAATTATTATAAGTTCAATAAACAAAAAAAAGTATAATAATATACCGTAGAAATGTTCCTATAAAGCGTAACGCCGTTTTGTTCAAACGGTTCATATCTTTGCAAGAGAGTTTTTCCATCCACTCGCCAGATTGCTGGCCAGTCATGCACCAGTTCAGATTTGATAGCAACAAACTCGCCAGTCTAAAAATATCGTTATAAACAAACGTTATTAGTATCTACAAAAAAAAATAACTACTGCCTGTTCAGCGACTGTTCAACGCTACGTCATCATTACTTGTCAAATACCTAGATCGTATATACTTACGTGGATAAATCAACGCTATAAGTTTAGCATTAAAAAATATGTCTCCAACATCACATGCCATTTTCAAACCTTCTTTATTGCACTTATGAAACGTTCAATAGGTTTGTCTTTTCCGAGGACCTTACTTTGCGCATGCGCTTTAAAAGTAGCCACGTATTTCCAATATAATCATAATTTTATATGGTTTAGAGAGTACAATACTTGTTATTGAAACCAACTTTTCATTGTCATAATCATATATCAATCTTATTTCCATTGTGTAACGACGCTGGTTTTTTGCGTTTTTTATTTTAAAAATTGTATTAACAACTCTTTTATCGACCGCTTTTATATAAAGGTTCCCGAATTATCTTTTCATAGACAAGTAAAGTATTCAATTGTTCTTTTATTTATATTAAACCACATGGATACTTTCTGGTTATATTTCCTAAAAATATTGATATTTGTATGGAGTGTCTAAATGTATTTTTTATATAATTTAATTTTTGTTACAGTAAACATTCAATTTATTGTTCAAATATAAGCATTTTACAAATTAAATTTTTAAAATTAATGTTCAAATTTAGCGCGTAGACGATAGGCCCTCGACAAGGATAGATAGAGTAGAAGCACAGCGTGTGCAACAAAAAAGAAGATAAATGGAAGTTGTTATGTTTGCGACAGTTTCCGTAGTGATTTACTTATCCACGTAAGTATATATGATCTAGAGTCAAATATGCGTTTTAGGGTGTGTCTGAGATCAGTTCATATTTAGAAAATTTTAAGTACGTTCCGAAATTTTTAATTGAGCGAGTTCCGTTTTTATTAAAATGTTAGGGCATTATTTTAACTGTCTTTAAATTTACATCTTAACCGCCTATACCAGTTTTTTTCAGGTAAATTGTAACTATTTTATAAATAAACTTATGAAAAAAAAATGAGATTCTATGCAATAATTTGATACTTTAGAAGTTCAAAATGTCTAAAATAATTAAATATACAGGATGTTCCTTAATGACATGCTAATATTTAAGGAGACGATTCTTGAACCTATTCTAAGAAAAAAAAAACCTCATATGAATATATGCCCTAAACAGCTTAACTTTTTAGATACAGGGTGGTAAAAACCAAACCAAAGCAAAAAAAATGTTTCATTTCTTAATTTCCTTCCAGCCGACGCAGAAATTATTTCCACATAACAGCCACCGCATCATATTTTCAGCGATTTGACCCTGAAATAAACTGACTTTAATTTTTTAAGCAAAAACTATGCGTCGCGTCGGACGAAAAAGTCAAGAGACAAAAAATGTTTAGAAATGAATGGAGATTTTGAAAATAATTTTTATTTTAAGAGAAGCTGAGAGAGTTCGACAATATATGACGTGACGCTGAACGATTGTTGAACATTCTATATAATTTTTACTTTGAAAGGATTGTCATCAATAGCCGTGGAAAAGCTGTTTTGCATCGAGGCCGCTATGTTATCCTCTAACGTGGGTACCGCTTGTTTATTCTTGTGATTCGACTTCTTTTTGCTGTGATGTTCCACGGGCATCGGTCCCAGACCATCTGCGTCATTAATACCTGCCCCCTGAGCCGCGGCCGCTATCAGGTTCTTCATGGATTTTTTGTTTTTGGTACCTCCTTGAAAAATAAAGTTCCCTTGTATGAAAAAATTTAATAAACATAGGTTTGGTGCATTTCAGTGTTGATTTCAACAAATTTCGACCGCAGCGTTTCAACGACAAAAATCAGAAATGATCAGTATATAGTTCACGCAGCCGTCATGTTGATCGCATTAAAATAATATTGAAATCGTCGTTTTGTCATAATATTTAAGTATTTTAGTTTTTTGCTGGTGTAGGTATTGAGACTATAAAATACTCAGGTACGAGGTTTGTGCGATGTAAAGGTGTTTCGGGTAGTAAAAAATATGTGAAAAAGAATTCGAACTAGGCGTCGTGTTGTGTTGTGACAATTTCAAATGTTAATAAAATCGCCTAAAAAAATGGTAACGCGTAAATGAGAGCGTAATTAAGGAATTGTTAGGTGCAATAACATTCAATAACTTTCCCGGATATTCAGCTCTCCCGAAACAACATTTTATAGCTTTATAGTTTCTCACACCGATTTGATCAATAGTAATAATGGATTCAAGCAGTTCGACGAAACAAGTGAGTAAACAAAGTGCTCATTACATAATCAAAAAATTAAATAGACATATACTATGAGAGGATAAAATATAATTTGCAATATTAATGGTATACTTTTTTTAATCAACTAAAAAATATTTTATGAACATCTTCAAAAATTATAATTATGTATATTTAAAAAATTTCGTTATAACCGAAATAGTCCCAATTATGCTCCACTAGCAAAACCGGTGATTAAAACCATGCTCGCTACCGTAGTTGAACTCATCTAAAAAGTTTTTTTAACTGGAATAATAAATTATAATATAAGTTAGATCTTCTAAAGATATCATAATATTTATTTTTTATTTCTATTTTTAGAATTTTCACAAATTATACTTCATAACACTTTTAGAACAATTAAATAATAAGTTTTTCGTATAATACTCGCTATTTAAACCTGTGTATTTGTAAGTACGAGTTGTTTGCGATATTCTCCGATGGTGGCAGCACCGGCGGAGAATGCACCAAGCCTGTAACTAAGCCGACATACCTGGTCGCCCTCTGCTTTTTTTCTTCATAGGTAGCAAGTCTTCTTCGTCGACGCTGGCAGCTGGGGTCCAGGCCGGATCGGAGTCTTCCGAGTCCTGGAATTCGGGCGGTTCTTCGGGCTCGTTTTCGTCCTTGATGATGTCGGACAGGTTGTTCTTCCCTTTCGCGGCCCGCTTAGTTTGTTCGCGTTTAGGTACGTCTTCTAATTTTACTGAAAAAAAAAAATAAAATCTACATATATAAAATGCTAATGTTTATCTGTGTCGTCTCTACTGAAGTAACGGCTTGCTCTAAAAAGTTGCTTTTTATTGCTTACTAAAAGATAGCTAATTGGCTCTTCTAAAAACTGCCATCGCCGGATTTTTTGTTTTTCATTTAATTAAAAAAAAAATAAAAAGTATTTTTTTCCTTACGTCGCGTCGCGTCGTGGCGGATGCGCCAGGCTTCAGCTATTAAGTTTGAAATGGCTTAGAAATTATAAATTTTATATTAAAAATCACTAATCAGTTTTAACAATAAGCTGAACCGACTTGTAACAAATAATGCTGATGCGAGATTGATAATATACAGGGTGGTCCGATCTGTATTCCGGAAACTTCGACAGCATATTCTGCAGATAAAAATAGGTAGGTAATAATAGTATGTCCTAAAATGCTTAGTTTCGGAGATACAGGACGTAGAAGTTTCATTTTTATTTTCGATTTTTTCCAAATAATTTATGAAGTAACGTAGTATATTTAGACGAAAATTGATGTCTGGGAGTTTTTTGACATGAGAAATTTGATTTTGATGTCAATGTGACTCCTACTTGCAGAGGACGCCACCTATATATTTTTTCACTGGTTTGAAGAGTAATAACTTTTCGTCCGTACCTGTATAAAACTACTGAGTGAAAAAATATACATTTACGACGTTTTTTACGTAAAAAAGATCTCTTGGTAAAAATCGCTACGAGTAATGGTTCTCAAGACATTTGGAATCGAAATTATCAATACCTTAATAATATAGATAATTTTAAAGTATGGGGACTCATGTTATGTATGTGGATATCATTATTGTATTCAATTATTGTAGGTTAAGAAGATTCAGAAATCACACTTTCATATGAGCTTTTAAATTGAAACTCTGCGAGGGACTGATACTATATTGGCGAAATTGGGTAGTGCAGATACGTAAATATTACACTTACTTTAACTGTATCTACAGGAAGAAATGATGTAGATTATCATCGCAATATACAACTTCAGGGAACCAGACCTCAAATGCTAATGCCTCAAATGTTTCGTGCTACTTTAACATAAGAAAAATCTACTGCAGGCGGGAATAGAAATATTCAACTCTGAACAATCATTGACCATAAACCATGATTCTTGGTTTTCATCATCACTGATATAAATTAAATATGTTGACTAACAGTTTAATAACTATTCAGTCTAATGACTAAAATCAAATAAAAAATTGAAATGTTTTTGTGTCAACCAAAGTTTAACAGAAATTGTTTTTGTGAAACATCATTTTTTCACAGAAAAATTGATGATTAAATTAAAAAATAAAAATTTCCCAAATTTATAATTTCAGTCAAATAACTATCTACTCAACGTGTTTATTTTTCTGTCAATAATGACATGTATTGACTATTTTCATTCTTAATATCTTCAGAACAGTTGCTCGTAGCGATTTTTACCAAGACAAATTTTTTACATAAAAAGTCACGGAAATGTATATTTTTTCACTCAGTAGTTTTATACAGGTACGGATGAAAAGTTATTACCCTTCAAAAAATTAACACACATGTATGTGGCACCCCCTACAAACAGGAGTCATATTGACATCAAAATCAAATCATGTCAAAAAAACTCCTCATCCACATATTGACATTACTTGAAATTATTTAGAAAAAAAAAACGAAATAAAAGTGAAACTTCTACACCCTGTATCTCCGAAACTAAGCATTTTAGGGCATATATTTATACAAACTTTTGTACTTATTTTTAACTGCAGAATATGTTGCCGAAGTTTCTCGAATACAGTTTGGACCACCCTGTAAAAAGTGTAATATTTATTACAGCACCTAGTGGCTATATCTGAAATGTCCTATTACAGTTGTAATTGATAGTCCATGAATAAAGATAGTCGTCTGACAAACTTTAATCCAACAGTAGGTTATTTTATTGCTACGCTGGTATTTATCTTTTTATGATATCTTTATAAATTATAGCTTATATGTTATTCTGATGTATAAGCTATATTATTGCAAAGTTTCATTAAAATACATTCAGTAGTTTTTGCTTGAAAGAGAAACTAAAATGTACACACCAATTCATACATCCACACATTCAAACAAACTTTCGTCTTTATAATATGTATCAGATTAATAATCTTACCTTTAGGCTTTCTCTCTTTGCCTTCTTTTGGCACCTTTTCTCTCTCTAATATTTTCTGCCTCTTCCTCTCCGTTGGTCCGACAGCTTTAGGAGGCCTGCTCTGTTTCTGTTTTCTCTCTATCCTTTCTCGCTCCTTTTCTTTGCTTGAACTGATAAAAATCACACTTAAAAATATATTCTATCGACAATAAAGTAGTTAGTCACCTTTCTTTCACGATAGGTTCCATGGGTTTCTGACTTTGCTTTCGAGGTCCAAAGAAATCGTCCTCCGAACTAAATCCGTCATCCGAACTGTCAAAGGAATCCTTTTTTCTCTCTTTTGGAAGAGGAAAATACCTGGAAAATACGGGTATTATTGGGAAACCCTATATTTCTGATATAGCTTTAGTTTAAGAGTCGATTTTACTAGTCCGAAAAAGTAGCAAAATAAGCGTTCGGCTTTTAACGTTTTATGTCAAACTGGCTAGGTATTCTTACACAAATGAAGAAGGAAATTAAAGATAAAGGATTATACTATATCTGTATTGTCTAAAAATGTGTTTTTAGAAAACTTTTTTATTTTTAAGATTTTGATTGTCAAACATCAACCAAATGTTCCTTAGGTTTGGACTAAATTTTCTCGAAAAAGAGACATAATTTAAAATACCGTTACAATACGGACATAGATTGAAGTTTTGTGATTATAGTGATATGTAATTTATATGGTTTTGTAACAAATTGCTCGCTATTTTATGACAAATGCTGAAGCTCTGCAAACCCTAATCGAGCCTTAATCAAAGCACGTATGATTGGAATTTTGGGTGCGGCTTAACACGACAGGATCGGGCTAAGCCTAAAAACTACATAAACTACATTAGATGTAGTTAATGTAGTTTATGTAGAGGGTGTAGTTTATGTAACATATGTATGTAACTTTCAAATATCAAAGGTTTGAGGTGAGGCGATAATAACTTGAAGCTTTAGAAAACACATAATGTATTTAAGAAAACAGAAGAAATATGGCTTTAAATATAACCATTCACATCATATTATTTAGACTCCTCATACAAAGCAAAATTATTCATATCAATAGGTAGTTTATTAACGTAGTTAATAAAAGGGAATAGACGTAGTTTTTGAAGAAAAACTACACGTAGTTAATCAGGTAAATTACGTCTTAATTAACTACTTCCGAACCCTGCCTAGTTATTGTTTTTTTCTCACCTTGGATCGTCTTGCGGATCGCCGCTGGTCGTTAATCTAGTGACACCTGGCGGTGGTCCGGTCAAGTTAGGTAGGACGGTACCCCCCGTAGCCGCGCCGTTGGTATCGGGGGGGCCAACGGCAGCCGCCCCTCCAGGTTGTGGAGGGGGTTTTAGATTGGCGTCTTCCGTTGGCCGTCGCGTCCAAGTGTTCGTTGATTGTTTCCTGCCAGGTCCTCCTGTAATTCAGATCAAAATTAGGATGTAAAGCACTTTCGTAATTTAGTAAAATTAGTCAAAAAGAGAGCGATCTTCATTTCCAAGCCAATACCGACGCTCTTTTTAGGGTTCCGTACCCAAAGGGTAAAAACGGGAACCCTATTACTAAGACTTCGCTGTCCGTCCGTCACAAAGGTCTATCTTATGAACCATTATAGCTAGACAGTGGAAATTTTTACAGATATGTTGTCGCTATAAGAACAAATACTAAAAACAGAATTAAATAAATGTTTATAAATAAAAAAGTACTTTCACTAAACATTATCTTTTTAGTAAGAATTTTACATAGAATCTTTCAAGTCCTCGGTGGCCGCGTGGTTAAACCGTTAGGACTTTACGCTGCTATGATATTGGAGCCGTAGTAAGGCAGGTTCGAATCCTAATCAAGGCGACTTTTTTTAATCTTTTTTTTTTAATTTTTACATATCTATTTTTACTTTTTACATATTTATTATTTATTAATACAATTTTTAGTAATGTGTTTCATTTTTTTTTAAATTACTTATACGCGCATTCAAAATTTCAGCTAAATCAAAGGCTAAATCGGAAAAAACCTTTATAATAATATAGTGTCTAATGTTGTATAGATAATGAATGGTACGGAACCCTTCGTGCGCGAGTCCGACTCGCACTTGACCAATTTTTTTTTTCTGGCACTTGACCCAGTTTTTTAAAATGTTTAAATGGGAAAACAAACAAACCTATCGTTTTTTTCTTAAACATCTCTTAAAAGATCCAAACTTCAAAATAAAAAAAAGTTTCAATATCTAAAGTAGTTTTTGAGTTATCGCGTTATGTGTTAAAAAAAGTTGAGTTTTTAAATTATCGCGATTACTGACGTTTTCTCGTTATAAAAAAAATGAACACCCTAACGATATCCTTATAATTCCATTTCAGATGCTCAGAAACATATCTAATGATTTTATCTAGTCGATCTTTTCGAAAAAAATTATTTTAAAAATAAGCGGTTTGCGATCGTAATTTTACTCTGCTTGATAGGGAAGGCGTACCGGAAAATGTCGCAACGCTGCAACAGCACACCGTCGCATTTCTCTCACTCTGACTTAATAAGATCCCTATGCGATTTACTTCCACACATGTAAATTAAATACCGACCCAAAAGTAAAAGTTGCCAGCACGGTATGACAGTTGCAGTTGATTATCACTTTGATTTAAGGTGATTTTTGTAATTGTTTGTTGCCTTCTCTCGTTGAACAGGGTTTAAATATACTGTTTAATCTATATATTGTGTTTTATAATATTCTAAATATTACTTATTACCTCGCATCACAGGCGGCGGGGATGTATCCCTTTCCCCTTGGAGAAACTTAAGATAACTGCTCATAAATCCAGCCCCAGGCCCACTAACTTTATCCAGTGGTTTAGGAGGTGTGGCAACAGCGGGCTTGTTATGCATATTCAAATGATTCATCGGCCTTGGCGTATCTGGAAAAAAATGAAATTAAGCTCCTTGTATTATTATTAGTACAATAAAATACTACTATCAAAGTAGAAGAAAAAAATACACAATAAAGGGATACCTATATTTGATATCAATTAAACTTTTAGTTATGTAATCAATAGCCAAGTTCGGTAATCACATCCAGATGTCGACGGATTTTTTGTCACGTGATCACAGATTGGATGGAGTAACCTGAAATTACCGAACGGTTTGGAATGTTCGGATAGCTAAGGGAAAAGTGACAAGTTTGAAATCCCAATTCCCAATTGAAATCTTTCAACGTTCAAAGACAAAAGGACCAGTAATTTATTTTTTGAGTTTTGTACGTGGTTTTGCATTAAGCAACAAAATAGACAATTTAAAACTTGACATCAACTTGGAAATTTAACCTCACTAACAAATTAATCTGTTTGCTCCGTCAAAATTCTCCGAGCAAAAAGATCACCGTCCGATTGCTCCGATTTTATTTACCGAACGGTTGAGATTTACTTCCCCTATATCTGGATGTCATAAACGAACGATCGAGATCGATCCGAGCGGTCGGACGTGAATACCGAACGCGCCTAATGGCGCGATTTTTAAATTCATTGTTGCCAACAATGGAAATATTTGGCGCCAGGCTGACTAACTGGAATTTAAAATTCGCGCTGGGGATTCAAGTGGTAGCTCTGCTGTAAAAAATGTCATATTGTCAATCGCCATATTTATTTATTTACTTCCTGACATTGTCATTCGTTTTGATACTTTAGTTATTATATTTTTAGCTATTTATATTATTAGATTTGTATTACGAGTTTTTGGTTTAAATAGTGTTGTGATACTTTAAGCTTAAAAATGTTTACTAGCAGACCTTGCAGTCGAACATTGTTCTTTTTAGAACCTCTTTTAATGCGAAGTGCACAAGACAGCTTAATAACTGTAAAAAACTCATTGCAATTTTATTAGAATATGTTGAACGGGAAAGCGGTAGTAATGGCCCTTTAGGTTCCTTAAGTGCTGTTAAGAAGGTAAGTTTTGTTGATGTAAATAATAACTGTGTATATATTTATAATTAATTTATTTTTGTTTCCTAAAATATTTTGATTAAAAGAAAATATATAAAAGTGGACAAAGCTGTGCCGGTCAAGCATTAATATGTATTTAAAACTTTTACCTCCAGATAGAAAATTAAGTTCTTCTTCGATATTAGGCACCACCACTTTCGGCTGATCATCTGGTTGCTGATACTGTTGCGGCGGTTGCTGTTGCTGTTGTTGCTGCTGCTGCTGCTGTTGTTGTTGTTGAACAGAGGCATGTTGCTGGGCAGCCTGGTCATTATAATTGGTCAGAGGAGTTAATTCTACAGAGGACGAAAATTCGCTGGGATGATTCGCAAGGTGGAACGGCGCAAAATAGGGCAGTGGCGGCGGCGGGTGATGACCGTGAGGATGAGGAACCTTAAAACAATTGCGATTAAGCAAAAATCGGCTACGTTACATAACTTTGAAGTGCCTACCATCAGCCCTTGATGCTGCTGATGCAAGGCAGCCTGCGTGCTGAATATTTTCGACGAAGGGGGGGCCAGATTCCAACGATCGAATTCGAAATAAACGCCGTTCTGTTGCTGCTGGTTAGCCCCTGAACTGTGAGCTGGAGGAGGCACACGATCTTAAAATATATAACGATAAGCATATTCAATAAATCTTTGATTATGAAACACGGAGATACGGAATTCACATTAGCAATTTGAGTCCAACAAATAAATGTCTCTCCAAGTATGCACAATACGATAAAAAAATGGCGTCAAAGACGTCTAATAATGTTGGCTATGTTATTACTCTTGTTTATTTATGAATATAATAAAATATAATATAATAAAAAAAATGACTACAACTCTCCCAACAATATTTTTCTCTACTCACTTGCTGGAACGTGTACGTCTGCCGGCGGAGCTTTTTCTACACTTTTTCTCCTTTTAATGGGCGGTTTGGGCACTTCTTGCTTGATCTCAGGTTGCGGCACCTGACAACTTTGTTGCTGCTGCAAATTTTTAACAATACTCATTGGATCCCCTCGACAGCTGGATAAGTCTTGTAACGTTACCTATTAAAGATAATTTAGTAATATACCCCTTAAATTGTTTCCATTTCACTAGTTCGAAAAAGTAGCAAAATAAGCGTTCGGCATTTAACGTTTTATGTAAAACTGGCTAGGTATTTTTACACAAATGAAGAAGGAAATTAAAGATAAAGGATTATACTATATCCGTATTGTAGCACATTTTTAGACAAGTTCTTTATTTTTAAGATTTTGATGGTCAAACATCAACAAAATATTCCTTATGTTTGGAATAAATTTTCTCGAAAATAAAGACAATTTAAAGTTCCTTTACAATACGGAAATAAATTGAAGTTTTGTGATTACAGTGATATATAATTTATATGGTTTTGTAACAAGTTGCTCGCTATTTTATGAAAAATGCTTAAGCTCTGCAAACCTTAATCAAGCCTTAATAATTAAAGCACGTGTGTTTGTAATTTTAGGTGTGGCTTAACATGACAGGATCGGGCTAAGCCTTAGAGTTCGAACTCACTGACGACAAGGTCGCAACGACCTGGCCGTCGGTTGGCCGGATGTATTGCGTTTATAGCTGCGGCCAGATGAACGACCAGTTTCAACAGAGTTGTCAGATCTAACGATTTTGTGCGTTTTACCAATTAGAAAATATTGTTTCAGAAATGTTAAAATATCCGAGTTAACTAAAAAGCGAAGTTGCTATTCATGAGCTTATTAAATGTTCGAATATTAAATAATGCATTTAAAATTTTCTTGGATTTTTCGTTAATAAATACTGGTGTGGTAAATGGAGTAAGTAAAATCTCCAACGCCGACTACACGATAACGTCGTTATTTCCATGTTTTTCAAATCCGCGATGCCTGCTATTCCATCAGTCGTTTCAGGATGTAGAATTCCTACGTCTATGTAATTTAATATGTGTAGAGTGAAGACAAAAACAGTATTGTTCCTAAAGGTGCGTCCAGACTTTAGCATTTTAGCCCGAACGAACCGAGGGCGCACGAACAAGCAGAACATATAGGCCGAACAAAAAGCATTGTGTACGCGCGACGGACAAAAAGAGAGATATTCTGTTTCTTTTTTCTACTGATATGGACTTCTACTGATGGATGGACTCTTATCGACTTTAGAAGTAATCATATTGGAGACATCGTAAAAAAAGGTCGTCAGACACTAGCTCTAAATATAAGCAGGTAGAAACTTTAGCTTCCAGTTATTTCAATGTTTACAATATATATTCCTCTTTTTTATTGTTACTGAGAATCTACAACAGTAAATACTTCTATTTTTATGAATGTTTAAGTTGCTTTTACTCATTTTTTTAAAATAATGTACCTAGTAGAAATATGCCTAATGGACCCTGTTTGAAAAGCGTTAAATTAAAAACATATAATATTTAAAATACAGTTATCCTCCTTGCACATGACTACAATACAACTAAAAAAACTAATTTAATAAAAAAAACAAGTGGTTGTAAAAACTTTAAATATGATTTTTTTTAATTTTTTACATTGAAACTCGAAGGTATAATAACAGGTATAATACCAAATACCAACCATAAATAGAGCATGTCATATAAAAATGTTTTGCATTTTTACTAGAATCGACCCTTGATAAAAAAAAGGGACTAGATTTAAGTTTCCCTTTGATCCAGTCTGTATACTATTTCTTTGGATTTTCTGCACGTGTGCAAAAACTACACTAAAACACTATATCTTATAGAAAATAAAATATGTTGCGTTGAATTTGAGGGATTTCATCTGAAAAATTATTTATTTGGAAGAAAATTGGTAACAAGCGGCAGAAAATAATAAATATTTTAGTGCAGTCTACTGGTCGCAATGACCAACCGACGCGACGCGACGACTAGGGGCGCTATTCTGTACAATCGTCGGTATCGATAAGTTACCGACAGCTATCGGTACGTATTTGTATATAGTAAACATGTGTTGATTGTTGTTGTCATAGTTACCGATCGGCCCTATGGCAGATATCGCAAATTTGTACCGACGACTCTCGGTATCTCTACCGTGAGGTTAACAAGGGCATGGTAGAGATACCGATTTTCGTCGGTACAAATTTGCGATATCTGCCATAGGGCCGATCGGTAACTATGTAAACAACGATTAACACATTTTTACTATATACAAATACGTATCGAGAGCTGTCGTAACTTACCGATACAGACGATTGTCGATGCCGTGTACAGAATAGCGCCCCAGGACGTTAGTGTGCGCTGTATCATTTGATTTAATGGTCTTAGATGTAGCAGCGGCCTGGCTGGTGCGACTTGGTCGTCAGTGTGTTCGAGCTCTTGGGCAGATTTCTAAAATATAATATATATCTCCTTTGGCCACAGTTTACAGCGTAATAAACTCTGAAGGAAACGTAAAATCACCTGATGGCCACTATTCGAATCGAAATATTGCTGCCTTTGCCCCTCGCCCTGCCTGGAACTAATCTCAATCGAAGTATTCGAATTGCTATACGTAGTCTGAGTATTGGATTGTCCGCTTTGAAACTTTCTTTGCTGTTGCTGATTCTGCCGATCGTCCCAACACTGCTAAGTAGAAAAAAATTAGATAAACTATTTAGTCTTGGCACACGTACATACTTGAGTAGGTTGAGCAGCTTGAGGTCCGTGTTCGTAACGTTCTGGAAAGTTTTTCTCGGAATTCAAAGCTCGCGTAATGACAGATGGATATGCTACATTTCCCCCTGCTTGTGAATTAGGACGTGGTACTGATACATCTAAAGGTGATGGCGGTGCAACCTGAAAAAAATATTTAATTATAATCAAATCGATTGTAAAAAAAACGACGTCAAAAACGGCTGGGCAATAACTATCGATGAAAATTTTGCCGAGGTTAAGCCCTTGACGCCATTACTTGGCCAGTACTCCTCTTTATTGTTTTGATAGCGCTTACTGTCAGTTGGCCTTAAGAAGCTCCTTATTTAGTTTTATATCGACGCCTAGAGATTGACCTCACCAAAATTATCATTGATTGTCGTTCCCCAGCCGTCTTTGACGCTGAATTTTTTCGATCATATGATAGTTATGTATTTTAGTAAAGAAATATTTATTTTTCTTGATTATAAGTGAACGAAAATCTATATTTGATATCAATTAAACTTTTAGTTACGTAATAGAAGGCGGGATTTTTAAATTCATTGTTACCAATCATAAGATATACTCGGCGCAGGGCTGACTAACTTTAATTTAAGTTTCGCCTTGGGGATTCAGGTGGTAGCTCTGCTGTAAAAAAGGTCAAGTTGTCGCATTTATTTATTTATTTCCTGACACTGTCGTTCGTTTTGACACTTTAGATTTGTATTACGAGTTTTTGGTTTAAATAAATAGTGTTGTGATACTTTAAGCTTAAAAATGTTTAGTAGCAGACCTTGCAGTCGAACACTGTTCTTTTTAGAACCTCTTTTAGTGTGAAGTGTACAAGATAGCTTAAGAGCATTAAAAAATTCATTGCAACATTATTAGAATATTTTGAAAGGGAAAGGGGTAGTGAATGCCCCTTTATGAACATTTAAGTGCTGTTGAGAAGGTGAGTTTTGTTGATGTAAATAATAACTGTTTATAGATAATTAATTTATTTTTGTTTCCTAAAATATTTTGATTAAAAGAAAATATGTAAAAGTGGGCAACGCTGTGCCGGTCAGGCTTAATCACGTGACTAAAAGTTTATTAAAAAAAAATCTAAGGATAGACTACAACTTAAAAATACTAACCTGTTGACTGCTTGAGTTCTGTTGAGGTGATGACATTGAATTCATGGGACTATTATACATAGGATATGCCGGGCTCTGAGCGTGGCCTAGAGGAGATGCTTGGGAATGTGCTTGCAAAGGACTGGGCCTTCTTGGTACCACCACATTACTACAATCCGCGCCATTTGAACTAGAAGAAAACATTTATAAAATATGTAATAAAAATTACAAGTCTCTTTCTTATTACCTTGTTTGATAGTCGGGACCGCTCTTAGGCCGTTGGAAATCTTCCGAATTAGGCGCTTGGGCCTGCTGTTGCTGGTAATGTCTGTAATTATGCTGAAAATGAGCCGCCCGTTTGCCAGAGGCGTTGCTTCCAGAGTAGTTCAAACGGCCCGGCGTGTCCATAATTGAAAAACTGATAGGCGACGATTGACTCTGAGTTTCCTCGGTACTTCTACAATAATTATAAGTTATTTGTAAAAACTAAAAATGCTTTTAGCCGAAAAAAAAATTAACCTTTGTTGTTGTTCCCGTTGGTTTCCAAGTTCGGAATATATTTTCGTTTGGGCCTTGGTTTGAATCTGAGGAGCATTTTGTTGCTTGACCGGGGGAGATGTAAACGGTTTTTCCACGGCACGCGCAGGGTTGGGCGAACTGCAAAATATTCATGAAAATCAACAGAACCAGGGTCGGGTAGGTAGAAAATTTTATATTTTCTACACGTAGAAAATTAATTTTCTACGCCAACTAATTTTCTACATTTTTTACATGTCCAGACGTAGAATGGATTCTAGTTTATAAAATACCTTAAAAAAGACCGATTGGGGGCCTGCGGTACTCGATACTCTTTAGTTGTCGAGGGAGATGAGACAATACAAGACTGCTGAAGGTTGGAAGTGTTGGTGGAAGCGAATGTTTTCGACGTGGCGCTTTCCGACAGCGTTACTGGCACCTAGAAAATCACAAAACCCGCATTTATTAAAAAGCCTCAAAAAAACTGATACTACCTGAAAAAATACATTAGAATTTGGTTGAGAAGAGTTAGATTTTATTGGTGCTGTAGTTACTTGTGGGCTACGGGACCTATTGACAGCGCTCTCTTTAGAACTGACAGCTAATTGCGAATTAATATGGTTATTTATGGATTGCTGAGCCGCCGCAAAATGCGCGTTGATATTTTCGTAAGCCACCTAAAAAAAAGATAAAAAACCTATCTACCTATGAGACGAAACTTTCAATTTTGAATTATGAAAAGTTAGGTACCTAAAAACTAGTTTATAGCTATCGTTAGATAAATAATAACAAAGTTTCAGCACATCTAACTCATCCTAACTCAAAAAAACAAGTAGAGCTAGATGAAAAACTTACGGCTTTACTAGTGGAGGAAGTGGCAACCACACTCTCATGGGGCAAGATACCAAACGGACCATTGGGCTGCCACGTTGAGCCTCCTTGATCGAAAAAAGCTTGAGCTTGGGGGTGGAATTCGCCCGACTCACCCGCTTGCTTCGAAGCTGCCGCTTGAGCTAATGCCCTATGTTGAGTTACCTACAGAAAAAAAATTAAGGTAAATAAATAAATAAATAAATGCCTTTATTGTCAAAAAATCTTACAATTTGTAGACAAAGGTAAAGTAAACAAACAAAGTAAGCAAACAAACAAACAAAAGAGAATACAAAACATTATACAAATGACATTGTCCTTATTCTTTAAAATAAACATCATAATAAACATTTATAAATGTTTACAATGTCAAAGAATAAAAAAAAATAAAAATAAGATTCAAAAATATTTAGTAAGTTTATAGTAAATATGAATGAACTCATATAGTAATAGCAAACATTAGACCAGTGTTTACAAGATCAAATTCGATTGTCAAAATATAAGTCATTTGCGGCGTAGAAAGCCTTGTCTAGTAAAAAAGATTTCAATGCTTTGCGAAATAAAGAAAATGATGTTATGGATTTGATTTCAAATGGCAAGTGATTGTACATTTTTTTCGAGTTGTATAATATTGAACTTTTAACTAACTCTGAGCGTGGGGTAGGTAGATAAAGATCTTGCTCCGCGTTCCTGAGTGGATAAATGTGAGATGGCCTTTCTTGAAAAGCTGATACATGCTTACGTATTAAGCCCCGTTCTCAGAACAACGTCGTGTCAGTTTGACATTTCAAACAACCAATGGGAGCTGTACTAAATTTAAAATTGACAGCTGTTTCAATTTTGTACAAATCTGATTGGTTCTTTTGTCGTGTCGCTGGCGACAGTCGCAGTTCTGAGAACAGGGGTTTAGGCAAACGGATTCAAATATAAATAAGGAAGGAAGACTTAATATTTTTAATTTTTTAAAAAAGTCCTGGCAATGAGTTCTGCTGTTTGTCCCAGTGAATATCGAACAGATCTCTTCTGAAGCTTAAAAATGCGGTCAAATTGAGTCGCACAACACGTACCCCAGAATGGAAGGGTATATCTGAGATGCGACTCAATAAGTGTATAATAAACAGTTCTAGTCACTGACAAGTTAAGCTCCTTAGAAACAGATCTTAATGCAAAACAGGCAGAGCTTAATTTTTTCGACAAAGCGTCGATATGCATGTCCCATTTCAGAGAATTGTCTACAACAAGCCCTAAGAATTTTACAGAGTTCAATGGTGGTGTTTAAGCTCTGCGACTATTCAGTTATGCATGCATTCTGCGAGTACTAAGCAGTTCTAAGTCCCAATAAATACTGTGCATTTCAAGAAAATGTGATGACATTTCAAATTTGCGGCTAGTTTTTTTTTCTTGATTATAAGCTTTGAATAAGAAGACTAAGGAAGGAGCATAATGCTATCCATGTATTCATGCATGGTGGGCGGAAAAAGCGCCATAAAAGCACTCTAGGGTGGGTATCCTTGACAGTTCTGTTTGGAGATTCATTTGACACATTTGAATTTGATTTGAAATTTTGTGGATTTTTCAGTCTTTACGGAGCTTATTTTATATTATTTATTATTTATTCTACTACTGATAGTTGTATAAAGGTAGTAATTCTAGATGGAAATTGTGGCAGAACTTAAATTAACAGTGACACTATCGCAATTTATCGAAAAAGACTCTAAAATAGTTACTAAAATAGGTTGTGTAGCGTGGCGGTAGATCTCGGCAAAAATTGAGTGAAATAATAGTAAGTGACTATATAATATACATACGTGTAGTAAACCGATCATTTATGAAATTCACTTAAATTAACTAAATTATATATTTTTCTTGCATTTTAGCTTTTATTTATTACTTGTCAAAGATTAGATGTCAAAGAATTTAGATACGTTAGAATTTTAGAATTATTAAATTAGAAAAAAAAATTCTAGATAAGCTAATTTGACTTACCTGCTTCAGTAGCGTATCGGATGTTTGTGGTAATAAATACTTATTATAACTTATCTATTTTTATTAGAATTATATATTTTTATAACAATTTTAATAACTACCAACATTTATTCACAACGTAAAATAAAACAACAAATTATTGAGTCTACCCTACATCATAGTTTTACATTTTTTAAATAAAATTAGAACGACACTGATAAACCGGAATTTAAGTCGGCCATATTTGAGGCCCATCGCGGTGTACCTAAGATTTTTAATATGCTCCTTCCTTATTCTTCTTATTCAAAGATTATAAGGTTAATGTTAGGTTTGTTATTGCTATCTTGTGAGTTTAATTTAAATTTTATTTACTGAAACCAGTAATAATTATTGTGAAAAAGTGGCATTAAAAATTTAAAAACGTGTGTGAACTGTGAATTGCAAAAACCATCGTGGATCGTGGCATAACGTCGGTTTCCAATGTTTCATAGGTATTTCATACATGTCCTTATATAAAATAAAGTTTCTTGTATGCAACACACTGTATTTTAATTAGCGATGGGAACAATCGAATGAATTAGACTATCGAATGGTTAATGAATGAATGATTTCAACTATCGAATGGTTTTATTCGAATAAAATCATTCATTCATTTGTATACTAAAGCATATGTGACAACCTCGCCGTGCGACTAAATGGTTATCGTTGAGCCACGACTATCGACTGCTTTTGATAAATGAAATTTAGTATTGTTTGATTTTTGTATGCGTCAGTGCATAGTTCTTCCATATTTTTATAACTTCGCCGTATAAATACTGTGCTATTTTTACGTTTATTAAAATAGTTAAAATACTAAAATAGTAGTTATTTTTTAATTTTATTTATTGACGATTGTGTGCATGTGCAGGTGGTCAAATTTTTTCCGAAAATTTGTGTGGTTTTCCGTAGTCCGATCTTTCAATTATTTAATTTTATATGGTATATGGTCTATTTTTTAATGGGAAATTTTGAGAAGTAGCAATTTTTAAGAGAGATGAGATGAACTTACAATTAATTTTAAAAATGCATATTTGTATTTTAGATGTTTTAATAATATGAATTAGTTGAACTTAATAATCATATTTAAGAAATGTGGTTAAGTAAATGGTTATCGAACTCAAACTATGGGGTGAGAAAATTAAAATAAAACTTTTACACGCGCCAATTTTAAAAAAAAGTTAACGATGTTTGTATTTTGTTTATGCTAATTCTCTTACATGTAGTTTTTTGCGAAGAAATATTTCATTTATTTTTTAAAGTAAATGCCAGTAAAAGTAAATATAATTTTTAAATAGAAATATAAACCACCTAATATAAATAATTTTGATTTCTAATTTTTTATTTATATTTTCGTTCCATTACACTGCATGCTTAGAAAATTATTAAATGTTTATATTTCATGATTTTAAAATTTGTTGTTAATATAACAAATTAGTTCTGTAATTATTATTATTTAATAAACCAACGTTGCCAAAAAATTTAGAGACTATTATTTTTAAATAGGATCTAATATAAATAATTTTGACATCTAATTTGTTGTTTATATTTTGCTACTACTTAAAAAAATATTTATATTAAATCATTTTAAATTTTGTTGTTAATAGGTATAACAAATTATTACTGTTATTATTATTTATTAAACCAGTCTTTGCTTAAAAACATTAAAAATCATTTTCTTACATCCAAAATAACAAGTATTATTGTAGTGTAACAACAGAATATTAATAAAAAAAATTCAGAATATATAGACATACTATCCCTAACTAACTAAAGCCAAACAATAATATTCTTTGCTAATATCAACTAATAGCAAAATATGGCAACAGCGCCCTTCATAATGTATTTTCTGTGTAAATACTAGCACCTCAATAAAAAAAATAATGTGTCCTTATCTATATCTGACTCCGCAAAAAATCAAAGATGCCGGCTTCTTTCATAGCATTGCCACCGACCGCTGTCTGGTTTCTCGGAAAGAAACCTACGTCGCCGGGCGACAACTAAAATTCAGTTAATATTTTATTATAATCGATCCTGACGAATAAATGAATTTCATAAATGAATGAATTTTATAAATGAATGGTTTTTGCTGCCGAATTACTAGAATACAATATTTCAAGACAGATGACGGATCTATTCGATAATTTTTATTCGAATAGTTTTCAACGAATGTTTTCTTACTAACCATCGAATTATTCGAGTGAATTACAACTATCGAATGTTTCGATAGTATTCATTCGATAGTTCCCACTACTAATTTTAATTACAAAATTAAAAAAAAATAATAATAAATTTGGATAAATAATATTTGGCGATATAATTCCGGAAAAAGCCGAACGGCTCCGAAATTTTCAAAAGCTTTGGGTCGCGACCGTTGCAAGAATAGCGCCAAATAGTGTCTATATTGTCCTTATGGGCACTTTCCAATCTAAACTTGTTTCATTTATTTATGGTCCAACCCCCGACTGTAATATAAGATCTGAGTTGATAAAACAATGGTTTTTCCCATTACCTGTGCAACATAATGCGACTTGGCTCCACTAGCCGCCACGGCTCCATGAAAGAGCGGCGTAAATACAGTCTCATAGCCTCCAACGGATGGAGACAGAAACCCTCCCGGTAGAACGGCGGTCGGAGGCGCAGGGGGTGCTGCTGAGGCTGTTGTGGTGGCGGAAGCGGCGGCCGCCGCAGCAGCAGCAGCCGCGGCCAAAGAGTGGTGTTCCCCCGCGGCGGCCTGCACGGCCAACCGATTATAGGAGGTGTACCAAGGGCCTACTGGGTCCATTGGATAACTGGTCGAGAAAGCGATGACGGCCTAATAGGTGTGGTGGTGGGTTCAGTTGGCGCTTGCCCATCCCATCTGAAAATATATCATATATTTAAGATGAGGTTATGCAACTGAAAACCATTAAAAACTTTTATTAAACCAGTTACACATAAAAGTATTAGTTTTTTTCATTTTAACGCCTAGCATAAACAAGTGGCTTTACTCCTTGTCAAATCCTTTGTTCTTTTTCTGCCACTTTATATGACCTTGTTCTCGCGTCCCGTGACCACTGACCTAGCTGTATATATAGTCTAGGTCTATAACTAGACAAAGTATAGTCGTGGCACTCGCCATAGTTTCAGAGATGTATTTGGGAAAATATGAGTTCACAACAAAATAAAATAAAAAAAATGATCATCGAGTAAAAATTTGCTTGAAAACAGAATATTTTCACATTTCATGTAAGTAACAATTCTTCTGTATCTGAAAATCTTCTGATGGGAAGAAATGCGGAGAAAATATTAAATGACATATTTTTATATTATTATCTATTTCAAAGATTTTCTACAATTTTTTTTTAGTTTAAAACAAGTTTAACTTTAACATTAATGTGTTTGATTTGTAGTAATATATTGGTTAGGTGATTTTCACTGGATACCTAACTAATACATTTAACAACACATCGTACTAAATATTAAAATATCATATTTAAACTTCAATAATTGCTAATAAACATTACAGAAATTTCAAAAGAGATAAGAAGCAAGAACAATAAGAAATAGCATCACTACTTTCTCACGTTATAAAAGAATAATTTTTTAGTTATTGTTACCGAGTCCCGAAGGTACCGAAAGAACCGGGAATTAATAATTTCGAGTTCCGGTTCTTTGATATCCCAAAAGTTGCTCGATATATAATTACAAAGTACCTATTACTTTTTATATTATATGGAGTAAAAATGTACTTTATGTGCCTCCCTGTAACGTCGGACTAGTTTTACCCTGGTCCATTAAACGTACAGCCTCATAAAAAAAAGATAATTTTACTCCTAATAAAACAATACACTATTGTTCAAAAATAGTCGAGAATGACTATTAAACATCGTCGAATGAATATTATCTAATGTCAAAGTGTAAAATACTTATTAATGACTGGATATGTCAGTAGAAATTTAGAAAGAACTAGAAGATAAATTGGTGAAGGCAAAAGTTATCTTCATTACCACACAGCTGTTTCAAAAAAGATATAAAACAGCATATTTTCTGACAACGATTATAGATTCTCGGGAATGAAGATATAGTCAGAAGAACCTAGTTCTGTACTAGAGTTTGCGAATGGAATGTATTCGAACAGCGAATTTTTGTCACCGGTATATAAATTTCAAAATAAATCACTGCTGTTTAGGGATCAGTCCAACATTTTAATTGATGAATAGATATGAAGTAGGTAGGTATATGTGTTATGCAAATAATTTTTTACATAGTTTTATAACATTTACAATTATTTTTCGATTTATTAAAAGCATTTTAACGTTACAATAGCAAGTGTAACATTTTATTTGATGAATAGATATAGGGTATATCTGTTATAGAAATATTTTTATAGTTTTCTAGGACATATTTTTGTCAGTTGTTTCAGTTACCTTTTTTTTATTTAAATTGCATGATTAAAATAAAAAAAATCACTTGATTTAAATCATGCCAATCCTGCTCGCATGGCAGTGACAATTGTGTCTGTCCTTTTAATGTACATTCAAATAATTATTGTATTTTCTGTTATTTTTTTGGATATCTGTCAAAATCTTCCCTGATTCATGGAACAGACTTTTTTCAGGGTCTTGGCTTAATCACTCGGACCAAGAGGATACAACCTTACCAAAAACCTGAATCCTACAATCGCAGAAACAGGCCAAAGGGATGCGTGGCTTGATAGAAAACAAGCCCCTGCTGGTCTCAATCATCTTTATGCACCAGGAGACACCCCGTTGTATATACTTCTTAGTTCTACATGCAAGGCTCTGTAGAAGTGCACCGACTAAGTGGGAACACTATGAGATTAAGTATAAAAACAGAAAAACACCACTTGTGAAGCTGTGAAGAAACCTCATCACTGGGAATATCAACGCAAGTTCAAAGAGACCAATCCCAATCGAATACCTTGTTGTGTGCGTAATTAGATCTATACTATTTATTTAATACTCTGTTCAACAAGGAAATATAATTTTGACAAACAGTATCCAACAAAACACAGAAAATCACCTTACTACAACTATAATAACAAATATAGAACACCAGAGAAGAAATATACAACACCTTTTACAGCAAAAAATTTTCTACTTTCTATTAATATTATTTGAATGGCACATCTATACATAGATAAAAGAAAATAATCTACTATTCATCTATATAATATTATATTTGAAGTCTATCAAATTGAAACAAAAATTGATTGTTATATGACAGCAATTATAAACATAAGAAATCTAACCTAAGAAAAAACTGTCTAAAAATAAAATATAGATAAATTGTCAACTTTAAACTGGAAATGACTATAATGTTTACCTTAAAATCTTGATGTATATTATGCCAAAATAATATTATCAATAGAAATGTGTGAAATTATCCCTTAAATGTATATTTAGCCTTTGGCAGCGACAGGTCGACGGTTTTGAAACGTAAAACCGGTTTTTAACAATGAATTGATGACTTACCACCCCCGAAAAAGCTCATGAGATATTGAGAAAATAATAGAGATGATTTACTAGAGTTTTGTTATTATACTACTCTCTAGCTGCCTTCAATCTCGATAAAATCGTAATAATTACAAGCTACTATATGAAAATTATTTCGGGTAACCTTGAACACTCTTATTACATCAATACTGGCTTATCCTTTTGTTTTCAGGTCCCTTTTGAGTTAACCATAAAATTAACAAATGCTAAAGGCATAATGTAAGTTCAGACTCAACTATTCATGTTACGTGAGAAAATTTTCACTGAAAAACTACCGAAATTAATCATACAAACAATGTTTTGAGCTAAGAAAAATCAGACCAATCGTGACCTCTGGCATGGTAGAAACGCGGATCCACTTCAAAACAAGTCTTCTCCAAAAAGATTGGTCGTTTAAAAACGTCCTAATTAATGCAAAATGTTTATTTTGTTTACAGGTGAACAACATACTCACTTCTCATTTGAAAAAGAAGTTATAATAACAGTTCTTTTATTCGGAAATTTATAAATATGGCTCCATGAATCCTATGGAGAATGTCTCATTCACGAGTTTTTTAGGCACTTTATCGTCATTAAAACACACATTTAAGGCCGATATTATTTACGGCGAAGATTTATTATCGACAGTTCAAAATTCTATGCGATTTTTTAGAAAAGAAACACTCCATGGAACGAATTTCAACTCGAATTTCTAAAACACTTCGTTCACAAACTTTCAGACGCCATTTTAAAATTTTACTAACAATAGCAGGCGCCATCTTTTGGCGACTGCGTTTTTTGGCGGGGAAATCAAATTAAATTAAAAGGCTCGAAACAAAAATACCAATATAATTAGTGTTTTTTAAATGATTTGATATTTCATCCTATTTAAAAGGAACGCGTACGTGTTTTTGTACGTTTTTAGATTCAGGTGAGATAAAACAAAAAACAGAAATCAAATATTTTATTATACATAATAGGATAAATATAATTTTAATACACCTACTAAAAACATAAATAAAGTATTTGTTAAAAATATATCAGCTCCGTCAAAAATAAATGTTAATAGATGCCAATTTTACATTTATAATATGCTATACATATGCCTTCAAAATACACCAACTTTATAATTATTATTCACAGAATATCTAAACAATTAATATTGTTTTGAAACTTTTAAATACATATATCTAACATATCTATAACACTTATCATTGATAATATAGATATGTTTTCGACATTTTTTTTTGAAAATTTTTGTATAAAACTTTCACTTGGCTAGAAAATGATCTCCATAAAAAATCTATGATTTATACAGTCTGTCCAGCCAGTCTGAATAAAGACTGGACAGATTTTGACAGATGACATCAAAAAAATTACAGAAAATACGATTATTGAATCATTTATTTGAGAAACCCTATAAGTGAGTGTGGAGACCTGAAATTGACATGAATTGGAGTGGACACAATGTATACAGGGTGGTCAGAACTGTTTTGATCCGTTTGTGGTCAGAACGGAAACTTCAGCAGCATATTCTGCAGATGAAAATAAGTAAAAAAAGTTCGTATAAATGTACGTCCTAAAATTCTTAGTTTCTGAGATACAGGGTGTATAAGTTTCATTTTCATTTCAATTTTTTTCAAATAATTTCTGAAGTAACCTCAATATTTGGATGAAAATTGGTGTCCGGAAGTTTTTTGATATGAGAAATTTGATTTTTATGTCAATATGACTCCTACTTGTAGAGGGCGCCACCTACATATTTTTAACTGCTTTGAAGGGTAATAATTTTTCGTTCGTACCTGTAAAAAACTACTGAACAAAAAAATATACATTTACGACATTTTTTACGCAAAAAAGGTGTCTTGGTAAAAATCGCTACGAGTTTTGGTTCTCCAGATATTTGGAATCTAAATTATTAATATTCTGTCATCATTGACATAAATTAAACATGTTGACTAAATAGTTATTAGACTGAAATCATATATTTGAAACGTTTTTGTGCCAAAAGTTTAACAAAAACTGTTTTATCATAATTTTTTCCAAGAAAATTTTATGATTAATTTAAAAAAAAATAAAGTTCCCAAATTTATCATTTCAATCAAATAACTATCTACTCAACGCGTGTTTATTTTTTGTCAATAATGACATGTATTGACTATTTCCATTCTAAATATCTTGAGAACGGTTGCTCGTAGCAATTTTTACCAAATAATATATTTTGCGTAAAAAATCCAAAAAAATCACGAAAATGTATATTTTATCACTCGGTAGTTTTATACGGGTAAGGACGAAAAGTTATTACTCTTCAAAACAGTTAAAACACATGTAGGTAGCGCCCCGTACAAATAAGAGTCATATTGACATCAAAATCAAATTTCTCATGTTAAAAAACTCCGAGACACCAATTTTCATCCAAATATTGACGTTACTTCAGAAATTATTTGGAAAAAACTTATTTCTATCTGCAGAATATGTTGCCGAAGTTTCAGGAATACAATTCGGACCACCCTGTATAGAGTACTTACTCTAAAAACACAATATATTTTTGTTTCTTCATTACAGGATTTTGTTAACATTCATAACATTTTTTTGAAAACGAAATACTTGATTTTACAATGGGACTATTTTAATGCCCCGGAGGAATATGAGAGGGGAGACCACAAAACACATATACAGAGAGGGGGAGACGCTACTACAGTGGCGGCTCGTGACCCGTGTAACTGGGTAGGCGACAAAATTTTAGTTGTGTCTATTTGCCCCCACCTTTAAATTTCGGATCCGCAAGAGATACAATGATTAAAATTTTCCTTGAGCTAATGTAAATTAATCCACTTAAATGTATGTACGTATGTTGTAGTAAACTTACACCTCGCAAATCCGTAACCTAATTTTTATTTTTCTACGGATAATTTTGTAGTAAGTGAATTTGGCTGCGTTAAGGACCTGCGCATTGTTTATGCTACCTGTGAAATGTTACTCCAGTGAGTTTCTTCGAGACGATACCTTTCCTGCACCTACAATTGCGTACAGCACATGATACCATGGGTTTTAAGTTTTTTTTTAATAGAAAACACTCAAATTATCAATGTAAAACATTAAATTTTAATAAAAATGGACCAATGACACAAACGTATTCTACAAAATGGCTGGCTTTTCTCCCCAGCTGTAGCGCCTCCCTTGGCTTATTCCTCCGTGGCAAAATTGGTATAAACATCCAAAAACATATCCAATATATTAATCTATTTGTTTTACTAGAATATTAGGGAATAAACATTTCACATAATTTCTCTACCTGTCACATAATTTCTCTACCTGTCACATAATTTCTCTACCTGTGTCTTTAGAGCTTTCAGAATATAAAGTGTGCCAAATGAGCTATACAGGGTGAGTCTTAAATAAGTGCAAATATTTTCAGGGCCGGTAGATCTCGATAAAAGAAACATATTTTCTCTTTACCATTTTCAAATAACTCCAAAATAACCGAGTTATTTAAGTTTGAAAATTTTTAGTGCCGTAACCATAGAGATAAGCTGTAACTATGGTAATATCAGAGAAAGAGAATAACGGCCTACGGATGCCTACCGTCGAGTCGTCCGCTGTTGGCACGTATACGTAAACGTAAAGAATCTTTTACGTGTATAAAAAATAAAAAATATAAGAAATGCGCATGCGTACGTAAACGTTTACGTGTTTTTAGTCTGTGCCGTTGTTCTCTATTAAGAAATTATAACGTGGGAAAATTTGCGGTGAACAGGCAGTTCTAAAAAGTTTTCGAAAAAATACAGGGAAATTTCATCATTTTTTTGCGAAAAAACCTCATAGACGTGTTCCTGGGGTCGATAATAATAGAAAGAAAATTAGTAACCTAACCTCAGTTTTTGCGTATGGATTAGTAAAGAGGATTTTTGTAATTTACCGCCAGTTTTTTACATGACATACCGGGTGCGTCTCGAAAGTGGCTCACCTCTATAACTTTTTTTTCAGATAAAAAAAAACGAGATTTGGTATGTTAGTGTATGACATAAATTAGGATTTATTGACGTATTCAATTGTTATTGGTCACTTCCTGTTTCACCGGAAATGACTACAACTTTTGATTTTTAAATGACAACCTCGGTATATTTATATTTTATTCGATAGAAAATGACACTCTGAGGGTGCAGCCACACTATCCTAAAAACGGCGTATCGGCGTAACGGCGTAATGACCTTGAATAGATTTCCAGTAATTCTATTGGCTGAAACATTCTGTCAGAAATTTTATCTGTCAAATTCATCTGTCAAAAATTTCAGCCAATAGAATTACTGGAAATCGATTCAAGGTCGTTACGCCGTTTTTAGGATAGTGTGGCTGCACCCTGAATAGAATGACATGACATATGTCAACTTTTTCACATTTTCGCTTAAAAACAAATCGCATTTTAAATTTCAATCTAGAGTGTCATGTCCGTGTTAAAAACACTATTTTTTAATCAAGGGGCTTTGGAAAAATAGTTTTGATTGTCTATTGTTTTTCGTATCTTGTCCTGGCCAGTTAAAAGATGCCGAAATCGTATTTTTAATCATATCTCAATTTTTTCAAATGGAACGACGGTGGCTCATTAGAATATCTAGAAAAGGCATTTTTTTACGAATAATTTTGTACCACACACTTGGTATTTCGAGTGTTATTTTCTATCGAATATCTATCGAAGTAAAAAATACCGTTATAGGGGTGAGCCACTTTTGAGACGCACCCGGTATATCAAAATGTGTGTTTGTGTTGCAAACTTTTTCGTACACCCTTTATGCAATGAAACAAAAAATAAAATATTATCCACTATAAATAAAAAAATATATCCTTTGGGTCTAATATACATAATATGATAACTTAAATACACTAAAATACTAGAAAAAAGAAAACTAAAAAAAAATAAAATAGGAATAATGTAAAAATTCAAATAGGAATATCATACTATAATACACACAATAAACTAATTTTGGTTTGAAACAAGGCAAGTAATATATTTGGCAAAATTTATCTGTTAGTCTTCATAGCAAAAACTTAAAAATGTTTCTCCAAAAACGAGTATTTGTACTAATATCTTAAACTAAAAATGTAAAAAACAATAACTGAAATTCAATAAAAACGAATAAAAATTTGATCGCTATTTACAAAATATACATAGAGTTTCTTAAAAAAATAGATATATCTTCAATTTTTAAAACTTAACTTAATAATATCAAAAAATGGTAAGAAATTGAACATCTAGACTAGAAAAAAAGCTAGAGTAACTAAATCACAATAACAAAAAATTAAATAAGATATATCAAGGTATTTAAAATTCTAAATTTGTATGGCCCAATTTGTTTGACTTATCTGATCCTTTAATAACTTTTTTCATACGCATTTAGCTACCTATGATTTGTTCATACATACAGGGTGGCGCACCTTATTCGCCTCGGTTGATTATACGAAAACGGAAAGATGTAGAAACATAATTTTTTATGGGTATATGTAGAGAGGCAATGCGCATAATTTAAAATTATTTTCAAATGTACAGGGTGTGTCAGAACTAAGATCCATACCAAAGTTATATTTTTTCTTATGAAACACACCCGGTATTTTATTTCATTTTTGGATTCTTGGACATAAAATAAGGCATTTATTATAAGGGTTTAATACGTTTAAAAGCTTTGGTTTTTTAGATATTTAAAGATATTTAAATATGCATGCTATAATAAAAAAGTTTGTCAACACCCTGTTAATTACTTTTCAGAGTGAATTCTAGTGCTGACTTTAAAGCCAGGGAAATCACAACTTTACTAAAAAAATGTATTGCTTCCTTAAATGTATACAGAGGTATCAAAAATTGCTGGTCTATTTTAAATATTTATTTTACATAAAAACTTTGTTATTTCAAATACAACACCCCGTATTTTTTAAAATAAATTGAAGCAGATTTAAATGCTCTTTTAAACTATATTAGAGTTTCCTATACCTATCTAGCTCAGATTTTGAATAAAAAGCGATTTTTCAATAAAATGGCAATCAAGATGGTTGGTGTCGCCATGGCAATTTGCTAGTGACAGTTAGTAGCTATTTTCAAAATCGACATTAGTTTATAGACTTTATTTAAATTTATAACAGAGTTTACTTTTATTCAATTTACCTACAATAGTTTAATAAGTATTTATTATTTTATCAAGAAAAATAAAGAAGTAGTTCTTTTTTATTTATATTACGATGACTTGTAGATATATTGGATTTTCAATAAAAGAACCAATTAAGGCAAATTAATTTTCTTCATTTCCAATGACAGGTTTCTGCCTAATATTCATATACCACACTACCAGCTCTGCGAAATAGGAAAAGTTGTTTTTCAAAGGAACGCTTGAGCACAAACCCTTCACTAACAAGCAATAATTGTCCTCACAAAATAAAATCACTAGTAACATATCCATTCTTTCCGTCAGCAGATACTGCTTCATTTTTCTTGATAAAATAATAAATACTTACTTAATAACCTTATTGTAGATAAATTAAATAAAAATAACTTGTTATAAATTTAAAAAAAAAAAATAGTCCATAAACTAATGTCGATTTTGAAAATAGCTACTAAGTGTCACTAGAAAATTGCCATGGCGACACCAGCCATCTTGATTACAATTTTATTGAAAAATCGCTTTTTATTCAAAATTTAAGCCAAGTAAGTATAGGAAACTCTAATATAGTTTGAAAGAGCATTTAAATCTGCTTCGACTTATTTAAAAAAATACAGAGTGTTGCATTTGAAATAACGAAGTTTTTATGTAAAATAAATATTTAAAATAGACCAACAATTTTTGATACCCCTGTATACATTTGAGGAAGCAATCAAGTTTATTAGTAAAGTTTATTTCTCTGGCTTGAAAGTCAGCACAAAAATGAATTCTGAAAAGTAATGTACGAGATGTTGACAAACTTTTTTATTATAGCATGCATATTTAAATATCTTTAAATACCTCAAAAACCAAAGCTTTTAAACATATTAAACCCTTATAATAAAAGCCTTATTTTATGCTCAAGAATCCAAAAATGAAATAAAATACCGGGTGTTCCATAAGAAAAAATATAACTTTTGTATGGGTCTTAGTTCTGACACACCCTGTACATTTCAAAATAGTTTTAAATTGTGCACATTGCCTTCCCACATGTACCCATAAAATATTTTGTTTCTACATCTTTGCGTTTTCGTATAATCAACCGAGGCGGATGAGGTGCGCCACCCTGTATATTATTACTCTACTTAATTCTTTTCAGACTATTTTAGCTGATAGTACCAAACAATTTGGGATTAAAAAAAATGGTAAAATTTGGAATCGCTGTCAGCGCCATGATATTTATTGTTTAATTATGATTGGAAGCAGAAGGTATGCCATGGGTAACTGAGTTCTCTAAGACGACGTCCAGTTCGTCTAAAGGCCACAGAATTTGGGTTAAAAAAGTCAATAGGCCTCTTTCTCTTAAGAATGAATTATCCTCGTACATTTCTTGAGTTACCCTACTCGAAGACATGGGTACCAGCATTCTGTGAAGGAGGTGCTCCCTAAAAGTACATAAAAATTTATTGTTCTTAAACTAATAAAATAGCCATTTATAAATCAATACAAGTAACACATTAAAAATAAAAGATATAATAACAATTTAACAAAAGCAATACCAGATACATATCAGTTTCCTATTAAAGTGCAATAGAAGTTTCTAGATAATTACAATATCTAGATCAGAGATTTTTTGCACGTCATTGTTTCACAACGAGATCTATTGATTAAAAATATTTTTAATATGGCGGCACTTCCGGAAATATCGAATGTCGACAGCAACTTCTTATTTTAAACGGGCACCCCCAGTTTTATATCATATTTGAATTCTCTAGAAAATTTTATGAATTTTTATATTAAACATATAAAGGCCACAGAATTTGTTCATCTAACATCTATATCTAACATTAACCGTTTTTGAGAAAAAAAATATTTAAATTTTTGGCGGAAAAAAACTGCCTGTCAAAAAAAATTGTATAGTCTAAACGTCAAATTTAGTGATTATCACAGCCACTGTGACATAAAGAGAAGACATGTGTCTATCTATTTCAAATATTTTCGATTTTTGAAAGAAATCAGTACATGTATATTATTTCGTATATTTTTCATTTTATTGATTTTATGAAAAGCACTGTTCATTAAAATGTTGTATCCTATGTTATAGGGCTTGTTTCTCTCCACAATTTCCTGTTTCACAATGTACCGTTTGTGTCCAGGAAGGGTTCATAGTTTCATAGTTGTCGATTTTCGAAAGAAATCAGTACATGTATATTATTTCGTATATTTTTCATTTTATTGATTTTATGGAAAGCACTGTTCATTAAAATGTTGTATCCTATGTTATAGGGTTTATTTCTCTCCACAATTTCCTGTTTCACAATGTACCGTTTGTGTCCAGGAAGGGTTCATAGTTTCATAGTTGTCGATTTTCGAAAGAAATCAGTACATGTATATTAATTCGTAATTTTTCATTTTATTGATTTTATGGAAAGTACCGTTCATTAAAATGTTGTATCCTATGTTATAGGGCTTGTTTCTCTCCACAATTTCATGTTTCACAATGTACCGTTTGTGTCCAGGAAGGGTTCATAGTTTTATAGTTGTCGATTTTCGAAAGAAATCAGTACATGTATATTATTTCGTATATTTTTCATTTTATGGAAAGCACTGTTCATTAAAATTTTGTATCCTATGTTATAGGGCTTGTTTCTCTCTACAATTTCCTGTCTCACAATGTACCGTTTGTGTCGGGGAAGGGATCATAGTTTCATAGTTGTCGAAAATTTTAAATATTTTTTTCTCAAAATGGGTTAATGTTAGGTATAGTGTTTGATACCAAAATTCATAAAATTTTACAAGGAATTTAAGTATGTACCATTTAAAATATACTGCATTGGATTTGATTAAAATATACAAGAATGGAGTTATTTGTTGTAGCTGAAAATGAAAAAGACAAAACAATATTAAATTCAATTTACCGATCTGGGAGGATTCTAAATTATTGTTTTATTATCTATGGATTTTTAAAAATAGATATTTTCAGTGGCTAAGTCTTACCTGACGCCTAAACAAATAAAAAGCTGGAATTTCCCATCCTTTCCCAAATTTTTACTGGAATGCTTGATTTCATCGATTAGATGACAATAACATCTCCAAACGGCTACCGTTTCCTGATGATTCTTCTCCAACGACGTGGTTCTGGTTTCCGATAATTCGTCTATCAATTCTTGTTCAAACTGGTCTTTAACGCGAACTACAAGACTTGTATTAATATATTTTGTTTTCTAGAAATATTCGAGTAAAATACCGAAATAATCCCACAGGTAATTTTTTCCCATGAATAATCTGGCAGACTTAAAACCCAACAGAAAGATGTTTTCGAGGCAATGGACCAGACCACCTTCACCACAGAGTAATGCTGCGAGAGTTGTGTGTCTTTCGGAGTTTCTCGTGTATTTCCATTTTACAATGTTATTAACACAATCACCTAAAGAGAAAAAATAATTATTTTAGTACTATTATATCTGTGTTACATGAAATCATGTATTGTAAGGAAGAAAATTAACATCAAACAATATTAAACTGCATGATTACTAATAATTAATAATTTAATTCGGTTACCAGACGTGTAAGTACTACCACAGATCATACAGATTATAAACTTTGTTTTTTCTTTATAGTTTTTCGTGGTTCCAATTTTCGGAATCGGGCACTAGTTAGGATACTAGTTTGCGCACATAGCACGCCCACTTATGGCCTCTAAAACTGTGCTCAGCGCCTGACCGGCACAGTTTTTAGAGAGATATCGGAAAACCGAATAGCGTCATGCAGTATTTACGCGTACCTTATCATGGTTACGATATGCGCGAGTCAATTTTTAACGCAACACCCACTAATAACGTTACCGCCTGACATAATTTGCGGATCAATTATATCAAGCGCTATTTCTAAATAACATTCAAAAATTGCTTAAATGGGCATGTGCGGGTACATTTGACAACCGGGGGCGGCCGGCGAGCGGCGAGATCTTTAATTTTAGGTTATGTTTGAATTGTTTTGAATTATTACTTTAGTTTTATTAGGTAATTTGATATTTAAGTAGCTGGGATAAGTTTTAATTAAATAAATATGACCCAAAATATGGATTCCACCTCTTCCATTATTAAATAACCTATAAAGAGGCTTAGGTTTACAGCAGATGACGACTTTGCCCTTCTAAGAGAAATTGTTGCTTGTTGCCCTAAACCCACTGTCAGACGTTGAACAATGAAGCACTGGAAATAAGCACTTTAGCCCTTTGGTTTTAAAATACCTAGTAAACAAAACAATTTCAAAGTTTTAAATTCAAAGTTAGGTTAAGTTTAAATAGCGGACGTGACGAGAACAGAATTCTTTCCGATCTGATAACTATAAATGAAGAGAGTTAATACCACCTCACGTAAAGGAAATAACACCTGACCTTATTAACGTCCATGCACGCTATTCGGTTTAGCGATATCTCTCTATTACGCTGTTTATTGTTATTTTACGCGAGTTTATTTTTGCGCACAGGAAATTTTACTCGTTTGCACATCGTCATAAAAAACAATTTTCGTACCACGAATTAGGGATAAGATTTTTATCTGTATACATATAGTCAGGGTTGGCATGATTTAAATCGTGATTTAAATCAAGTGATTTTTTAATTTTAATCAGGCGATTTAAATCAAAAAATCAACTTTTTTAAAACTTTACAATAAATCGAAAAATAACTGTAAAAGTTATAAAAACTATAAAAAATATTTCTATAACATATATACCCTATATCTATTCGTTAAATAAAATGTTATAAAACTATATAAAAAATGATTTGTATAACACATATACCTACTACATATCTATTCATCAATTAAAATGTTGGACCGATTTTTGAAGTAATTTCGTGTGAATCCATTAGACTTCTAACCTCTGATGGGCAGAGATTTATTTTGAAATTTATGTACAAGTGACAAAAAAATGCTGTTCGAATACATTTCATTCGCAACCTCTAGTGCAGAAAAGGGTTCTTTTGATGTTAGACTATATGTTCAAATCGTTGTCAGAAAATATGCTGTTTTATATTTCTTTATTTTACACTTTGACAATAGATAATATTAATTTGATTCTCGACTTAAGACTATTTCCGAACAATAGTGTATTGTGTAAGGAGTAAAAATTAAAAATTATACTTTTTTGACGAGGTTGTACGTTTGACGGACCAGCGTAAACAGAGAGGCACAAAAGTACATTTTTACTCTGAGTAGAATATACTGTATTTTAACAAATTAAACATTACAAATAATATTTTGATCAATTTCAAACGTTGCAAATAATATAAAAAGTAATGCCTTATAAGTAATCGAGTAACAATTGTACACTCGTTGAAACTGACGCTTAATATCAGTTTAATAATATATTTTTGTACTTTTGTGCTTAGGCGTAAAAGTGCTTTACTTTTATGCCTAGACGTTGAAATGACAAAAATTAATACTCTTGTGGCATTTCAAAAAAAAATCCTTTTGATCTGATGCGAGCGACTTTTTTTGCGGAATATATTGGTGACCGATGAGAGAAAATGACACGCGACGTAGAATTGTTAATGTTGTCAGTATTGGGCAGAGTTATAAAGATTTAGCCATTTAGGATAGGACTTTAATTGGAATTAAGTCCTAATTATTTGGAAATCCGATTTAAATGTTTTCTATTAAAATCAAAAAAATCTGATTTAAATCAAAAAAATCTGATTTAAATTAAAAAAATCTGATTCTTTTATTTTTTTTAAAAAATCATGATTTTTTCCAACCCTGCATATAGTATACCTAATCTGTGGTACTACTATAAATCATACCAAATAAATTCTGGTCGCAACGACATGGCCTTCGCGTCGGCTAGCCGGATACATTGCGTACATAGGTGCGGCCAGATGAACGACCAGTTTCGGCAGGGCTGTCAGATCTAACGATTTTTTACGTTTTACTAATTAGAAAATATTAGAAAAAATTTACAAGAAATGTTAAAATATCCGAGTTAACTAAAAAGCAAAGTTCCTATTCATGAGCTTATTAAATGTTTTAATATCAAACAAAGTAATGTTTCTTCAAAGCCATACCGAGCGAAAATTACAAAAGAGCTACGATATACGGAGACAAAACCGAATAGAATATTTTTGAAGCAATTTAGCCCGTCTGGCCGTCACAGAGTGTTGCATCAGATATAAAAATAATAAATAAACACATTATATCAATAAAGGACAAAAATAGTATTGTTCATAAAAATTGAAAACAAATGATTTATTTATGACTTATTTATTACAAAAAAAACATAAATATTTAATTTTTTAACTCTATTTCTCGGTATTTGTGTTAGTACAGGGTAGTGAATTAGTCCTAGTAAAAATATAGTCTAATGGGCCCTGTTTGAAAAACATTAAATTAAATATAATATTTAAAATACAGTTGTCCCCCTTGTACATGACTACAACAACTAAAAAAACCAATTTAATCAAAAAATAACAAGTGGTTGTAGAAAAACTTTAAATATGATTTTTTTATTTTTTAACATCGAAACTCGAAGGTATAATAACATGTATCATACCAACCATAGAGTATGTCATATAAAATATGTTTTGAATTTTTACTAGAATCGACCCTTGATAAAAAAGGGACTAGATTTAAGTTTCCCTTTGATCCAGTCTGTATACTATTTCTTTGGATTTTCTGCACGTGTGCAAAAACTACACTAAAACACTATATCTTATAGAAAATAAAATATTTTGCGTTGAATTTGAGGGATTCCATCTGAAAAATTATTAATTTGGAAGAAAACCGGCAACAAGAGGCGGAAAATAATAATATCTTAGTGCAGTCTACTGGTCGCAACGACCAGCCAACGGCCAGGTCGTTCGTGTGCGTTGAATCATTTGATTTAATGCTTTTAGAGGTAGCAGCGGCCTGGGGCGCTATTCTGTACACGGCATCGACAATCGTCGGTATCGGTAAGTTACGACAGCTCTCGATACGTATTTGTATATAGTAAAAATGTGTTAATTGTTGTTGTCATAGTTACCGATCGGCCCTATGACAGATATCGCAAATTCGTACCGACGAGCGACGAGGATCGGTATCTCTACCGTGCCCTTGTTAACGTCACGGTAGAGATACCGATAGTTGTCGGTACAAATTTGCTATATGTCCTATTAATGACAGCTAAAACTATGATAACAACAATCAACACGACGCTCATTGGCCGTACGTACCGATAGCTGTCGGTAACTTACCGATACCGACGATTGTACAGAATAGCGCCCCTGGCCGGTGCGACCTGGCCGTCGCGTCAGTGTGTTCGAGCTCTTAAGGGACATAAAGGTCCATTACTACCCTTTTCCCGTTCAAAATATTCTAAAAAGCTTGAGTTTTTTTCAACGGCTATTAAGTTATCTTATACACTTCGCACTAAAAGAGGCTCTAAAAAGAACAATATTCGACTGCAAGGTCTGATAGTAAAAACATTTAAGCTTAAAATATCACAACACAATTCATTCAAACCAAAAACTCGTAATACAAAACTAAAGTATCAAAACGAATAAAAATGCCAGGAAATAAATAAATAAATGTGGCAACCTGACATTTTTTACCGCTACCACCTGAATTTCCAGCGGGAAATTTAAATTTCAGTTAGTCAGCCAGGCGCCGAATATGTCCAGGGTTGGCAACAATGAATTTAATCATTGCGCCCTCTATGACGTCACTAAAACTTTATTTGGTATCGCTTATAGGAAAAGAAGTTACTAAATATTAATCATTGGTTACATAATTCTGTTTTTTAGGGTTCCGTACCCAAAGGGTAAAAACGGGAACCCTATTACTAAGACCGTCTGTCCGTCCGTCTGTCACAAAGGTCTATCTTATGAACCGTTATAGCTAGACAGTTGAAATTTTTACAGATAATGTATCTACATATGTTGCCGCTATAAGAACAAATACTAGAAACAGAATTAAATAAATGTATATAATTAAAAAAGTACCGTATGATCGAAAAAAAATGGCGTCCAGTTGGCTGGGAAATGACGATCGATGACATTTCCCATATAAATTTACATATAAAATGACAGCGATCTTCATTTCATAGCCATCGCTGACGCCGTTTTTTCTCGATCATACGGTACTTTCATTAAACATTATCTTTTAAGTAAGAATTTTACATAGAATCTTTCAAGTCCTCGGTGGCCGCGTGGTTAAAGCGTTAGGACTTTACGCTGCTATGACGTTGGAGCCGTAGTAAGGCAGGTTCGAATCCTAGTCAAGGCGACTTTTTTTAATCGTTTTTTTTTATTTTTACATATTTATTTTTACTTTTTACATATTTATTATTGATTAATACAATTTTTAGTAATGTGTTTCTTATTTTTTTTTTAATTACTTATACGCGCATTCAAAATTTCCAGCTAAATCGGAAAAAAAGTTTATAATAATATTATTATAGTGGTCTAATGTTGTATAGATAATGAATGGCACAGAACCCTTCGTGCGCGAGTCCGACTCGCACTTGACCAATTTTTGTACTTTAAATGGCGCTAAACAAAAAATTAATTTACAATTTTTTTTTGTGATGCCACAAAAATTATGTTTCGGTTTTTCAAAATGTTGGCACACCGAGCTCAAAAAAGGTTCGTCATCACTGGTCTAGTACTCACCTAACATGCACTGTAATTCGGATACTTTAAAATCTTGTTTGGGCGAAGGTGCGGGTGATCTTGATCTTGGTGTACTCCTGCCTAAGCTGCCGATTGGTCGATTCTCATCCTCATCTTTTCTAAAAGACATCAAACTGCCCACTAAAAGTCTCTCTGTCGAACCATCATCTATGCCTCGACCTAACCATCTACCGCAAGTAAACCTAAAAGAATGTTTCAGAAAATTATATTCAAAAAACTTGATAATATGCACCTCTGGTTGAAATCATCTCATATAAATATACCATTAAAGCCTAATATTTTATATACCGGGTGCGTCTCAAAAGTGGCTCACCCTATAACTTTTTTATTTTAGCAGATAAAGAAACGAGATTTGCTATATTACTATATGACATAAATTAGGATCGATTGACGTATTCAATTCTTTTCGGCCACTTCCTGTTTCACCGGAATTGACTACAACTTTTGATTTTTAAAATGTTCAAATTAAAGATTGTCACAAATCTAAGGGCACAGAATAAATTTTAATAACAAAATTATAATGAAAGAAGCAGGGTTGGCATGATTTAAATCATGATTTAAATCGTGATTTAAATCAAGTGATTTTTTAAATTTAAATCATGTGATTTAAATCAAAAATCAACTTTTTTAAAACTTTACAATAAATTGAAAAATAACTGTAAAAGTTATAAAAATGTGTCCTAGAAAACTATAAAAAATATTTCTATAACATATATACCCTATATCTATTCATTAAATAAAATGTTACACTTGCTATTTTAACGTTTAAATACGTTGAATAAATCTAGAATAATTGTAAATGTTATAAAACTATATAAAAAATGATTTGTATAACACATATACCTATTACATATCTATTCGTCAATTAAAATGTTGGACCGATTTTTGAAGTAATCACGATTAGACTTCTAAAGGACAGGGATTTATTTTGAAATTTATGTATACAAGTGACAAAAAAATGCTGTTCGAATACATTTCATTCGCAACCTCTAGTGCAGAAAAAGGTTCTTTTGATGTTAGACTATGTCTTCAAATTGTTGTCAGAAAATATGCTGTTTTATATCTTTTTATTTTACACTTTGATAATGGATAATACTAATTTCATTCTCAACTTAAGACTATTTCCGAACAATAGTGTATTGTGTAAGGAGTAAAAATTATACTTTTTTGACAAGGTTGTACGTTTGGCGCATGATACAAAAGGGGGGCACAAAAGTACTTTTTTACTCCGAGTAGAATATACTATATTTTTACAAATTAAACATTACAAATAATTTTTTAATCAATTTCAAACGTTGCAAATAATATAAAAAGTAATGCCTTGTAAATAATTGAGTAACAGTTTGTACACTCGTTAAAATTAACGCTTACTCTCAGTTTAATGATATATTTTTGTACTTTTGTGCTTAGGCGTAAAAGTGCTTTACTTTTACGCCTAGGCGTTGAAATGACAAAAATTAATACTCTTGATCTTAAATCCTTTTGATCTGAAGCGAGGGACTTTTTTTGCGGAATATATTTGTGACCGATCTGGGAAAATAACACGCGCCGTAGAATTGTTGATGTTATCAGTATTGGGCAGAGTTATGAAGATTTAGCCATTTAGGATAGGACTCTAATTGGAATTAAGTCCTAATTTTTAATTTTTCAAAAAAATAAAAAAAAACTGATTTAAATAAAAAAATCTGATTTTTTATAATTTTTTTTAAGAAATCATGATTTTTTCCAACCGTGGAAAGAAGCGACAGCTTCTAAAAGAAAAATAAAAAAGGCTTTTTAATACAATCTAATAAAAATAAATGTATTGCTCATGCATCTGTAGATGTTAGTAATGTATGGCAATAGCTTCTTTGATTTTATAGAACATAAATAAACATAACATACGTAAAAATTAAAAATAATCATACAGAAAGTTTGGGGCTTTTTGGTTTTACCTTATTAAGTAATTGTTATCAGGTAGTAATTGTTAATTTTGAAGTTTAACTTGATATAATGTCATTTCATAGATAAATGCAACAAGTTTAGATTGGAAAGCCCGTAAAAATTTTGGGTCGCGAAATTATTTTGGGTCGCGACCGTTATACGCGATCTGGCGCTGCTATAGCGGTCGCTAAGAACAACGGCAAACAAAAACAGAAATAATTTTCTCTTGTCAAAGTCAGAATCTTCAAAAATCATAATAATCATAGATAAATGCAACAAGTTTAGATTGGAAAGCCCGTAAAAATTTTAGGTCGCGAAATTATTTCGGGTCGCGACCGTTATACGCGATCTGGCGCTGCTATAGCGGTCGCTAAGAACAACGGCAAACAAAAACAGAAATAATTTTCTCTTGTCAAAGTCAGAATCTTCAAAAATCATAATAATCTTTCAAAATCTAAACCGCTCTCATTAAAGAAATTCCGAAAAATGTTTATAGCGTTCATTTTCAAAGTAATTATTGCTATCTTGTGAGTTTAATTCAAGTTTTATTTACTCCAACCGGTGATAATTGTGAAAAAGTGGCATTAAAAACTTAAAAAGCTGTGCTGTGAACTGTGAACTGCAAAAATCATCGTGGATCGTGGCATAACGTCGGTTTCCAATGTTTCATAGGTATTTCATACATGCGTCCTTATATAAAATAAAGTTTCTTGTATGCAACACACTGTCCTTTATTTTAAAATTAAACGAAAATAATAATAAATTTGAATAAACAATATTTGGCGATATAATTCCGGAAAAAGCCGAACCGCTCCGAAATTTTCTAAAGTTTTGGGTCGCGATCGTTGCAAAAATAGCGCCAAATAGTGTTTACATTGTCCTTATGGGCACTTTCCAATCTAAACTTGTTTCATTTATCTATGTGTCATTTTAACAGAACGTCAACGGTTTTTGTAGACGTATCTGTTTTAAAAAACTAAAGTGTTCTCGATTAGTTGAATTTAAATATTTTAAATAGTTTTTTTTCTTTATTCTTTGTATTTTTTTTGCTTCCGACGACGGAAAGAGATAAACTTTCCGAAACGTTAAGCATTTTTTTGTTATTACAGTTGAGGGTTGGAACCTTTGGTGTTACACAGCAAAATAAAACACTGAATCACCACAATACACCGAAACACTTTTACTTTTACACTGGACGCGCGTTTCGCTAACCATGTTAGCATCACGCATTAGCGAAACGCGCGTCCAGTGTAAAAGTAAAAGTGTTTTGGTGTATTGTGGTGATTTAGTGTTTTATTTTGATTTTTTTGTTCGTCAGGCAAATTTGTATTGTTTGTATCTGTAAACAAAATTGTTATTTGTATCTGTAAACCTAACTTCTGACAAGTAGTTTCCGTTTGGATTAACGCAGAAGTGTTTACAAAAAATAACTATTTTATTTTGTAGATTTTCTTGCAGTGGCGAAATATCCATATAGGATTTTTTGGAGAGATGAATCCGCCACATAGGTATAGACATTTTTTACTTACTTATAGGTGTGTCCTGTAATATCGTTCCTAACCAATATATAATCCACCATAAGTTTCGTGTATAGTCCGGAATTATCGTGACCTATTCTCAACGTAGTCAAAACTCCAATATTTCGATGCCTGCATTCGAAGTCATAGGTATTCTTCGGCACTGCGATCCTCTGAGTTTCCGACAAAGTTCCAGATAGTACCACCCAAACATTGGCAGAAGTATAAGCCCCTTTCTTATTGGTAATGATGACAATCCTGTACGGTACTACCGTCGTAGGGTAGGTACTGGTAAAACAGAAATAATCGACGGCATTCAAAGAGAGCAAGTGGTACAAAAATTGTTCTTTCTCTTCTTCGCAACGTAAAAAAGCGGAGCGTTTGTAAAGGTCTTTTAGGAGTTGTTGGTCGGTGAGCAAAGTTCTGAAATGTCGCGACAGTAGTTTTTTCTCGAGAACCAATCGGACCCAGGCCCTGGCAAAGCCGATGCCCGTCTTGACTTCGGGCATCGATTGCACGTTGGCAATATCGAAAAATATGGTGTTGGATAGGCTGGGTAACTCTGACTTTGATCCCGGGCTGGGCCAACTGTCTAGGCTCGTTGATAACCGAGAAACGTCTGAAAAAAAGTATATTTGCCAATCGATGTTGTCCAGTGTGTCCCATTTTCGTGTTCTTTACGAAATATTTCTGGAAATATTTCGTAAAACATTTCTGGAAATAGTACAATAAATATAAGTCCGTGTTATAAAAATTAGTTCCCACGTTTCCTGAAAATCACGGCGGGTCTCGATCTATTTCAGGAAACGTGGGAAACTAATTTTTGGGTTCCGTACCCAAAGGGTAAAAACGGGAACCCTATTACTAAGACTTCGCTGTCCGTCCGTTCGTCTGTCACAAAGCTCTATCTTATGAACCGTTATAGCTAGACAGTTGAAATTTTTAAAGATAATGTATCTATGTTGCCGCTATAAGAACAAATACTAAAAACAGAATTAAATAAATGTTTATAAATAAAAAAGTACTTTCACTTGTAACCCCTAAAAGATTCAAGGCAAAATTTATGTAGTTTGGCGAAGACGCTGGGAAATACCGAAAATAAGAAAATAATAAGGAAGCCACGCTAGAGTTTTGGGGGTTAGGTTAGATTGGTTTTGGCGCTGATACGCATAGAGTCTTTTGTATTTTTCTAATAAAAATTGATAAAATTTAGGTGGTGAAGTTTGAATTTTGTGTATTCTTACACACTAAACATTATCTTTTAAGTAAGAATTTTACATAGAATCTTTCAAGTCCTCGGTGGCCTCGTGGTTAAAGAGTTAGGACTTTACGCTGCTATGACGTTGGAGCCGTAGTGAGGCATTTTTCTCTGTACCACGGCAGTAAGGCAGGTTCGAATTCTAGTCAAGGCGACTTTTTTTTAATCGTTTTTTTTTTATTTTTACATATTTATTTTTACTTTTTACATATTTATTATTGATTAATACAATTTTTAGTAATGGGTTTCTTCATTTTTTTTAAGTTACTTATATGCGCATTCAAAATTTCAGCTAAATCGGAAAAAAAGTTTATAATAATATAGTGTCTAATGTTGTATAGATAATGAATGGTACGGAACCCTTTGTGCGCGAGTCTGTATGGCACTTGACCAATTTTTTTATAACACGGACTTATATTTATATTTATTGTACTATTTTGTAAAATAGCACGTGCAATCAAGGTCAAACCTGAGATGGCTTCAGGAAGATAAGTAAACATGGAAAACCTGATATGAAAACAGTTACCGATGGTAAATTAAATTGGCTATTCCTCGAAGGTTACACAAGAATATTTACTTTTAATCATTGTCTAATATTATTAATTACAATATAGGAAAAAAATATAAAACAGTGACTAACTAGCAGTCTACCAATTATCGCTTTATAATCCACGGTATTGCGCCTCATGAACAAAATATAGACAAAATTTTTGACTATATTATTATATAAAAAATTGTCTAATTATTTACTATTTCTGGTTATGGTAAAGTAACATTTATACTGTAGTCTGCAGCAAAGTTTAGTTTACGAATTTGGTTTGGTTTTTCTAGTTTTAATTGTCTAAATCCCTGCCTAATAAATACTAGTTGAATGAATTTATATCAAACCATGCTGGGTGCTAATAAAAGTATCGTTTACAGGTTTCTCTTAAGAACAATAAAAGAACAAAATTTGCTTTTAAATAATTTCCGTGGACCATACTTTTGTTTACATCAGGTCGATTAATAATTTTCCCAAGCGGATATATTGATAATGTTACCAGTATTACTCATCAAGCAATACTACTCTTATATTAATCAATTAAGGCCGTAAACAAACATATTGTCAATGTGTATGTGGCTCCATCTGTCGGAGAAGCGAGCAACTAAAACCGCAATAGAATGTACTAGTAGATGGCGGACCCGTCCCGATAATTTTGGATTGTTCGCGAAACACTGACCACAGCTATATAAAAGGAGCGCTTACGACAGTTGGACAGTCTGAAGATAGTCTGAAGTTTGATAATACCGCGAAATACCGTTAGAATAATAGTAGTTGCATAAATTGTGTTGTTAATAGTATAAGTTGTGTGTACAGAGTGAGACAAATAAATTCGTTAAGTATTTTATCGTGAGTTTAAATAGTGGACCCACGGAATCCGTAACAATATCATATACAATTTTATATACTAATTCATTATAATAAAATTAAAAAATCATAAAAATATTGTAATTATATTCCTGCAGTTTAAGTGAAAAGTTTTGTTCCTAAATATCTACTATACATATAATAAACGCCTGTTCAAATATTAATTTTGTAGAATACATATCAATATAATATAAAACGAGATGTAATTAACGAAATATCATTGTAACAGCTATTTTAGAAACGTCTAGGATTACTTATTTCACTGAGATTTATGAAAAAAAATCCTTTGCCTCGGGTACAGATACCGCCACGTTTTGGAAATAGCTCAAAACAAAACAAGATTGAACGAGGCAATAAAAAACGCCCAAAAAAATCCCCCCATGCCCTTCTCATGAGTAATTTTCAGGCGCTTTTAAGAATCGAAAGTAGGTCGAGGCAAACCGAAGTGGGTTAAGACAACTGGAAATAAATCGAAATTGGGCGACGAAATGCGACTTTGACATGTTTCGAACAGTTTTTCGCATAGTGTAGGGGCTGGTTTATATTTTATAGGCAATCATTTTTTTACCTGCCGTTAAATAATTGTTGTCCTTTTTGTTCATGTCCTGATATTTTTCCTGGTAAATTAACAAGTGCGACCACAAAGCCGACTTTCCTCGTTTTTTCTGCAGACCGTGCGACCACACGCGCTCCAAAAAATCACACAGAGCTGCCACCAAAGTATTTTCTTCGACAGCACCAAAACTGTCCGACGAGAGATTACTAGATAATGTCACACCTTCGGCACCCAGTTTAGCTAGAAGCATGCGCTTTGTTTTCGCCTTACAATCCTAAAAACACATAAAATAAATTGCACAAATAAACAATTATTATATTATAAAAAAATTGGCGCCGGGAGACACGTATAGCCGCCCATACTAAAATATGTTAATAAAAATTTAGTAGGCAGTTCTTTTTGTTTCGTAAGTAAAGGAATTTTTCCAATTTTGGTCGGCGGTTATTTCCCCTAACCGCCACCTGGGGTCGCGTCCGATGGGAGTTTGGAGTTCCCCACACGGATTTTCTCAAAAACGGACTAAGGAAACACGGAATATCTCAAAAACTGCGACTTTGACTGATTTTGATGTTATTACAAATTTTGTTGCAAATATTATTCCTAATCTTAAATTGAAAACTGCGTTTCGCTAGCTACTGTAATTTTGGAGTTACGACTTTTTTAAATTTTAAACCCCCTCCCATACCCCCTTACCAACCCCCCACACCCACCAAAAACTAATGGTCAGATTCTCGGGTGCCACAGTATTTTTGTGCCAAATTTGGTTAAAATCGGTTTAGCGGTTTTTGAGTTATCGTGTTACGGATAGACGGACAGACAGACAGACAGACACCATAAAAATATTTTGTATTTAGGTCATTTATGTTATGACCCAAATAATTCATTTTGAGTGAAATAAAAAAAAACCTTTTTTTTTGTCGATCTTAATAGCAACCTATTGGTATGGTCGGCTAAAAAGTAGTAGTCGTTTATATTATTACTAGAGATGTGTAGTTTGTGAACCGATTATTTCCAATGAACTATTCCGACCCCGGAATGAAAGGAATTAGTTCCCGGTTTCTCAAAGAACTAGTTCCTCAGGACCTATTACGAGATCAAGACTGTGACCGATATAAATAACATGCGACAGCGACGGATCAGCCAGCGCGATCGTAGCTCGAGGCAGGAGTGGGGAGTGCCAGGCGTATATTACCGGATCCGGACCTAGAGGAACTAAATATGGTAATCGAAAACAATTTCCGATGCACGTGATCAATTTTGAGTGACAAGCGATGGCGACAGCGCTGCCAGATTGTGATGGATTTATGAGATGAATCTTAATTTAAAAGTGGCTTTGTTTTATAGTTTATTTCACTAATTACAAATTGGCAAAAACTAGTCCATTATGAAGATTATTCTAAGCGTCATTATGTGTTATTTATTTATTTATTGGTGTACATTTTATAACGCCATAGGTAGTAATAACAAGTAAGAGGACGCTATTAATGCACAAACTAATAATCACAGAATTTAATAAAAACTATGGGCTCTAACTCACTGACGACCAGGTCGCAACGACCTGGCTGTCGGCTGGCCGGATGTATTGCGTTTATAGCTGCGGCCAGATGAACGACCAGTTTCAACAGAGTTGTCAGATCTAACGATTTTTTACGTTTTACCAATTAGAAAATATTGTTTCAGAAAGAATTAAGTTTCAAAAATGTTAAAATATCCGAGTTAACTAAAAAGCGAAGTTGCTATTCATGAGCTTATTAAATGTTCTAATATTAAATAATGCATTTAAAATATTCTTGGATTTTTCGTTAATAAATACTGGTGTGGTATATAAATGGAGTAAGTAAAATCTCCAACCCCGACTATAGGATAACGTCGTTATTTCCATGTTTTTCAAATCCTGATGATTCCATCAGTCGTTTCATAACAGAATATTCTACATCCTACGTCTATGAAATTTAATATGTCGTGTAGAGTGAGACATGTAACTCGTGAGATTTTCAGCATTATATCAATAAAGGACAAAAACAGTATTGTTCCTAAAGGCGCGTCCAGACTTTGGCATTTTAGCCCGAACGAACCGAGCGCGCAGGAACAAGCAGAACAAATAGGTCGAACAAAAAGCATTGTGTACGCGCGACCGACAAAAAGGGAGATATTCTGTTTCTTTTTTCTACTGATATGGACTTCTACTGATGGCTCTTATCGACTTTAGAAGTAAACATATTAGGGCCATCGTAAAAAAAATCGTCAGACACTGGCTCTAAATATAAGCAGGTAGAAAGTTTAGCTTCCAGTTATTTCAATGTTTACAATATAAATTCGTCTTTTTTATTAAATATTTCTATTTTTATGAATGTTTAAGTTACTTTTACTCTTAATTTTTTTTCAAATAATGTACCTAGTAGAAATATAGTCTGATGAACCCTGTTTGAAAAACGTTAAATTAAATATAATATTTAAAATACAGTTGTCCTCCTTGTACAGGGTGGGTCAAATTCGACGCTTTTAAATGGAAACACCCTTTTCTATAGGTGATAGACAAAAACTAATATCGGTGTCTGGAGCTCAATTTTTGTCAAAAACATGATGGTGAAGACCGTGTATCGATGTCTGTTACCGTTTCGGAGTTACGGGGTGTTTTTCAAAAATATGCATTTTTAACAAATCGCTGTAACTTTTTTACTATGGAAAATTTTGTATTTTTATGAAAACATTTCCAAAGCACCTTTTTACGCAGAATTTAATGGTTTAAGTATAATTTTTTTAAAATTAATAATTTAAGAATTATCAATAGAAAATTTGTTTTTTTATATGGGACACCCTGTATATTTTTAATTTATCGAAAAGAATTTAAAATTACCTTTCCAAAAATATAACACACTTGATATTTTGCTCGATTCCTCTTCGAGATATAGAGTATATAAAAATTCGCCCGCTTTAAATAAGTAGGCTTTGAACGGTACCGGCTGTAATGCAAAAAAAATCTAGCTGTGAGCATCAATTAAAAGGAAAATAATATTTGCTATGAGAGATACAGAGTTTTATAACAATTTAAAATATATTTAACCAACATCAACACATTTAAACTATATCTAATAACAATAAAAATAAATAGCAAACCGCAAACCAAGACATGAGATTTTGCTACAGGTGTTCGACATATCGACCGTCTTCTGTTATGGACAGACGAGGCAGTTTTAAAACACTTCTCGCGGAATTCATTAACACAGTGGTGGTGAAAGATACCCTCTCATAACTGCTAAGTATTTCTAATTCTTGTGTAGATTATACGGAAGAATAAGGAACCTTTATTCTTCCGCAAATATATCCATAGGATTAGATCCATGGGCACTAAGTCAGGTGACCTCGACGGTCAACGGCTGGGATCTTGGTTAGCTATTCAATTATTCTTGAAATTGGCTGCAAAAATTTGCTGATAACTTCAGCGTTCTTAGGCGGTGCGTCGTCTTGCTGATATAAAGAAATATGTTTTCCAGTTCCATTAAGGGCATATCATCAATGAGGGGTCCAAAGCCTACTAGTTAAAAGTGGCGAACTTTTAAAAATTCTGTATTTTGAAGGGGATTATAACAAAATATCAAGTGTGCTATATTTTTGGAAAGGTAATTTTAAATTCTTTTCAGTTAATTAAAAATATAGAGGGTGTCTCAAATAAAAAATCAATTTTTCTGTTGGTAACTCTTAAATTATTAATTTTAAAAAAATTATACTTAAGCCATTAAATTCTACGTAAAAAGGTGCTTTGGAAATGTTTTCATAGAAATACAAAATTTTCCATAGCAAAAAAGTTATAGCGATTTGTTAAAAATGCACATTTTTGAAAAAAAAACCGTAATTCCGAAACGGTAACAGATATTGATGTGCGGTTTTCACCATCATGTTTTTGATGAAAATTGAGCTTCAGACACCGATATTAGTTGTCGTCTATCTCCTATAGAAAAGTCTATCTCCTACACATTTAAAAGTGTCGAATTTGACCCACCCTGTATATGACTATGCATACAACTAAAAAAATAATTTAATAAAAAAAACAAGTGGTTGTAGAAAAACTTTAAATATGATTTTTTTATTTTTTAACATTGTAACTCGAATGTATAGTAACAGGTATCATACCAACCATAAATAGAGTATGTCAGATAAAAATGTTTTAAATTTTTACTAGAATCGACCCTTGATAAAAAAGGGACTAGATTTAAGTTTCCCTTTGATCCAGTCTGTATACTATTTCTTTAGATTTTCTGCACGTGTGCAAAAACTACACTAAAACACTATATCATATAGAAAATAAAATATTGTGCGTTGATTTTGAGCAACCGGCAACAAGCGGCAGAAAATTATAATATTTTAGTGGAGTCTACTGGTCGCAACGACCAACGGACGGCCAGGACGTTAGTGTGCGCGGTATCATTTGATTTGGTTTGATGATAGTTTCACCCCCTTAGAATTCGAGTTTCGAAAAATCCCTTCTTATCGAACCTCTGCACCCTAAAGTCAATCTGTTTTCCAAAAATCAGTTTTTTACGTCAAGCGCTTTAAGCATGATCGTGATTAATCAATGACCAGATTTTTCGAAACACCCTGTATACATTTTTTAAAAATCTTAAAATATGGCAAAAAACAAAATAAAATATACGTGTTTAAGCGTTTTTTCGGAAACTTGATCGTTTTTTAAATAAAAAAATATTGTAATATTTGAGGGGTGGTTTCACCCTCTTGGAACTGGAATTTCGAAAAATCCCTTCTTATCGAACCTCTACACCTTAGAATCAACCTGCATGCGAAAATTGAGCTTCTTACGTTGAGTGGTTTGAGCAGGATCATGATTAATCAGTATGTCAGTCACTTAAGGATTTTATATATTATAGTATAGATTATCGATCGTTATTCATAAGCCAACTAAGGCGCAATTTTTTTTCAATCAGACGGTATTATAATTACAATCAAAAGTTATTTATGCTGATTTAGATTTTTTCAGAAAGTAGTATTTGTTTCCTAATTTCATTGTACCGGGTGGTCAACTAAGAATGGACGCCGGCTGTATCTCAGAAACTACTTATCGTACAACTTTGGGTAAAAAATTCTAATATGTAAATCGATCAAGAGAAATCGCTGGAAATTATTTTCAAATTCGAAAAATGTCCGCTAGAGGGCGTTTCTCTGATAGCCAATCAGAAAACAGAGGTTTTCTCAAAAATATGCAGGTGAACAGGTATTTTAAATATTACTATTGTAATCATCGAGAAATTTGTAATTTTTTTGATATAGAGTATTTTGCTCTATCTCATAAAATAAAGTGGTGGGGGGAGTTTAAATTTGCTTTTATTAAAATAAGGATAACTCTGTGGGGTGTTTGGGTTACCCGATTTAAACAAACTAGGGCTCGTTTAAAAGAGCTTTTCTTTCTTAATGATCTCCAGTATAAATTTTGTTTCCATAATTTTTTTCGTGGTAGCTACAGGGCGCTGTTTGACATCATAACAGATATTGCGCTTTTGCACAAAAAAATTAAATAGGAGGCTATATTTCTCTTTGCGCAGTTAAATAGAGCACAAAATTTCCAAAATATCAGCGCAAACCACAACTTTCTATCTTCTCTCTAACCGGAGATAATAAGAGAACAAATTATGTTAGGCTGCCGCTTAGGATTATATAGTCTAAAAATTATAGTAGTAGGCTAGGAAACAAACAGAGGTAACTTGGTTACGTCAAAATATCAAAACATGAATTTCATTTTAATATCATTTAAGTGTTATTTATCCATGTTCGTTCTTGATTCGACCCCATAAATTAAAACCCAGGCATATTGAATCCGATGACCTAGTTGGCCATGGAAATATGCCGCTCCAGCATCTCTATCTACTAAAGTAAGTGGTATCCAAGAAGCCCTACACATTCATAGCAAAATAAGCGGCACAACTGCACCAACTACATCAACTACACCAACTGCATTCATGCTGATAAAATTGCAACAAATGCAATTTCATCATGATGAATCCCCTAACAAAATTGTCAATTCATTTCTTAGAAATTATGGATAGTTCATTTCATTCAGACAATTAAAAAGGTCCAATCATTCGCCGTCCTAGAAATCCTGCCTAAACATTTACCGACCAACGGTCTTGGTGCTGAACTACTTGCACCGTTATTTGGACCAGTAGTGCATATTGTTAAGATTCGCACCTTCGGCTTCGGTGCTATATGAAAGGTGATCCAAATGACATAAACGTTATGATATAATAATAAGTAACACAAAACAACAGGTAAAACACGAAAACAAGTGAAATCAAGGACTAACTTGGATTAATACTAACTAAAATTAAACTAACCTGTAATGACGTTACATTAAATAAACTCCTAGTTTTCGGCCATACGAAATTCGGCCGTTTTCTGTTAAAAGCAATACGGCGCGGCGGCACAAAATTCCTAGAAATTTTATTAAAATTATTGATTGTCCGACTTTCGGACATTTTAATTTGAGAACTACCTACTACCTACGTATAATTAACAAAGAAATTCGTAAAAATTATATGGATGGATGATAATGTTACATAAACACGTTTAAATATTTATGACGTCAATTTTTTTTTAAGAAAACGCCCGAAATTCGCATGCATGAAAACTGAACTTAAACGTTTTGATATTTTGACATAACTAATTAACCTCTTTTTGTTTCTTAGCCTACTACTATAATTTTAAGACTATATAATCCTAAGCGGCAACCTAACATGATTTGTTCTCTTATTATCTCCGGTTAGAGAGAAGATAGAAAGTTGCGGTTTGCGCTAATATTTTGGAAATGTTGTGCTCTATTTAACTGTGCAAAGAGAAATATAGCCTCCTATTTATTTTTTTTATGAAAAAGCGCAATATCTGTTATGATGTCAAACAGCGCCCTTTAGCTACCACGAAGAAAATTATGGAAACAAAATTTATACTGGAGATCATTAAGGAAGAAAAGCGCTTTTAAACGAGCCCTAGTTTGTTTAAATCGGGCAACCCAAACCACAGAGTTATCCTTATTTTAATAAAAACGAATTTAAACTTCCCCCAACATTTTATTTTATGAGGTAGAGCAAAATACTCTATATCAAAAAAATTACAAATTTCTCGATGATTACAATAGTAATATTTAAAATACCTGTTCACCTGCATATTTTGGAGAAAAACCCTGTTTTCTGATTGAGTATCAGAAAAACGCCCTCTAGCGGACATTTTTCGAAATTGAAAATAATTTCCAGCGATTTCTCTTGGTCGATTTACTCTGTAGAATTTTTTTCCCAAAGTTATACGATAAGTAGTTTCTGAGATACAGCTCTCCTATTTTTTAAAGATTCTATTAACTACGATTGACTACAAACTTCAACAAACCATAAAAAGTATACAATAAACTGAGAAAATTAAACTTATTATTATTATTTTATATACATTAGTTGACCATAGATAAGGAAATAGATTAAGGCTGACTTATCTCAGCCTAAATATTTACCGCTGAGCGGCTGACTGTTGCTGTTCGTCAGAATAGACCGTTTAGGGAAATCGCTTACTCAGCCACTCAGCCGCTGACCGTCCCTGAACGCGCACAATGTTAGTCGGGACCTATTGTGAACTAAAGATCTAGTTCAAGGAACTACTCCACTGGAGGAACTAGAATTCCTACCTCTAATTATTACTTACCGCTAGTAACTTTTCTACGAATGTCCAATTGGCTTGAGCAAGCAAAGCAGGCGACACATCTTGCTTGTTTTGCGCTTTTACATTTCTATCTAAGGTAGGGATGGGCGGCTTCCCGAACGTGTAACCCTTCTTCAGCTCTCTCGCCCTAGGAATGCTCCCCTTACTAACAACCGGAGTCTTATTCAAGACATCCTTGTTCAACACCGGAAACTGCCGACTTAGGTTCGGCCTGACGTTCATTATTTCCCTCGGCAACTGGGACTCGAAATCCGGATGATGGAACCTGCGTTCCAGGAGTTTTTGAGTGTCGTGAATGATAGTGCACGGTTCGTAGGTGACCGATCTTAATAAATTTTCACCTCCGTAACGTTGTCTTAGAAATTTGATTCTGTTGTCGAATATGAGGAGGTTATTGTCCAGTTCGCCCCACTGGGATAGAATTTTGTTGTCTATTAACGTGGCGAACATTTGAGATTCCAGAAACCTCCAGAGGAACAAGCGATCTTGCTCGGGTTGATCGGACAAAAACGAAGCTTTGTCGAAATTCTGCATTTCGTCTCTATTATTAAACCAGTCTTCTTTGTTCTAAACGAAAAAAAAATCGATAAATATGTTGATACATACAGGGTGTCCTAATATTCTGTGGATATTAGAGTGGGTCAAGTGGTACTTTGAAAAAAAAAGCTTGGTAGACACCTCAAAAAAATTCTCTCCTTGTTTGAATGTCATACTTGGAGAGAATTTTTTTGAAGTGTCTTCCAACCTTTTTTTTAGAGTATAAAATAAAAAAAAAATAGTAAATTTTTTTAAACCACCCTAGTGGACATAAAACTACTACGTATTTTTGGAATCGAAATAATTTTGGACACAATTTACCTCTATTACCACATTGCACAGTGGTTCCCCTTAATTAGCTGCGCGGTCATTACTGTTAGATATCTAGATATAGCTTGACTGTACTTATTTTAATAGAAATTGATAACAAATGTTAAATAAATTTATATAAAAACTTAATGTAATATGTATTAAAAAAATTCGGCCCAGTTCGTGTGATTTGCATTTTAAGCACTATTCGGAAAGTCTGTTGAAAAAAACTATTTGGATTATGTTTGCACATATGGACATGTATTTTCATATTGAAGAGGTCAAATTTATTTTAAATGTTGAAAAAATAAAAGAGACACAGTTGTTTCATTTTATATAAATACAATTTTATTTTCAATTGATATACAGTGTGTCCACGAAATAAATTGACACGAAGAGGAAAAAATAAGTTACTTTTATTTTAAGACATAAATAACCACCCGGATTAAGATCCGGCGGCAATTCGCGGCAGCCAGTGGCAATTAATTTATATGCAATATACTTTAAGCAACAAGTATTATCATGCCGTTTAAGAGGATTTGAAAGGGAAAGTAGTTAAAAATCTTAAAGAGTGACAAGCAAAAATGTAAAAATACTATTTTTGTTGCCTTCAAATAAATTGCCATAAACTAATATTACTTAGGTTTAATTAAGTGCAAAAAAGAAAAAAACAGTTCTTTTTACCTTCTTTTCGAATGTCCATTACAGAAAAGGCAACAGCTTTTATCAATTTTAATAAAATAAGTAATTAATTAGCGTTATCTGAAAATTGTTTATGTCAGCTTGATACCAGTAGCAAAAATGTGACATTTCTAATAAAAAAAGCGCTACACTAGGCTTATTTGACTTTGTTATTTATTATGTATCGTTTACAGGGGAATATAAGAAAAGTATTAGCAACAGTTTCATGCAAACATTTTGAAATTAATATTTCTAAGTAATGACCTATCTGGGAACCACTGTGCATTGGACACAATTTACCTCTACGGGGTGTCCCAGGCTGAGCGTGCATTAGAAGTTTCTAGAGAACCATAATATCTAGATCGGAGATTTTTTGCCCCTCAATGTTTTGCAATGAGATCTATCGATTAAAAATATTTTCAATATGGCAGCACTTCCGGAAATAACGGAAGTTGACAACAACTTCCTTATTTTAAATGGGTGCCCCCATTTTTGATTGCATACTTAAATTCTCTGTAAAATTCTATGAATATTGATGTTAAACACTCTATATCTAGTATTAGCCGTTTTTGAGAAAAAAATATTAAAAAAACTACCTGTCAAAAAAATGTGTATAGCCTAACAGTCAGATTTAGTGATTTCCAGAACCACTGTGACATAAAGAGAAGACATGTGGCTATCTATTTCAAAAATTAAATTGTTCAAATGTCATATAATAATGGCGGTAGCCGTCATGCAATTGAACGATTAAAAATTTAGCATAAATCATTTTTTTCAAATGGAAACCCACTTTTTTTATTTCACTAATGAAAAGGTTTTTCAATTCGTTACTTTTTAACTATACATGTTCCTATACCTAAAATAAATCGTTTTATAGTTATTTAAGATTTAATTTGAAAACGTATATTTTTCTTCATTTTATCTAGCTTCCTTTGACATTAAATGTCAAACGGTCAGACAATTTATTTCCCTCTGCCAAAAAACGAATTATTTGAATTTCCTATAATATTAAAAAGTGTACTTATAAAAATATATCTCGTATTTAATAGTTGATATTATTAATAATATTCCATATGATCGAAAAAAAAACAGCGCAAAGTTGGCTCGGAAATGATGCTGCTTTTTGAACAAAGCGTCACAATATAATATGGCCAGATCTATTGTTTTACATCACTTGACGTTTAAAGTCATAGGTTACTGGTTAAAATCAAGAAAAATATCCGCTTTAAAACTAAATCTTAAATAACTTAAAAACGATTTATTTCGTATTAGGTATAGGAACATGTATAGTCAAAAAGTAACGAATTGAAAAGCCTTTTCACTAGTGAAAAAAATGGGTTTCCATTTGAAAAAAATAATTTTTTAATCGCTCAATTCTATGACAGCTGCAGCCATTATTATATGACATTCAAACAATTTAATCTTTGAACAAGATAGCCACATCTTTTCTCTTTATGGCACGGTGGCTGTGGTAATCACTAAATTTGACGTTTAGGCTATACACATATTTTTGACGGGCAGTTTTTTTCGTTCAAAAATTTTAAATATTTTTTTTTCTCAAAAACGGTCAATTTCAGATATAGAGTGTTTATATCAAAATTCATAAAATTTTACAGAGAATTTAAGTATGTAATAAAAAATGGGGGCACCTATTTAAAATGAGAAAGTTGCTGTCAACTTCCGGTATTTCCGGAAGTGCCGCCATATTGAAAATATTTTTAATCGATAGATCTCATTGCAAAACAATGATCTCCGATGAAAAACTCTCTGATCTAGATATTGTAGTTCTCTAGAAACTTCTAATGCACGCTCAGCCTGGTACTCCCTGTATACAGAAGTTCTTCGTTTGTCCGATAGAGGCCATCAAACTTTAAAAAATTGTGATTGGGACACCCTGTATTTCAAAATATTAACCCTCAACTGGCGTGGTAGGGTCCAGCGGACCCCAAGCACTATTTCAACCTCTGTAAAATGTTTACGTTTAAGAATTAGGCCTCGCCGCGCCATTTACCTTTAAGTTAGGGTACCGATATACAACTGTCAATTATTAGGATGGTGGGTAGTCTAAAAAGTGGGCCTCACTGGGACGCTAATTTTGAGGAAGCATTAATTGAGTGGTTTGATGAACTTAAAGAGGCTTAAGTGAGATGAAAACCATCGAGACATAGATTTTTCTCCGAAGAGTAACCATAACTACGATTCTGAATCTCTTGCTTAAAGAAGAGAGAAAATTGAATTATCAATACCAGAAAAGAAAGAGATGTGGTATATGGCAACCATATATCAATGAAGAAATGACAAAAAAAACCTCATGAATCAAATGTGCACGATCCATATGCGGCAAATGCAGATCCTATATTAGCATGAACTGTATTTGAAAAAGTATGTACATTCAAGGTTTGTAGTTTTGTTGAAAATAACTTATGTTTATTACTTTAGCTTCACATTTCAGTTGTTTGTACTTTTAATAATATGGTAAAACCATAAAATATATGTTTTTAATTTCTATGGGTTTCTTAGTCAAGTTATATTTCTGTTGTCAAAAATTGCCCTAAAAATGCGTTTTACTTTATTTTTGTGTCCGTTCTTATTAATTTGTTGAAAATTAATGAAATTGTTTGTTCACAAGTTTGAATATATTGTAAATAGTGTTAAAATAACAAGCTTTTTATAAAATCTCTTCATCATGTATTGTAAACTGAAAAAAAAAATGAGGTCCGTCGGACCCCACCACGCCATAAGCGTTACAAAAATTCACCACGCCAGTTGAGGGTTAATAAGAAAGAAAGAAAGAAATTGCTTTATTGTCATAAAAAAATTTTTACAATTTTGTTGACAAAGCTTAAAAAAAAGAATATAAAAAACATACAAAACTTCACTTAACAATAGAAAAACATATAAAACTAACAGCAAACATACAAAACTAAAACAATACTTTATACAATTATAGAAATTGTACTTTGTCAAAAATTTATTTAATTAAATATAAATAAAATATAAACTTATACATGTAAAATAAGCAACTGTAGCTATAGTGTCAATACTAAATTTAAATGGATAGAGAAAATAAAATCATTTTCTTAAATTTGGTAGATGTGTATTCAAATTTAGAACCCTAGATATTAATACAAAATCGTTAACCGCGGCCAAGGCTTTCTCCAGTGGAAGGTATGATCCTCTCAAGGCTCTGCGAAATGCAGGAAAGGGATGAAATGGAATTAATTTCAGATGGCAGATGATTGTGCATTTTTGCGTGTACAATGGAACTCTTTACTAACTCAGGTGAGGGTTGCAGATACATGTTATGCTCTGCGTTCCCTAATTGGATAGCCATGAACTAGCCTAAGAGAAATACTCGATACGATGCTTGCAGACTAAGCGGACGGATTCAGTATGAATAGAGGAAGGAAAGAGTTAATATTTTATATCTTTTAAACAGAGTCCGGCAATTAGGCACGACTGGTTAGCTCTCAGTGAATATCGCACAGCTTCCTTTTGTAATTTGAAGATACGCTCAAATTGGGTCGCACAACACGCACCCCAGAATGGAAGTTCAAATCGGAGATGCGACTCAAAAAGGGCATAATAGACTTGTCCTAGATGTTGACAAATTAAGCACATTAGCAACTGATCTAGGGTGCGAAACAACAGGCAGAACTTGAATTTATTAGCTAAAGCATCGATGTGCAAATAACCATTTTAATAAAAAATGTCCACAACAAGTATTAAAAATTTCAAAAAATGAACGACGTCGGACCCCAACCATTATCATAAGCGTGACAAAAAATTCACCACGTACTTTTATATGATAAGACTAATAATACTCGTGTTATGTTGTGATAATTTCTTGTGCGCTTTTTATTTAATGCGCAAAATCGGTATGTATTCTAACTTTAGCTAACTCACATGATTGGTAGGAAATATCACAAAGTTCTCGTAGGCCTGGAATATATGTACGAATCTGTTCAAGAACGTCTCCCTTATGGCGTTATTGAATCGCATATCCTCCAGATAACTATCTGGCGGTTGGAAGGCGTCGTTCTTATCTAAAGCCACCCCCGTACGTCTAACTATGTCGGCTATCCTTTGGAGCGCCTCGGACCTGGCCGACCCGGGCGGCGACGGCGGCCTATCACAGTCTAAAGCGTTGTGTATGGAGAGTTTTCTTTGGTGCTGAGGTCGTCCGGGTAGCGTACAACTTCTCGGGCTCGAATCCTAAAAAATATCATAATTTAATGCCATACCTACCATAGCAACAGGTATGGTAATTTCACTCAAAATGAGTTATTTGGGTCATAAATACAAAATATTTTCATGGTGTCTGTCTGTCTGTCCGTCTGTAACACGATAACTCAAGAACCGCTAAACCGATTTTAACCAAATTTGGCACAAAGATACTGTGGCACCTAAGAATCCAGCCATTAGTTTTTGGTGGGGGTGGAGGTTGGTAAGGGGGTATGGGAGGGGGTTAAAAATTTTAAAAAAACCAAACCAAACTCCAAAATTACAGTAGCTAGCGAAACGCGGTTTTCAATTTAAGATTAGGAATAATATTTGCAACAAAATTTGTAATAACATCAAAATCAGTCAAAGTCGCAGTTTTTGAGATAAAAAAAATTGGAAAAATTCCTTTACTTTGAAACTAAAAGAACTGCCTAGAAACTTTTTAGTAACATATTTTAGTATGGGCGGCTATACGTGCCTCCCGGCGCCAATTTTTTTTACTTTATTCAATAGAAAATGCCACTCTGAATAGAATAACATATCATATTATGTCAACTTTTGACATTTTCGAATATGATTTATTTGAAACTGTAACATGTGGTTCATGACAACAATTTGAGTCAAAATGCCAAGTGCGTGATAAATTATTCGTAAAAAAATGCTTTTTCCAAATATGCCACTTAATGAACAACCCTCGTTCCATTTGAAAAAATTGAGATATGATTAAAAATACGATTTGGGCATCTTTTAACCGGGACAAGACACTAAAAACATTAGACAATCAAATCTATTTTTCCAAGGCTTCTTGATTAAACATTAGTGTTTTTAACATAGCCATGGCACTCTATTGAATATTAAAATATAATTTTTTATTAAGTGAGAATGTGAAAAGTTGACATATGATATGGCATTCTATTCAGAGTGTCATTTTCTATCAAATAAAGTAAAAAGATACCGAGGGTGCCATTTAAAAATCAAAAGTTCAGTAGTCATTTCCGGTGAAACAGGAAGTGGGCAAAAAAAATTGAATACGTCAATCAATCCTAATTTATGTCATATACTAACATACCAAATCTCGCTTTTTTACCTGAAAAAATAAAAAAGTTATAGGAGTGAGCCATTTTTGAGACGCACCCAGTATATTAACTAGTTATTCAGTGACAGTTAGTTCTGGGAGTTCACTAATAGATGATAGATGGCTACGAGAATTGCATCGCAGGTCTTCCAAAAATTTTAATTTCTAATTAAGTGGGACAATTGCAAGAATGGCAAACTAATAATTATTGATGATAAAATGTCTTTTTATTAACCTTATTAAGAATTAATAACCTTATTAAAATAAGTTTACCGTTCTTGCTGAATAACTAGTTAATATATAAAAAAGGTTATTAGTTTATCCAATGATAGTGTTGCGGGCCGGTGTGGACTCGACCTAACCTCACAATATGGCCCGCCCTCGGATGACCTTAACATCGCATAGACACCGCAATGATTCATTCGTTCGAGAAGAATCGAGTCCCACTGGAATGGACTAGTACATACGAGAACATTCGAAAACCTTCTCTACGCACCTAACGATCTATGGACAATTCTAGAGTTCTTTACCTGTCGGTATAAAAGCCGGCGGCGGTGGCCTACAGGGGGCAGTTATAAATATACAGTTGACGCGCTAAAATTCAAAATAAATTCTTAGTTATAAATCGTTTGTAAATAGTTCTATAAGTCGTTTATCGTTATTAGTTTTGATAATTAGTGTTAAATAAATAGTGTTTAAATAAATTGTGACTTTCTATCCACACGGAACCGACGAAAAACGTAACAATAGAATTGTAATAATTTTAATTCTATTATTGGACTATGGAGAGATATTGGATATCATAATTTTAATTCTTTCATGCTATCACTTCCTGTTTCACCGGAAATGTCTACAACATTTGATTTTTAAATGGCATCTTCAATAGAAAACCACACTCTGAATAGAATGACATATTATATGTCAAATTTTGACAATCTCGCTTAAAAAATCGTATTTTAAATTGCAACCTAGTGCCATGGCTGTGCTAAAAAAGTATTTTTAATCAAGGAGACTTGGAAAAATACATTTGATTGTCTAATGTTTTTCGTGCCTTGTCCGGGCTGGTTAAAAGATGCCCAAATCGTATTTTTAGTTATAACTCAATTTTTTCAAATGGAACAAAGGTGGCTCATTAGCATATTTGAAAAAAGCATTTTTTACGAATCTGGTACCATACACTCGGTATTTCGAGTCAAATTGTTGTTATATTTATGGCCATGTATGTCACTCTTAATTGAAATTTAAAAGTATATTTTTTTTAATTGAAAATGCCAAAATTTGACATATAATATGTCATTCTATTCAGAATGTCATTTTCTATCAAATGAAGGAATTTTAACGTAGTTCATATTGTTCTATATGTTTTATTTAATAACTTATTTCTTTCATTCTGCATAATCTGCTTATTATGAAAGTTGAAGATTTTTCAACGATATCATTGGCAAACCGGCATCGCCGCGCATGGCCGCCTATTCATCGAACATGATTGGCGAGAGTACGTCACAGGATTTGTTACCACGCGGTTGCCATGGCTTTTACGCCTTTCCTATTCGCTTGCTTTATCCCCAACTTCACGATCTCTTCTGAAAAGAGTAGGAATATTGAATACTATTGAAATATCCAGTGGCGGTGTCATTTTTTTGATCATTATTACTTTATTTCATTATTTTATACTGGTTATCCTAAACTTTATTCCTATATTTTTCGTATATTTGATAGTTAAGTTGTGTTTTATTATTTTGTTATCTTGTTATAATGTTTTTCGTTCGTAGTTTTTAATTATTAATATCAAGTTTGATCGTATATTTGTGTTTTAAAATGAATAAATTTGTTAAGGGTAAGACGCTACATAGTCGGACAAGAAAAATAATAGCTAATTTATATAGGTAAGTTAATAATAACGTGAATGAAATCTCATTTGGTTTATTTCCTTGTGTTCATAATAGGGTTTGCGATGAAGAAGCTACAGAGAGTTCGCTTAAGTTGCCGCTTAAACGTAAACTTGAGCGGGTATTTCTTTATACCGGAGTTAGCGTATCGGCTATAAAAAAAATTCACACAGAAGATAAAAAAAGGCTGAAAACTAACCACGATAAAATTATATCCAGATCTGGAAAGAAATGACCACGTGAGACTGCTGTCGAAAGGCTCGACTACTTTTTCGAAGTGGTCAGGAATTTGATAAATAGATTTTATCTCGAATTCAAACTTGCCCCCACAATTAGAAAGCTTTTGCAAAAATTGCAGGAAGAATCGAATTTTCCTTTTGCAGGGAAACGCTTAGGGGGTTATTAAAATCAAATGAATTTTTTTGGCGTAAATGTCAAAATAACAGATAAATATTAATGGAGCGGCCTATTATATTGCAGAGAAAGATATAAATATATACGCGAAATTCGAAAATATAGCCAAGTATTATCTATTTCGATGAAACATATGGGTAGATAATGACCTAACCTTTAAAAACTGCTGGCGGAGAGATACCATATCTGGTGTAATAGGCAATATTGGATCTACTGGTGAGTAAAACTATGTTTTGTTTGCGCTTCCAAAGTTAACTATTTTCAAGACTTTTTTTGCTGGAAATAGTTATATCTAAAATTATGTATTATAGAAAAAAAATATAGTTAGTACAGATAAACAGGGTGTTTCAAAACAAATGCGAAAAACTTTAGGGGGTGATTCCTTGTTCAAAATAAAGGGTAGTTTGCTTTATAAACGTTGGGTCAAAAGTCAACCATTAGGGAGATATCGCGGTACAAAGATGGCGGAAAATTAATGTTTTTATTTTTTATCTTGAAAACAAAAAGAGATACACTAATGAAATTTTATGAAAGCATTACTGTTATGAAAACACACTTTCTGGTAATTTTTTCACTTTTTAAAATGAGTGGAAGGGGTTGAAATAAACTACCCCTATCATTCTTGTTAACGAAATTTAAAGAAAAATCTTATCAAACACATGCAAATGCTTTAATTTGGATAGTTTAGTTTGTTTAGAAACTTTTTTATTTCTTGTGTTCTTTTGATAAAACTCACCGATTTGAAATTAAAAAATAAAATGTAAAGCATTACATGTCAGGACAAAGAACATTTTTAGATTAAGAATCTAGTGATAATAACGATAATAATAATCATCTAGATAATAACGTATTGCAGTAGAGTAATGTCAAATAAAATAATATTAGGAACATCCTAAAAAGTAACAGCGGCCGACTAGATTTTTTCCTAAAAAAATTACAGCTGCCCACTTTGGGTATTTCATATGTACGCCCATGCCTATTTTATGAATGAAATTGGGCGGGTTTTGTTTACAATTGCGTTCCCCTGCCGATACCCCGTAGCTACAGATCCGTTGGTCAAACTATACTAACATACCAAATATCGTTTTTTTATTTAAAAAAATAAAAAAGTTATAGGGGTGAGCCACTTCTGAGAAACATCCGGTATAATATAATAAATTAGAAATTTAACAACCAATTTTGGAGAGTTAAATAATAATGTTTAAATAAAAATAATAATAAAAGAAACGTTTAATAGACTTACCCAAGTTCTAGAATTTTCAGAATTTGGCACGTGTATTCCATATTTATCCAACATAGCTGCCACTTCGGTAACAAATTCTTTTAAGTGCGGGAAAACCGGTAGTTCTTCTGGCAGCTGCACTTTACATTTATCAATGTCAACGTAGCATAAACTAGCCTCGGATGCTACTTTTATGCTTTCCGATGCCGCATACAGCCCTGTTTCAAATTTAACACAGATAAATATAAAAACAATAAACCATACGCACAAACAACACATTTTATCATCAATTTAAGACCCTGTATAGGCTTGGTGCATTTCAGTTGATTTCAACAAATTCCGACCGCAGCGCACTCTACGGCAGAAATCAGAAAATATCAATATATAGTTCACGCCGCCGTCATGTCGATCGCATTAAAATAATATTGAAATCGGAGTTTTGTCATAATATTTAAGTATCTTAGTTTTTTGCTAGTGCAGTTATTGAAACTATAAAACACTAAGGTACGAGATTTGTGTGATGTAACCCTGTTTCGGGTAGTAAAATAAGTGAAAAAGAATTCGAACTAGGCGGCTTGTTGTGTTGTGACAATTTTAAATGTTAATAAAACTGTCTAAAAAAAGATTAACGTGTAAATGAGAGCGTAATTAGGGCCTTGTTGGGTGCAATAACATTCAATAACTCAACTTTCCCGAATATTCAACTCTGCCGAAACAACATTTTATAGCTTCATAATTTCTTACACCGATTTGATCAAGAGCAAAAACCGATTCAAGCAGTTCGACGAAACAAGTGAGTAAACAAAGTGCTCGGTACATAACCAAAAAATTAAATAGACATATTATACTATGAGAGGATAAAATATAATTTGCAATATTAATGGTATACTTTTTTTTAAATCAACTAGTGATTAAATGTTTTATGAACATCTTCTAAAAATATAATTATGTACCTTTAAAAAATTTCGTTATAGCCGAAATAGCCCCAATTATGCTCCACTAGCAAAACCGGTGAATAAAACTATGCTCGCTACCTGGTTGAACTCATGTAAAAAGCTTTTTTAACTGGAATAATAAATTATAATGCAAGTTAGACCTTTTGAAGATATCAAAATATTTACTTTTTTATTTTTATTTTTAGAATTTTCACAAATTATACCGTATGATCGAATAAAAACGGCGTCAGCGATGGCTATGAAATGAAGATCGCTGTCATTTTATATGTAAAATTATATGGGAAATGTCATCGATCGTCATTTCCAAGCCAACTGGACGCCATTTTTTTTCGATCATACGGTACTTCCTAACAATTTTTGGAATAATTAAATAATACATTTTTGTATACTCGCTATTTAAACCCGCGTATTTGTATATACTAGTTGTTTACGATATTCTCCGATGGTGGCAGCACCGGCGGAGAATGTACCAAGCCTATAGTGAGATAACGAATATACGCATATCAATCAATACTTCGGTTATTTTGCTATAACACAGATTAGGTATTCTATAAGTATACAGATAAAAATCTTGTCCCTAATTCGTGGTACGAAAATGGTTTTTTATGACGATGTGCAAACGAGTAAAATTTCCTGTGCACAAAAATAAACTCGCGTAAAATAACAATAAACAGCGTAATAGAGAGATATCGCTAAACCGAATAGCGTGCATGGACGTTAATAAGATCAGGTGTTATTTCCTTTACGTGAGGTGGTATTAACTCTTTTCATTTATAGTTATCGGATCGGAAAGAATTCTGTTCACGTCGCGTCCGCTATTTAATCTAACTTTGAATTTAAAACTTTGAAATTGTTTTGTTTACTAGGTATTTTAAAACTAAAGGGCTAAAGTGCTTATTTCCAGAGCTTTATTGTTCAACGTCTGCCAGTGGGTTTAGGGCAACAAGCAACAAATTCTCTTAGAAGGGCTAAGTCGTCATCTGCTGTAAACCTAAGCCTCTTTATAGGTTCTTTAATATTGGAAGAGGTGGAATCCATATTTTGGGTCATATTTATTCAATTAAAACTAATCCCAGCTACTTAAATATCAAATTACCTAATAAAACTAAAGTAATAATTCAAAACAATTCAAACATAACCTAAAATAAAAGATCTCGCCGGTCGGCCCTGGTTATCAAATACCCGCACATGCCCATTTAAGCAATTTTTAAACGTTATTTAGAAATAGCGCTTGGTGTAATTGATCCGCAAATTACGTCAGGCGGTAACGTTATTAGCGGGTGTTGCGTTAAAAATTGACTCGCGCATATCGTAACCATGATAAGGTACGCGTAAATACTGCATGACGCTATTCGGTTTTCCGATATCTCTCTAATAACTCTGCCGGTCAGGCGCTGTGCACAATTTTAGAGGCCATAAGTGGGCGTGCTATGTGCGCAAACTAGTAACCTAACTAGTACCCGATTCCGAAAATTGAAACCACGAAAAACAATAAAGAAAAAACAAAGTTTATAATCTGTATAATCTGTGCTATAATAACCCCGCCACAAAAGTTACTTATTTTAATATACTCGTATTAATACACATTTTCCTTATAAATATTTAATGCTTACCCATTAGAAACGGCACAGGAGCATCAAGAAAATGATGTAATTCGGCTGGTAAAATAGGAACATAAACATGAGGCCAACTAAACGGAAAAAGTAGAGATGTCATTCCTTCGGCTACCACCATCAGTTTTTGGCAATCTGTCAAATACAACGACATTAGGCACCAGCTAAACAAACAAAATCTACATCAACTTATACCTGCACTCTTTAATAAAATCTGATTTTCTAAGAGAAGACAAGTGAATAGTTGAACAATAATATCCACACTAATCCAGCTAAACATTAACCTTAATGAGTAATCTAGGTGAGGCAACTCCAAAGGAGGAGTGGGATTTTGTAAAATTGCTGTCGTTGGAGGCAAATGGGGATCAGAGGGAGGTAAATGAATCAAAATACTTTTCCCATACGGAGGTAATTCAATCTGAAACATAATTATGATCAAGCGTGCATTGTATGATGACAGACAGAGCTGCAAGTCAGTTTTAAAAAGACTTAAGTTTGATTTTCGTGCATCCGTTATACGTTGATACGATGGTCCGACGGTGCTCTGATTGGTCATAGCATTTTCGCGCCACTTTTCATCCGTAAATATTTTACTTCAGACCGTCAACGGACCCGTTCATACGATAACGGACGTTTTGACACTTTCTTGACAAATTTAATCTAACCTTAATAAAAATATAAGTAAAATAGCAAAATCGTTATGGAAACGAAAATATAAAATAACACCAACGTATATCCGATAAACGGATGCATGAAAATGCAATAAATTTAAAAACTGCGTTATTTTCTAACCAATCAAAGTCTTTAAATTCTACCAATGAAATTAATATCGTATCAACGTATCGTCGGACAACGGATGCATGAAAATCAAGCTTAAAGTCTTAAGTAATTTCTAAAATCAAAATGATTTAAGTCTTAAGGCTGTATTCCGTTGCAAAACCAGGCGAACCAGACCGGTAAACTACGGTTAAGAGCGGTTCCTGAAAAACATCGGTTTGATACGGAACGGTTTGGTAAAATACTGGAAACGTTTGCTTCTTCTTTTCAATGGAGTTTAATATTGAAAAGTACTTTATTAATAAACTGTTAAACTCGTTAGACAGCTGAAGTGAAGATTTGCAGGTCCAATATTAAAACAGATCAATAATAAATAAACAAATCTAATCAATATTTATACTTTTATAGCTTACAAAACATTCACAATTACTTGTCTTGTTTTTAATGTTTTCTTTAAATGTTCCTTTAATGACTTTAAGAAACAATGGCTGCATGATAAGTTTAAATGGTCCTAAAAAGTCATTCTATTTAGTAAATGAAATTTATTTACCTTTACTGCCTACCACCATTGCTTTTGGATGTAAATACAAAAATATTATTACAAATTTTAGAAATAAAATGAGAATTTCACTCGAACTTCCAATATTTGCTTGATTTCTGTCACATAAATGATATTGATTGACAAACAAAACCAGAAAAACTAACCTTCTCGCGCTAGTTAGTTTGATGACAGTTATAACTATGGTTAAAACCGAATTTTTCAGGAACCGTGTTCCTTAATAAGAAAACTTTCGGGAAACCTCAGGAAAATACTACATCGTCTACCTACTTGTAAAATTTTGAAATAAAAATAATTAATACAAGATTGTGAGGACACTGTGTCTTTATTCCCTCATTAGAGGACATTCATTAATATGAACTCACACTGGATCAATAGACACTTGTTAACAAATATATTGTGTGAAACATATTTTGAATTAAAGATGTTATTAATTGGTTATTAAATAACTTACTTTGAATTATGAATCTGAATTTTTTTTGTTATTGTTCGAACACTGTACAAAATAAACAAAAAGGAACAACACAAAACCTATAAACATTATAATAAACAGCCACATCTTTATAAAACCACTGTTGTTTATGAACTGACCAAGCTGAATTAGGCAGTTGCAAAAATAGAAATAACCTTATAAAGGTTATTAAATTCTAATAAATACATACATGCCTTATCTGGAAACATTTATTTAATATAAACAACTTAACTCCTGATTAAATGACTAAATTAGATGTATATTGTTAAATACACTTACCTCATACAAAAGATTAAATACATAACTTTCTAACGTAAGACCAGCTATCGAGGTAGATTTTCTAGGTGCACATCTAGAAATTCTAGAATTAAAATGGTAATTGCTCAGTTAAAAATGCATATACGGACCTGTATAGATTTTCCAAAAATATTTTAGCTGACTGAACGTAGGCAACTTGACAAATAATGCCAATACTTTTAGACACAAATAGTTTATCTTTGGTAATATCATAGTATGTGAGAGCTGCCCCATTAGGGTTTTGAGTGCTTAGTTTAAAATGCCTAGGTAATGATCGAGACTGGGGGCCTTGATTTTGTATTTGTTGAATCGGTCGATCAGTTTTTACACCGCTTGATAATTCTGTTATATACATAGCCTAAAATTGTTTCGATATAAAATACATATATTAAAAAAAAGCTCTAATATACCTGTAACGTTTGCATTGCTGTACAAATGTCTCTATTACGAACCTCTTCATAAAATGTGAGACTGAATCCATAAAGTCTTTTGCTATCTTCTCTTGTAATGAGAAATGAATGAAAAATAGGAGCCTGAGTGACCGAATGCTTCTGTGTCCGAAACTTCAAACCACTTGGCAATGCTAACTAAAAACAAACCTTTATGAGAAATAATACCTAAATTAGTTTGTTAAATCTTACCATACATACGGCAGATTCATCAAATGGATTGGTTTTATTCGTCTCAGGATAGTGAGCTAATACTTTACATTTATAGGATCTTTCCAGAGGAGATACATGTAAATTATCTGCAAGAAAAAGTACATAATGAGAAACATATGGAGTAATATATGTATAAAGTATCCAAATTAATAATAAACATATTATATTGTATTGAAAATGAAACATAAATAAGTAAACATTAAAGTAACTTCTTTATTTACCTGAATATTTATCCGGTTCTAAACCAGAGTTAAAATCTAATCCACAAATCATAAAATAATCAGCAAATTTTGCCATTTTTTCCTATTTCGAGTAAACAAATACCCTTTTCTTATTGAACTCGTCTTAAAAGCTATTCTCCCTACCCATTTTCTTGATAAATTTGAAATAACAATCCATATTTGCGTGATAATTTAATGTTATTTATATGTTTTTAATAATTTTTCTTAGGGTTTTGACATTACTTTCTCCACGATTTTCTGTTTTTCTGATATAATTGATAATTGATGCAATTTTTTTATTTATATTTTCATAATGGCCTTGATAGACATTGACAGGAGACATTTGAAAATAGCCATAGATAAATAATTTAACAGATTTTCATCTGTCACCGATAGGTGGCTCTTATTTAAAATTTGTATTTACAGAAAACTATAAGGAGATAAATATCTTATAACGATTGAGGCTAGATGGCGCTTAACTATATTTTAAAAATATTAAGAAAAGAACATATTTTATCAAAAAGGTGAATAATTAGGTAAATGCAAATCAGACAGCTAAATTACACTAAAAACGTATCTTTAATTGTCACCTGATAATTCTAACGTGCTAACACATTTACTTAATAAATACATAACTAATTTTATTGTAATTTGTAGTCCACACATTCCAGAAAGTCGGGATGGAAATTCACACAGGCACTTTTTTTAATACCATACACGTCTATATCAGTCCACTTCCAGTTGAGACATCCACCTTCTGCACAAACTATATAATACGGCATCGAGGTGTTCAAAACTGACCCTTTGATGTTCTCAAATTGCAGATTTTCTATAAGGATATTGCTACTTGGTTTGGTTCCTATTACAGATGTGAGAGTGTTGGTATAGTTTTGTTCAATTGCAATTCCATATTGGTAACTACCTAAAAAATATCGGTCATGTAATTTCCAGTTTTTTTAATGTCGAATGATGTTCATTTCCAAGTCAACTGGCCGCCGTTTTTTTTTTTGATCATACAATATATTATAGTAAGAATATGTTTATTCTGATGTATAAGCTATATTATTGTAAAGTTTCATTAAAATCCATTGAGTAGTTTTTGCGCGAAAGAGTAACAAAGATCTATATATTCTTACATCCAAACAAATTTTCGCGTATACAGGGTGGTCCGAACTATATTCCGGAAACTTCGGCAGCACATCTTGCAGATAAAAATAATAGTGCTAGCGGTACAACCAAATTTTTAAGAAAAAGCTGCACTTAATGATAAAAACAAGCCACTTTGCAGAGGTGTTCTAGGGACTTAATAGAATGATTTAACCCGTAGTTCCTAAATTTTTATCCCTATTAGGATTCGAGTTTAAGGGGGGGGGGGGGGAATTTCGGGGGTAAAATACCGAAATGTGTAAATAAAGCTCAAAAGGCGCATTTAAACGTAATATACTATCTCATGAACTTAATGCTTATGTTAAAATACACAAATATCCCTCGGAAGTCGAGCTAAACCAAACCTAACGCAATAGCAGAGGTTCTGGAGTTCGTCGTCAAGATCTTCCAACGAAAGGTAAGTTTCACATTCGAATGTTCTCCTTTATTTAAATTTATGTAATAAAATAATTTATCTGTCTAGGGACTCTGCCAAGTAATTGGGACCTTCGTAATGATCTGAACAAAGGGGAATTGTTCAGTTATCTAACCAAATCACTTTTGGACAGTTCTGATATCCATATTGTGACAAACGTAGGCGATAAAATATTATCGTCGAAACAAGGTTCCAGCAATTTACACGATTTCCTATGTACCCATATAGAGGAAGCAGATGACACACGAAGGATATGGTGTCGTACGGTGCTGAACGTGTGGTGATTCAGAGCAACGATACTGATGTTGAAGTACTAGCAATTTCATTCTTTTTCGAACTAAAAGAGAAGGGATTGCGGGAATTGTATATACTTTTCGGGTTTGGAAGTCATCGCCGATAAATAGTGTCCATTCCATTGCCGAAAGTTTAGGAGAAGCAAAGTCAGTTGCCCTGAGAGGTTTCCACGCTTACACTGGCTGCGACACGGCTTCTTACTTTGCAACCAAAGGCAATCGTTCGGCATGGGCTGCGTGGCAAAAAGATTCCGCCACGAATGCGTTTAAAAGGCTTGCCTTGCCATTGGAGGTAGAACTACTTGAAGACCTTGTGGTCGCGTTGGAAGAATACACAATAGCCTTGTATGGTGTACGGGATGAAAACAACTGCAGAAGTGTTCATCAAGCAAGGAAACATTTATTCGCAACTGAAAGCAAACACATAAATGCAATTCCTCCAACAAGCGCTGTGCACCGTTTCAACACATTAAAAGATCTGCGTACCAGGCAGGTCACATCTGGGGCAGATCTATTCAGGACAGGCCGGATAGCCCTCCTTCTCCAACAATGTGGGGTTGGGTCAAAGAAAAGGACCAGTTAAAACCATTTTGGACTCTTCTTCCAGAGGTTTGGAGTGAATGTAGGGCTCTAGGCAGCTGTGGCTGCACCAAAGGTGTGAAAAGCCAACGTTGTGAAAGCCAACGTCGGTATCAACTATCCTGCACCTTGGCACGCAAGAAGTGCAAAGGACAATGCTCTAATCAGAGGTGCGTGAACATTATCAATATTCTTAAAAATATATGTTACCTATTTGTTTTTTTTTATTTCTAGGTACAGCGCTCCAGAGCAGTGGCGAATACAGAGGGGGCCCATGGGGCCCGCCCCCCCTAAAATCTGTAAATTGGGTTAAATATTAAGCTTTTGGCTTAAAAATGACGCCCTAAATAGCATATTCTACATTACTTTTTATTTGGGCCCCGCCTAAAATAAATTCATGTATTCGCCCCTGCTCCAGAGTCTGAATTAGATAATGACCGAGATTTAGACGAAGTTTAGAATTACCTTTTATGTTAATAAATAATAAATAATACATATGTACCTACAGTAAAATTCATTGCCTTCTAACTTATACTCACCAATTTTTTCTTACCCATATTTCACATACTAACAGCTAGATAACTGGAGAAGTATCTAATCGTATTTTTATGGCTACGAACATATTCAGCGACCTCAAAAACCTATAACATGATACCCAACACATCAATATTTGGAATTATCAAAAATGTTGCTTTGTCAGTCGCCATTTTGAAAAATGGCAGCTTGGATCGTCTTACAAGGGATGTTTATGTATTCTAACATTAGCATTTCGTTCATGAGAAAGCATTATTACGTCTAAACGCTCCTTCTTAGCATTATTTACGCGTTTCAGTATTTCCCTCAAACCGGAATCCTAAGGGATGAAAATTTAGGAACTACGGGCCAAATCGTTTTATTAGGTCCATAGACCATCTCTGCAAAGTGGCTTGCTTGTATCATTAAGTGCAGTTTTTTTTGTATACCGCTAGCACTATAAGTAAAAAAGTTCGTATAAATGTATGTCCTAAAATGCCTAGTTTCGGAGATACAGGGTGTGGAAGTTTCATTTTTATTTCGATTTTTTCCAAATAATTTATGAAGTAATGTCAATATTTGGATGAAAATTGGTGTCTTGAAGTTTTTTGACATGAGGAATTTGATTTTGATGTTAATATCACTCCTACTTGTAGTGGGCGCCATCTACATGTGATTTAACTGTTTTGAAAAGTAATAATTTTTCGTCCGTACCTGTATAAAACTATGGAGTGAAAAAATATACATTTCTATGTATGCAACGACAATTTCCACGAGCAACCGTTCTCAAGATATTTCGAATGAAAATAGTCAATACATGTCATTATTGACAAAAAATAAACACGCGTTGAGTAGATAATTATTGAGTTGATAATTTCGATTCCAAATATCTCAAGAACCATTGTTCGTAGCGATTTTCGCCAAGAGACATTTTTTACGTAAAAAACTTCGTAAATGTATATTTTTTTACTCAGTAGTTTTATACAGGTATGGACGAAAAGTTATTACTTTTCAAACCAGTTAAAAAATATGTAGGTGGCGTCCTCTAGAAGTAGGAATCATATTGACATCAAAATCAAATTTCTCATATCAAAAAACTCCCAGGCACCAATCTACATCCAAATATTGACGTCACTTCAGAAATTATTTGGAAAAAATCGAAATAAAAAAGAAACTTCTACACCCTGTATTTCCGAAACTAAGCATTTTAGGACATACATTTATAGGAACTTTTTTACTTATTTTTATCTGCCGAATATGTTACCGAAATTTCCGGAATGCAATTCGGACCACCCTGTATAATATCTATTAGTAAGGATTATAAAAATGTAGGTTTCTTAAAGGGGGGTTAGGTTAGGTTAGGTTAGATTTGGTTTGGTCCATTAACAAAAAAATATACATACCAACCATCAAGATGTTTCTGTAGGTAATATTTCTGATGCTTCCTTTTGCAGCGTTGGGGTGGGTCTTTATATGAATACCGTCCATTGCATCTATAATGACAGAGTTTTCTATAATGACATCTGTTAATGTATTCGCTTCTCTAGAGTAGTTGCTCTGTCCCACAGAAAGACTAAGTCCATGACTGCCATGGCATAATAAGTTGGTGACATGGATATTCCTACCTGGGAAAATAAAATACTTCATTCAATCAATTGAAATTTTATAATGTAAAGCTTGATTTTCATGCATCCGATATCCGACGATACGATGATACGATATTAATTTTATTGGTTAAATTTAAAGACTTCGATTCGTTGGAAAATTACGCAGTTTTTAAATTTATTGCATTTTCATGCGTCCGTTCATCGGATAGGTATACAATTTGCTTGTGATTGGTGTCATTTTATATTTTTATTTTCATAACGATTTTGCTGTTTTCTTATAGTCTAAGCAGATCTTGCAACGTTTTTGAGGGAGAATTTTAAGCAAGCTGGTTTATTAATATATCCCTTTCTTTTGTTATGCTCTCCTGAGCAGAGTGCGGACCGTCTGGTTGCCGGTAGACGTTGCGTTCACTACTGCGCATCATATCTGAATTCAACATCCGTTCACTAGGTACTGCGCATCACAAATTCGCCCTGTATTTCAGGAACTAAAGGGGCTAGGACAAACATATGTGTAGCATATTTAGTTTCATGAAAAAGTAGCAAGGTAATGAGATTAGAATCGCATCATTGTATCTCTACTAATAAACGAAAAATCCCATGAAACAAACGAAAATAGGATACCCTGTGATATGATGCGCAGTACTGAACCGCAGTGGTCTACCGGTAGACAGACGGCCCGCACTTTGGTCAGGAGAGCATAGCAAAAGATATATTACAGAACCAGCTTTCATAAAATTCTCGTTTTTCCAACATTATTAGGTTTTGTACTATTATATTTTTATTAAGGTTAGATTAAAATTGTAAAAAAGTTTCTCCGTTGACGGGCTAGAATAAAAAAATTTCGGATGAAAACTGGCGCGAAAACGTTATAACCAATCAGAGCGCCACGCCGTCGCGTCGGACCATCGTATCAACGGATAACGAACGCATGAAAATCAAGCCACATGGCAAATTTTTATTAAAATATATTTTATAAGAGATCTTTGATAGTGTAAATTCGTTACATCACGTAGTAGGTACCTGAGTTTAAAACTACGCAGTCATCTTGATTATAAATTGTAGAATCTTGTATGGTGATATTGTGGGAGTGTTGAACACCAAAACCATCAGTGTTGTGCCCCTCATGACCTACTGGAGCGACGCCCTATATAAATGCGGTATATCAATTTGATGTTATTATAGCTTTAATTAATGGTTAGAGTACTGAGTTCGTGGTTAGTTCTTTGCGAAACATCGTTGCAATATTATTTTATAAAACACACGCTTTTAGATGTATCTAATTTAATGAGAGTAACTTTATTTCTACATAATATGTGTTTCGGCTTTTTAGCCCTTTTTCAAGAGTTTTTTAAAACTACCAGTCTGACTACATGGCAAGGATTATACATGGTGTCCCAGAAATAAGTGCAAGTATTTTACGGGATGGTAGACCTCGATAAAAGAAACATATTTTCTCAAGATTTTTTGCTAAAATTTTGAGAACCACTAGATCTTTTCTGGATTTGTTTCTTACAAATTTAATGTACTACCTATGTTGCTACATTATCAAGAGATTAGTTTTTTAAGTAAAGACTAAAAAAATTTCCAAAAGGAAGAGTTTTTAACTAAAAAGTAAAAAAAACTTTCAAAAAATTTTTCAAAAAATTCCGAATTTTCAAATTTTTTTTTCGCGAAAAAACTGTTTCTGGGGTTGAACTATACTACCAGTTAAAATACTTGCACTTATTTTTGGGACACCCTATATAAACGATACCAATTAAACTTTTAGGGAATTCAGGTGACGAGTGATCAGGTAAAAAATGTCAAGTTGCCACATTTATTTATTTGTTTCCTGACATTGTCATTCGTTTTGACACTTTAATTTTGTATTACGAGTCTTTGGTTAAAATTGTGTTGTCGTGATCATGTCGTGATATCGTATGATCGAAAAGAACGGCGTCCAGTTGGCTGGGAAATGACGATCGATGACATTTCTTATATAAATTTACATATAAAATGACAGCGATCTTCATTCCATATAGCCATCGCTGCCGCCGTTTTTTCGATCATACGGTACTTTAAGCTTAAAATTTTTTACTAGCAGACCTATTCGGAAATAACATATATGAATCTCCATGTTCTAATTTTCCAACATTATATGTTATTAGATTATACAATACGATCGAAAAAAAGGCGTCAGCAGTGGCGCAACTAGACACAGACTTTTAAAGGGGGGCTTAGGTCACTATAAGCCTTGCTATAAGATAATATTGGTTTGTCTTTAAACGATGGAAAGATCAGCACAAGGAAACTTGAGGATGAAATAGGAATAAATCACACTACAGCGTTTCGAATTCTGAAACGACATAAATACTATTCCTTCAAATATGAAAAGTACCAAGAGCCATAACCAAGAGCTACGAGATGGGGACGAAATACGGCGCGGCGGCAGCCGTTTTGTTTTGATATGATGGAAAGAGCAAACACGGAGAGGGAATTTTTAAAAAACATATGTTTCACTGACGAATGCACGTTTACCTTAAATAATGAACCCAATGTTCAAAATTATCGATATTGGAACAAAGAAAACCAACATAGGTTTGTCGAAACAAGGACGCAATATCGACAGAAAGTAAATGTTTGGGCAGGGATATTCGGACACAATATTATCGGGCCATTATTTCTTACGCGAAATTTAAATGCAGAATATTATTTGGAACTACTCGAAAATCATATTTTACCTGCATTACATGATGCCGCTAGGGAAAATCAGGGAGTTTGATACCAAATGGATGGCTGCCCGGCACATAGCACCCCGGCTGTTCGGGAATATTTAGACAATAGTTTTAACGGAAACGTTATTGGCCTAAATCATACAGTAAATTGGCCAGCAAGGTCTCCTGATATTTCGCCAAATGATTTCTTTCTCTGCGAACGTAATGTAAGAAACAATTAAGTAACTACAAACGAATGTAAGAAGAGAATTTTATGATCGCCTGGGTTATTGTCTAGCAGTCGATGGAGGAATATTTGAACATTTTCTTAAATCCTAAAGTTCTAACAATTTAATAGTACCTAAATTAATAAGTTATTGAATATTGTAATAATACTATAATTAACCTTGTAATTGGTTACCTTATTTTACTTTCATTCATATTAATTTGTATTTATAAATGCATCTTTAAGATTTCCGATGTAGGAATGAGTTTTCAAATGGTTTTCAATAATAATAAAGCACTAAATAGGTAAATTTCTGAAATGACAACTTCATTTGACAGTTATCTTTTACCTTGACTGGCGCTCATAAGTAAATACAGGGCCATAAGAAAGGAGAAATATTTAAAAAGAAATCGGCGATAACTCGTAAACGAGCTAATCAAAAATATCTAAAGTTATTCTTTTGAATGTGGGTTTTAGTGCTCTTCAATAAACCTAAATAGAATTATTCTCTAAAATAATTAGGGAAGCCAATAATTGACCCCATTAAAATTTACATAGGATTTCCTATGTCCCGCTCGACGGTGCAACACCCGGTATGTAAAATTGTATGGGAAATGTCATTTGCAAGCCAAGTGGACGCCGTTTTTTTAGATCATACGGTATTTTATACCATGTTTTTATACTTACAACATTTGCGGCCGCATTATCGATAAATATGTGACTAAAGGTTACATTGGTGGAGTTTGTAATTCGTATAGCGTGCACAGGAGTATGACGAAAGTGAAGATGCTCGAATAAAGAGTTATTTGCTTGAACAAATAATAACCTGGGTTTGATAGAGCCCCAACTACCCAGTCCATCCCAGTAGAGTTCACCATGGCCGTTTATAATATGGCCTAAAATTAAAAACATTAATGAAACTTATCTAATAATATGATGGGGTTTCATAGTACACGAAACCTCGTCAAAATAAAATGAAAAGTAAAACTACTTACTCATTGAGCTTAGGAAAAAATTATATATAAAATAGGCTTACCATGTGTTCCAGAAACAGTTAAGTTATTTCCAGTAATTCTGATTAAAGGACCTTCCCAATTTTTAAATTCAAACGTTACATTTCCTTGGAAAGTCAAAATTGATCCTTCTAGCAAAGTCAGATTTAAAGTACGTCCACCGGGTACCACAAAATTATTTAGCACAATATTTTTACAAAATTTCGTAGCATTTTCAACACTCTCATATTTATCGATTAAACATACTTTATTTGCGTTTATGAAAATACTATTGTATATTAAAAAAAATACCAGAAGCAGTCTGTCAGTCATTTTTACTATGTATGAGGTTGTCGCTATCGGGATTGACGATAAAATAAGGTTTGCGATTGTGTTTCATAATACATTTCTATTGGTTAATGAGGAAATATGGACGTGGATAACTAAGTGGCTTATTTTTTTAATGGGTGTTTTTGTACTGGGGAGCGAGCTTCCACACCAGTATCAGATCAAGGGGAAACATTAAATCTATTTTAGGCAAAATTCATAATTAGAGTGTATACAGGGTGGCGCCTCTTATACGCCGTAGAGGCTCCAAGGAGAACGACGGTTTTGTGAGCATATGTAGGTTAATTCAGAGCACTTTTTAAAAATATGGGAGAAAGTTATCCTAGCTGCTTTTCGAGGTAGAACTCCACATATGCCTTTTAAAATGAAAGGGTCCTTTTGAAAAGACAATCATTTTATGAAGTTAACAGGAAAGGAAGCATTTTGAGCATTTGATTTCATCCAGCTAATTTTTGTCACATAATTATAGGTTTATATCTAGTTTTAATTCTGTAATAATTAAAATATGTTTTAAACTTGTATCTTTTTATTAATTTTTGTTAAATTAACAAAAGGTATATCACGCAGCCACCTAGATTTTTTCAAATAATAAAGAATCACTGAAGCAAAATCATAAAAATTAAAATATCTAGGAAAATCTTTGTCTGAGGGGTAGACAACCTTAATAATATTTTAAAGATATATAAATTCCCCATTCAATACTGGAAAAATATACTGGGTGTTCCATTTAAAATAAAGGAGTAACTTGCTTTTAAAAGTGACTAATGTTTCATATTAATTTTGTCTCACCCTGTATAACTTTTCGGGTCAAATTTCCATTTGGTATAAAAAACAATGGTTACTGTAATTAAATCTCAGGCTATACAAGGTCAACTAAAATTTAGCTAGCTGTTATCGAAATTTAAAATTTACTCTTCATTTTCACAAAATGTGAAATATGTCAAAATCCTTAAGGTGCGTATTCATTATCCGCACGAACGAACGAACGAACGAACGAACGTACGCTAGTGGTATGGACGGGGACCGCACGATAGGACCGCACGAGAAGACCGCACGCATTTCTTCATTCGCGCGCCAGTTCAAATCGTCAAGATATTGTTATAAACCTGTTTTTTTTTGTTTATATACCGTCATTGAATTATCGCTAAGCAAGTTACTATGGAGCAGTGCACAAGGAGTCGGGCTAGGAAGCGAGAGACCGGAGTTCGAATCTCGGCCCGAACATCACTTTTTATTTTTTTTTAAATACTGTTGTATTCTATAGTTTATTTTTGTAGTATAAGAAAAAGAACTATTTATTCTGTTATTTTTTAATCTCCGTTATTAATATAAATTGATTGTTAGTACAATACCTCATTTAATATAAAATAATATTCTACTTTTTGAAATGTATCGGGCCCTAATTGTACCTAAAAGTAATATATTTTTAGTGATATACCATATTGTAAACTATTTAATATTTTAGTCACTTAAAAAGTTAATTTGCATTGAATAATTGCCTACCATTAAAGGAAATTTGAGCTATATAATCCTTGATGGGCATATTCTGGGTATGCAAATACTTCCTTTAAATTTTGGGTGTCGTTCAACCGATTTATTCTCAAAACCAGAAACTTCTACATATAAAAAGAAGCAGAAGTCACTAATTATAATAAACTTCACCCTTGGTATTACTTCCACTAATTATAATAAACTTCACCCTTAGAATTACTTCTATCACAATTACAATACGTTCATCTGCATTGGCATTTTCTACTTCTCGATGGGAAACAATAAACTTCCCAACATTTTTTAAATGATGTAACAATTCCTCTTGTGGTTACTTTTCCATAGATATCCTCAACTCTGTCCTCATGTGAATTCAGAGGCAATGAAAATGAAAATTATTTACCATGAACATCACAAACTAAAAACCTAATAAACAATTTTATACCGAATATAGAAATAAATTTAGTATTCTTACGTATCGTCCAAATCCGTGTTAATAGATAATTATTATTTTTAAATATATTTTTAGAACTGCTGGTTTTAGTAATTATTAAATTAAACGAACTAAAAAGTCTTAAAAATAAACAATTCTTAACCATAACCCCAAAAAATGCAGATCTCCTGTCAACTTTCTTTATTTTTTTTTACTCATTATTTTCCTAGTGACGTCACAGGTGGTATGCGGCAACTGAACGAAATTGGAGCCACTATCGATCATACCTTGTATTCTTTGTACCATGACGTCTAAACGCCTTTGATGTACCGACTCGAAGCGGATGGTCGAGCGCACGAACGAACGAACGGCCGCATGCGTTCGGTCCCCGTCTAAATATACCGCACTTTCATTCGTTCGTTCGTTCGTTCGTTCGTTCGGTCGTTCGTTCGGATAATGAATACGCACCTTAAATCTGAAAGCGCACGCAGGCGAACGCCTTTGATGTACGGACTCGAAGCGGATGGTCGAGCGCACGACCGAACGAACGGCCGCATGCGTTCGGTCCCCGTCTAAATATACCGCACTTTCATTCGTTCGTTCGTTCGTTCGTTCGTTCGTGCGGATAATGAATACGCACCTTTAGATTTTCGGTATATGATTCTTTAATAAAACTCACCTTTATTTTTTTCTTAGAATCCAAAAATCAATTAATATATAGGGTGTTCCATTAGAAAAAACAAAACTTTGATTTGTAACTTTTTTTGGGGACACCCTGTATAATTCTATATATTTTTATAAAATGCTTTCAGTTAACTTACATATGCTGCCAAAATTTCATTTCGATACAAACTACCGTTCTCCTTGGAGTTTCCGCGGCGTATGAGAGGCGCCACCCTGTATGAAGCACAGGGTGTTCCATTTTCGTGCAATTTATGGGGTTTCTCGTTTATAAGTTGAGACACAAACATGCGATTTTCATATCACTGTGCGACTTTTTTATGAAACTAAAGATGCTCAATTCTTTCAATCAACGGTAGTACGGTGCTGTGAAAACCGTATCTTTGTATCTGTACTCGTAAACGAGAAACATACGAAAATGGGACACCCTGTACATGAAAAATAAGAGACAAATAAAGTATACAATAAGGTATATTTAGGAGAACAGATAATTGGTACTTTGTTTTTTTTGCAATAAAATTTTTATTACACAGAAAATATTTTTACGCCATAGAAATTGAAATAACTCATTGTATTTATTATTTTCTTAGTAATTATGGTTGTTTATTTATTCAAAAAAGGCGATGTCAAATACATTGCGGTGGACAATAATAATCTAGTTACAATTTCCAACAGCAATAATTTTTATTTCAGTTGAACCAAAAAGCCTAGTTGAAAAAAGTCTAGGGCTTGACCTCGCTAAAATTATCATCGATTGTCATTCTCCAGCTACCTTTGACACCGTTTTTTCTCTGTGGTATGGATGGGTATACCGTGTGATCTAAAAAAAATGGCGTCAGCGATGGCTATGAAATGAAGATCGCTGTCATTTTATATGTAAAATTTATGGGGAATATCATTGACGTTCTTTTCCAAGCCAACAGGACGATTTTTTTTTCGATTATACGGTACAATAACGTAAAACAAAGGATATATTATCTTATTTTATGTTTACTTATAACATCCAGTGTATACTAAAATATAATTTATTAAATAAATAATTTTACATTTGAATCTTTTACTTCAATTTATTTTTCTAGATTTTAGTATTGGATTTGCCGAATATTTATCTTCTGGTACTATAGATCTTCTTTTTCTGCCATTGACTACACCAAGTTGTAATAAGACTGGATTCGTAGAAGCTACAGCTGCTGCGCCTAGTATAGCCAATCCAGCTAGTGGAATTAGTATTTTCTTCAAAGCTAATGCCTAAAATTTTAACGTATAAATTAGTAGAATGTAAAATGTTTGGAGGAAATTACAACGAGTTATAACTCATCATACAGTTTCAGGGATCAGCCGCAGCCGTACCAAAATTTATTTTATTTTTATTTTTTTTTTAAATTTATTTTAGAAGGATGGACAACAGTTGGATCACAAAAATTACAGCATGGTACCAAAGAGTATTTTAATAAAATTATAATATCCACGAGGAATTAAGACTGAGACTACAGACCTGAGATGGGACCATGATATTAGGATATGGACCCAAATAGGTACTACAAAGAGGGTATCTAAATATAATATGTGATGGAGTTTCCACACTAATTGGAAAGTCCATTGTAATTCTAGAGTACTGTAGAGGAGAGAAAAATGTTTAAATAAAAGAACCCCAACTAAGGTAGTACCAAAATTAAAGGTAGAAATAATACATAATATACACACAACCAAACTTATATGGAATCATCTATTATTTTTCTAACTAAGTTTTGAGACGTATGAAAATTTTGTGTTTATGAATAAAACTCATTTCTTACCAATGACTTTTAATGAAAAATAATCCATATAGCAATAAAAAAAATAATCAGTTCCCAAAATAAACAAAATGGTATTTTTTTGGTTTCTGAAACGAAATTAAAATCTAAATTTTTAATGGCCAAAAAGCAAAAACAAAAAGAAAATTGACAATTTTAATATTCCTTGTTGCCACCTTTACATACATACATACATACCGCCATTACTCGCTGACGAGTATTTGACACGCATCAGAAGATGGTCACGCAAGGCGTTTTCTTTCATGAGCTTTTCTGTGACTGAAAAGCCCGATACGTGATGTTATCTGTCTACCGCACTCCAGACATTCAAAAATCTCATTGCTTTGTTGCCTCTTTACTTTTTTGTTGTCGCTCTTAACTGACTTTACAATTCTTCTCCATTCCATTCTATTGTGAGCTGCCTCTTTCCACTCATTCTGCTTGTTAATTCCTTTTAAGTTTTCGTGGAAAATATCCTTGAACCTTGTGAGTTGTCCACCCGGCCTCCTCTTACCGTCTACAAGCTCAACGTAAAGCAGAGATTTTGGTATGCGGTTTTCTTGCATTCTGCATACGTGATCAGCCCATCTTAAGCGGGACTTTGTAATCATGACTTCAATACTCTTGCAGTTAGCTTTTAGATACGTTTGAGACGTGATGGAACCATTTTATTCTTAAGAGTTGTCTAAGATGTCCCTGCTGCAACTTGTTTAATGCGTTCATGTGTCGGCGGTACGGCACCCAGGTTTCGCTTCCATATAACATGGTGGGAATTATTATCGCTCGGTACACCGCAAGTTTCGTTTTTGTGCTCAAGTCATGATTGTAGAAAACCCTGTCTTTTAATTTCCAGAATGCTCTTGAGGCGCTGCTAATCCTGTGCTGAATATCAGAGTCGATATTGGCCTTTTCCGAAATCAAACTGCCGAGGTAATTAAATTCCGCTACATATTCCAACAGTTCATCTCCGATCTTTATAGCATTGTTGTGATCTTCCGGGGGAGTGCATATGATTTTAGTTTTATCGATGTTCAGCTTAAGTCCCAAAGCCTCGTATGCCCATGTATATGTGTTCCACATTTCTTGCAATTGCTGTAACGTATTTGCAACTAGAGCACAGTCATCAGCGTATTGAAGTTCTGTGATGACTTTTGTACGTGTTTTTGCCCTGAGTCTTTTTATGTTGAACAGACCGCCGTCGTATCTGTATCTAATTTTTTAATTTTTTCTATATGTGGGTGCAGGCGGTTTGACATAATTTTTGCAAGAATTTTTCCTCCGATAGCCAGTAGTGAAATTTCTCGGTAGTTTCCAGTCTGATGCACTTCCTTTGTTCTTAAATATATTCACTATATTCGCGTTGCAAAAGTCCTGAGGTGCCTCTCCGCTTTCCCATATGACATCGAAGAGAGCCCTAAGATGACCAATAAGTTCTTATAAGTTCTTTGTGTTCTTGTGTTCTTATTCTTATAAGTTTTATAAGTTGCCACCTTTAGCCTTTATGCAAGCTTCTATTCGCGCTGGCATGCTTCCTATTAAATTCTCAACGTTTTCTTGGGGTATGTTTTCCCATTCTGCTAATGCTGCATCAATAAGCTGTGCAAGATTTCCTGGATAGTTTTGACGAGCTATAACCCTTCTTTTGAGCTAGTCCCACAAGTGTTCGATAGGGTTTAGATCTGGTAAACATGCAGGCCAGTCCAAAACTATGAAACCTTCCGTTTCAAGACATTCTCTAGTCACTCTGCTGGTATGGGGAGGTGCACTATCGTACAAGAAGTTAAAATTATAACCAATTGCAGCTCTCCGAAGACTAACGATTGGGTCTAGCACCAAGTCAACATATCTCCGACCCGTTAAAATTTGTTGAAGTGGTAACAAAGTCGCGCTCGTCTTTCTGGAGCTCTGAGAACCCGAATTCGATGGTTATCTGATCTTAGGCCAATTCTGATCTCATCCGAAAAAAGAATATTTTGCCAATTCTCAGTTGTCCAGTTTTGATGTTGAAGGCATCAATTTAGCCGGTCAATTTTATTTTGCCGAGATAACTGTGGGATCCGTAACTCTCTCCTACTGTAAAATCCTCGAGCACGAAGCCTTTTTGTTATGGTTTCAACTAAAACGTTCACACCGGTAGCTGCCAGAAGTTGTCTTTGTAGCTGTAGGATGAGAAACATTGGGATTTATTCTAGCAATTTGGCCCACAAGGCGGTCTTGTTGTTCAGTTGTGAGTCTTTGACGACTTTGCCTATCCTTGTGTGTTCCTAATTCCAAGCACCTTGCATATGTTTTCGATACAACACCCTGGGTAACACCTACTATCTCTGCTACGTCTCTTTGGAGCATTTCTTGTTCGGTGAGAGCAATAATTCTTCCCCTCTATACAGGGTGTCCCACTAAGAATAGCTCTCGGCTGTATCTCGGAAAGTATTAGCCATAGCGGCTGCGGAAAAAATATTTATAACTAAAGAGGCTATGGGAAATTGCTGGAAATTATTTTCAAGTTTATAGAACGACCGCTGCAAGAAAAAATAAGAAAATGGAGTTTTTACACAATTTTGCCTAGATAAGGTGTACTATAAGTAACAGCTTCATAATCTTCAGTAAATTTTGAATATTTTTTGTTAGAGCCATTTTCCCCTATCTAGTGGTGGGGGAAGGTTAGATCTGTTTTATTTGAATATTAATAACTCAGGACTGGATGATCGGAATCCAACAAGCGAGGGCTCGTTTAAAAGAGCGTTTCTTACTCTATATTGTACCATGTAAACAATAATAATAAGCTTTTGAACGTAGACGCTAGGGGGCGTTGTCTTACAATTTAACAAACATTGCGCATTTTTTCAAAAACATTAAATGCAATAGTATATGTAATTTTAGCTGATAGTAAAGAGTAGTAAAAGCTTAAAATCCAGCGAAAACCGCAACATGATATCTTCTTTCAAACCGAAGATATTAGCAAAATTATAATAAATACCAAAAAATAAGCCCTTAATTACCTTACTTTTACAACACGGTATCAGTAGCCTTCTTGATTATGCCCATTCTAACCTAAAAATAAGATAGAAACAGTTAGTTTATTTTAAAATAGACGATATACCAGAATACCATAATACCAGATGTATTAATATCTAATAATTCAGATATTAATAATAGTGAACAAGAAACGATGATTCAGTGAAGTCATGTTTGTTAAATTGTAAGAAAGCGCCCTCTAGCGTCTACGTTCAAAACCTTATTATTATTATTATGGTATAATATAGAGTAAGAAACACTCTTTTAAACGAGCCCTCGTTTGTTGGATTCTGATCATCCAGTCCGGAGTTATTAACATTTAAATAAATATAGATCTAACCTTCCCCCACCAGTTTATTTTAGCAGATATGGGAAAATAGTTCTAACAAAAAAAATCCAAAATTTACTGAAGATTATGAAGCTATTATTTATAGTACCCATTATCTAGGTAAAATTGTGTAAAAGATCTATTTTCTTATTTTCCATAGCAGTTGCGTCACCTAGCGGCCGTTTTACAAACTTGAAAATAATTTCCAGCAATTTCTCATAGCCCCTTTAGTTATAAATATTTTTTCCCTATAAATAAGCCCTACGACTAATACTTTCCCAGATACAGCCGAGAGCTATTCTTAGTGGGACACCCGGTACATCTGTTAATCCAACATAAGGCATTAATTTATTTTTTGGATCGAATGAAAATTACCGGACAATCGTGATTTTACTACTGAATACAAAATTCAAAAGAAAATAAATCGCAGTAGTCGTTTATTCTTTATTATCATGTTTATTTACAACAAAAAGCCTTATCTTAAAGTCGTATGCCAATTTTTATCCTTGCAAGAAATTTAGTCAGAAATAAAGAGTGATTCCATATAAGTTTGGTGGTGTGTATATTTTAGTGTACCTACCTTTTGAATACCACCTCCTTGATGACCTTCGTGTTCGGGAATGTAGCTATGATGGGGTTCTATGTAACCTCCTTCTGAGGAGGGGCCATATGAAGGACCATAGTGGGATCCGTAACTAGAACCGTAACTACTTGGCCTATAAAGGTTTCCACCGTATAGGCCATCGTAGTTTCCTGAAATTTTCAGTATAATTAAAAAAAAAATAGGATATAAGTATTATAATTATTATTATTTTATGCTTTAGGAATTGCGTTCTCACCTGAGTGTCCGTATCCACTCGGTCCTGAAGGAATATATCCGCCATGCCCGTTGGCTAAACCAGGGTCGTATTCTGAAAATATTTTAAAATTATTATGCAGTTTTAGATGCATATTCCTAAAAACAAAATATTTAAATGAACAAAACACTATACTATACTACTTTTTTTTGTATAAATAAACGACATTTTTTGAAAAAATATTGTACTTTTATTATACACTGTATTTTATAATAAAATCCATAGTATGAAATTTTTATTGTTAAATTTTAATTAAACGTAGGTAGATTCTGTGTTCTGTGGGGAAAATGGGGAAACACTAGAACACCTAATCACTATGTGCGCCGAGACGACAACCATAAACTTTGGTACGATTGATATAGGATGTAAAACCGTCTGAGATACTAGCTTTTGTCAAAGCCCTGAGACTGTATGATGAGTTATAACTCAAGAAAAGGGGACAGAGTAGATCTACAGGGTGTTTCAAAAAATATGTGCCATCTCTCGTGGGGAAATTCCTTACGTAAAAATAAGATTTATTTTCCATATCAACATAGGTCCGATTCTGAGCTCCGTCACGTTGGAACCCGCTTTCAAGTAAAGTTTTCGATTTTTGGCTTATTATTAACCACAAACGATGCAATTGTTTGTAGTAAATTCAATTTTTTTGTAGTACTAATAATTAGCCAGAAAAAGTAAACAATGTAATAAAGAGAAAAAATATTGTTTTAACAAATGTCTAAAAACCTTCAAAATCGTTTGTAGTTTTATGTAGTAGCAAAAAAAACAATAAAAGATTCTTGGAATTAGTAAATTATAGTAAAATTTGAAAATTAACATAGTTTGACATAATGTCTTTAGTTGTACACAAACTACAAACGATGCAATTGATTGTAGTAAATTCAATTTCTCCGATTCTGCTTTGTTTCCTAGCTACAGGGTGATAAAGTCTTAATAATCTTTCGATTTATTATAATTTTCTTCCAAGTACTTTTAGCGATTTGAATGAAATTTCGAGGGTAAAAATTACTATATTTTAATGCTAAAAAAGTGGCGACAAATTCATCAGGGACGTGCATATGGGTTATCACTGGAATATTTTTAAAAAAAAACATGTGCGCCACTGACTTTTTTTCTTTCGATATCAAAATTGTGTAGGCCGTTTAATGCCAATTAAAAGTTATCTCTTGATATTTTGTCGAATTCGGCCTCCTTGATGAGATAAATACAATTTTATTAATCAAAATTAATAAAATTAAAATAAAATTAATAAATTATAATATATTTTACCTAATAATATTATTAAATATTATTACTATTAGTCCAACTTACAGCAATTTCAAATAAAAAATAATGGCATTTAAAAGAACTACAAAAAAACATCCTGTAACTCTAAAACTATGCATTTTCATATCCATGTTTATAGGAACTTTTTTTCATATTTTTTGTGGAGGAATAAATGACTACTTATTTAAAACTTATTAAACGCAAGTTAATGATATTAAAATTTTTTAAAGGTTGCTATTAGACTTGGATCAAGGCATATTAATAAAATTGCGTTTATCTCATCAAGGAGGCCGAAATCGACAAAATATCAAGAGACAACTTTTAATCGGCATTAAGCTGCTTAAACTCTTTCACTAATAAGAGAAAAAAAAGTCAGTGGCGTACATGCCTTTTTTAGAAAGATATTCCAGTGATACCCGATATGCACGTACCTGGTGAATATGTCGACACTTTTTTAGCGTTAAAATATGTCGCATATATAGAAATGTTTACCCTCAAATTTAATTCGAAACGCTAAAAGTACTTTTAGTAAATTATAATAAATCGAAAAAATATTAAGATTTTAACACCCTGTAGCTACAAAACAAAGCAGAATCGGACCTATGCTGATATGAAATATAATCCTTATTTTAAAGTGAGCCCTACAAGAGATGGCACATGTTTTTTTGAACACCCTGTATAAGGTCGTAGTGATTAACTTTCCTCCTCCCATAGAATCTACATCTAAAAATTTATTAAAAAAATACAGTTCTAACCAGGGTAGGGTGGCCCAGGTCTACCATCCGCATAGTACCGATCACTCGAACCTCTGTTCCAAAATCCTCTTCTTCTAGTTTCGGCAGAAGATTCGTTTTCTTGGAAAGATGACTTGTGTTGGGTTGTTCCTCTTTTATCTTTTTCGGTAAGCAGTGTCTGAAAAGTATTACAATACGATTAGTTTTGAAAAAAGCTAGTAATTTTTTTTATACATAAAACAAGATTTTTCTTAATTATGGGTCGATTGGGACCAAACTCATCTTAATACAAAGGGTATAGCCGGATTAATATGGGAAATCTGCCACCGCGGCTTTTTTAAGCTTGAATCCCTACCTATAAAAAGTAAATTAATTTTGTGTGGCGACCTGAATATTGACTTTTCCAGTGTGTGTGCAGCTAAGGAGTCTCTCCAGTCCATTTTTCATTCTTTTGGTATACTCATGCATGTTGACTCACCAACTACAATAACTAAAACTGGCTCTAGTACTATAGACTATGTCGTGTCGTCTTTTGACCCGGAATTCGTTGACTGTAGAGTCCTTTACTCAGGTTTCTCTGATCATGAGGCAGTATTGACAAAGTTTTTGCTAAAATCCAAATGCAAAAATACCTCGCGCAAATTGGGCCGTATTTTTTCGGATGAAAATTTTCTAAATTTTCACCACCTATGTCTAACAACAGAGTGGGTTGTCCTCTCGGCTGACGTCGATTCCGAATTTTCTAGATTTATGGATACCTTGTCTAATCTGGCGTACAAGGCGTTTCCTCTTAGGCCTATCAAAAGTAAACAAGGTATACCCTGGTCTACTACAGGCTTGCGTATATCTGCAAAGAACTTAGCGCTCATTATCTCACCTTAAGAAATTCACGAACAGCGTCTTCTTTCATAATTACGTGAAACTTTATAGAAAGGTTTATCGTAAGACTATGAAAGCTGCCAAAGACATTTATTATAATGCGAGGCTAGCCAAAGCCGGTAATGTCGCTAAGGAGACTTGGGCTATTGTAAATGACTTAAGGAATAAGACTTCTTCGTCTGGCACAGTCTTTAATTCACCTGAAGATTTAAACACTTATTTTGTTAATGTGGCTAAAAATTTAGTGAACACCATAACTCCTTCCCATGATTCACTTTCATATCTCCCTAAAGCAAATGAGAATTTACACAGTTTCTTCCTCACGCCCGTAGTATTAGATGAGCTCCGTAGTACAATTAATAGTATTAAAAACAAATCCTCATCTGGGACTGATGGGCTTACTCTCAAAATGTTCTCTGAACTTCCTGAATGCACATTAAACCATCTTACTACTTTAATTAACGAGTCATTCCAAAAAGGAGTTTTTCCAAACTGTCTTAAGACAGCAATAATTATTCCTCTGTATAAAGGAGGTGATAAAGATGAAGCTTCGAACTATCGCCCAATTGCACTCCTGCCCACATTATCTAAGATCATTGAAAGATTGGTTAAAAAAAGGTTTCTATCTTTTCTCCTTAAATATAAAATACTTACTACCCATCAATTTGGATTTCTAAGTAACAGTTGCACAAATGATGCTATGTTCGACCTTTTTAATAATGTATACTCTAGCCTGAATAACCATCACTCTACAGATACAATTTTCTGTGATTTCTCTAAGGCTTTCGATTGTGTAAATCATAATATCTTAATTAACAAATTGCAATACCATGGTTTCAGGGGAGTGCCGCTCGAATGGCTTAAGTCATATCTTGGCAACAGAAGGCAGCTTGTGAGGATTGATACGTCTATGTCTTCTTTGTAAGCCTATAGAATGTGGTGTCCCTCAGGGTTCAGTACTTGGCCCTATTTTATTTCTGGTGTTTATCAACGACATTGCAAATCTAGACATTAGCGGTAAAATCTGCCTCTTTGCGGACGATACTAGTTTCACTTGGAGCGGCCCAGATGTTGCGGCACTATATGATACTATATCCAGTGACTTACGCACCATTAAGTCTTGGTGCGATTCTAATCTCCTATGCCTCAACCTATCAAAAACTAAAGTTTTGTCATATAAAAGTACTATACCAACCTTTTGTACTTAATAACACTACTATTGACGTCGTGGACTCTGTGAAATTCTTAGGACTTCTTGTAGACAACTCGTTAAAATGGGACTTTCACATTGAAGCTCTATCAAAGAAACTAAGCGCTGCCTGTTTTGCGCTAAGAACAGTTTCTAAGGAACTTAACTTCTCAACCTCTAGAATAGCCTATTATGCCCTTTTTGAGTCACATCTTCGTTATGCCCTTCCATTCTGGGGTACTTGCTGCGCAACAAAATTTGATCGTGTTTTCAGACTTCAAAAGAGAGCAGTTCGATATTTATTTGGACTGAACAGTAGAACTCACTGCCAGAATTTCTTTAAAAATTTGAAAATACTGACTCTTTCTTCTTTATTCATTTTTGAATCCGTTTGCTTAATCCGCAAGCACATATCTGCTATTCCCGAAAGGCCATCTCATAACTATCCACTTAGGAATGCAGAGCACGATCTTTATCTGCCAACCCCGAGCTCAGAACTAGTTAAAGGTTCAATACTGTACAATGCCAAAAAAATGTACAATCATCTGCCTTTGAATATCAAATCGCTTTCATTCTTTCCCGCATTTCGCAAAGCTCTAAAATCATACCTACTGGAGAGAGCCCTATATGCGGTAAACGACTTTTTGTTGATGTTTAATTATGAACAATTTTGAATTTTAAAATTTTGATTATCTCACACACTGGTCAAAGGTCAAGTATTTAATATTTTATAACTTTAAAATTATATCTATTTACTGCGTACTGTTCTAAAATTGTCCATGTATATTCTTTTTGTAATTTTAAAGACTTAAATTTTTTTGAATTGTATTATTTGTATTGTGTATTTTTTGTTGTTTGTATTTTTTGTGATTTTGTTGTTTGTGAGTGCTTTGTCGATGAAGCTGTTTTGGCTTTTTGCACAATAAAGCGTTGTTTGTTTGTTTGTTTGTTTTGGTGTCGAATCAAAATAATTCACCTAAAATTTTAGCTTTTTAACTCAAACGGTTTTCGAGATTCTCAAAAAAAACTGTTTTTTCAATTTTATTTTTATAAAAATATGAAGGCTTCAAAAGTAATTAATGATTATTTTTTTTCTGATTCTTAGAAGTCTAAGACATGCAAAAATAATATGATCATGATGCTTAAGCGAAAAGCCGATTTTTAGTGGAGGCAAGAAAAATAAAATCTTAATTTTTTTAACTTTTGTTAAATATGTCACTCACTAAAAATCGTCAGAAAATGTCTTTTATACTCCTTTACATTCAGGATTTTTTAGAATTTTTTGAAGTGATGGAACAATATGAAAAAAATTAAAAACTCGTTTTTTTCTAAAATCTTCTGTTTTAACTAACACATATTTTTCTTTTTTTTAAAGTGCGTTATCCTTGCCAGAAATAGACGTAAAGATTATTATAAAAAAATTGGCGCCGGGAGGCACGTATAGCCGCCCATACTAAAATATGTTAATAAAAAGTTGGTAGGGAGTTCTTTTGTTTCAAAGTAAAGGAATTTTTCCAATATTTTTTTTATCTCAAAAACTGCGACTTTGACTGATTTTTGATGTTATTACAAATTTTGTTGCAAATATTATTTCTAATCTTAAATTGAAAACCGCGTTTCACTAGCTACTGTAATTTTGGAGTTTCCTCTCCCATACCTCCTTACCAACCCCCCACCCCCACCAAAAACTAATGGCCAGATTCTCGGATGCCACAGTATTTTTGTGCCAAATTTGGTTAAAATCGGTTTAGCGGTTTTTGGTTTGGACGGACGGACGGACGGACGGACACCATGAAAATATTTTGTATTTAGGTCATTTATGACCCAAATAACTAATTTTGAGTGAAATTAAAAAAACTTTTTTTTGCCGATCTTAATAGCCTACCATATCTGTTGGTATGGTCGGCTAAAAATGAGTCCGACTTTTGACACATATCAGCCCAAGTCTAGAGGAATCGTTTAAAACCATTTTCAAAACAGTGGGAATTTTTTCCACCAATAGACCTTTTTTTAACTAATTTGACTGGGGTCTGGGGTAATGTGTAAAGCTTCATTCAGAACCTCGCGATTAGTGGAATAAATTAGTGGTTTCAATTATTACACTTTATACTTTTTAGTTTACGATCATTCACAATGTCTAAAAACACAATTAAAATTAATAGAATATCCTAGCAACAGCTTGCTGTAGTCAGTTGTATCCATAGAGAAATCGTAATATTTAGCTTATAAAACAATCAACTTTTGATTTCTAACCACCAATTCCCTTGATGGATGATAGTCAAAGGCCAAATAATGATATTTCTCGCAAATTTTGAAGTATAATTAGTGCAAAAGTTAAAAGGTTATTAACTTTTTCTACTAATTGAAAATTCCTAACACTAATTTTGACGTTCTGAATTCTCTTACATTGAAATTAGAGGAACAAACTTAACGCTAGCTTAAACGCTAATTGAAACCACTAATTTATTCCACTAATTGCGAGGTTCTGAATGAAGCTTAAATACTAATATTACCTTTTTTTCTATCGTATTTGACACACTGTAACTTTCACTGATAGTCATTACAATAAACATGGAAACTATAAAACACTTCATTTTTATTTTCTACTGCAGCTCGCACTACGCTAGTTGCCAGCCATGGACTGAAACAAAAAATAACGAGTTATAATAATAATTTCAGTTTTATATGACCTGGATGTGCAAATCTTTTCCGATAACATATTTTTATTGTCTTTTTTGTTCAATTTTGTCGTTTTCGTCGACTCTTCGAAGGTGACATTTTCTCTATTATATATCGCCAACGAGCCGTAATGCCGAGGACTTCCAGCTTATTTTCGAGCAATTTTCGTTTATTCCGTTCCTTTTCCGAGTCAAATGTGTATACGTTGTGCTAAGCGTCAAGATCATTTTCTTTATTTTCTTTAGGAAGCGGTGAGAGCGTAGATAATTCTGCATATACCGATGTGGTCATCTAAATTGCGTGGTTTGGATTTTAACGGGTAAGATAGTGACATAGACGGCTTAACAGGGTTGCCACAAGAAAATTTTTGATTGTGCAGAACTTGACCATAAGAATGTGTTGCATTGTGTAGCCATTCATGACCAATAACTGTAAACTTTACAACAAGACGTACGTTCGTCAAATTTTAAAGCATGATTACTAGTCTTAAACAACGCTTTATTGTACAAAAAGCCAAAATAGCTTAATCGACAAAGCATTTACTGAACAAACAAAAGCACAAAAAGAAATTTCAATCAAAGAAGGAAGAGTCAGTATTTTAAAATTTTTAAAGAAATTCTGGCAGCGAGTTCTACTGTTCAGTCCTAATAAATATCGAACTGGTCTCTTTTGAAGTTTGAAAATACGATCAAACCTTGTTGCGCAGCAAGTACCCCAGAAAGGAAGGGCATAACGAAGATGCGACTCAAAAAGGGCATAATAGACCATTCTAGAGAGGGTTTCTAGATAGGGCATAATAGACCATTCTAGAGAGGGTTTCTAGATAGGGCATAATAGACCATTCTAGAGAAGTATTCTTAGAAACTGATCTTAGCACAAAACAGGCAGCGCTTAGTTTCTTCGATAAAGCTTCGATGTGCAAGTCCCATTTTAACAAGTTGTCTACAACAAGTCCTAAGAATTTCATAGAAACCACGACGTCAATAGTGGTGTTATTAAGTACAAAAAGTTATATAGTACTTTTATATAACAAAACTTTAGTTTTTGAAAGGATGAGGCATAAGAAATTAGAATCGCACCAAGATTTAATGGTGCGTCACTGGATATAGTATTATATAGTGCCGTAACATCTGGGCCGCTCCAAGTGAAACTAGTATCGTCCGCAAAGAGGCAGATTTTACCGCTAATGTCTAGAATTGCAATGTTGTTGATTAACACCAGAAACAAAATAGGGTCAAGTACTGAACCCTGGGGGACACCACATTCTATAGGTTTACAAGAAGACATAGACGTATCAATTCTCACAAGCTGCCTTCTGTTGCCAAGATATGACTTAAGCCATTCGAGCGGCACTCCCCTGAATCCATAGTATTGCAATTTGTTAATTAAGGTATTATGATTTACACAGTCTTACTTACGACTTACTACGACTTGTTTGTATACGTCAATATATTCATTTCCCATTTCATTTCCTCTCATGCCAGCAAGGATTGCAGTGACGTCAAAATTGATGCCGCGAAACTAACAATTTTATGGATAAAGTAAGAAAATCAGCTTTTGTCAGCTGATTTACTGTTCTGGTATTATTTTTTATACGAAATATGTAAATTCTCAAAATGTGTAGCTCGGGCGATTGTTGTGTAGCTGTGCAATATTGAAACAAATGTATAGCAAAGTTATTTGGTCACACATTCATATTTTTATTAAATTTAATAAAACTCAATCTATTTAAAATATTTTTTACCGAGCCTGTTATTTTTTAGGCCATCTAAAATTACTCGGAATTGATATTTTATTGCGTTGAAAGAAAACATGATATACAATGTACCAAAAGGGAGCAAGCTTAAAAGCTTACCGTATCTTGATATCCTACAGATCCTTTGGGAGTGCCAATATCATCCTTTTAAGACCTAAAGAGATACAGTGTTGATAAAATTGAGTTTGTCGTCCATCGCTTGTCAACTACTGTCATGCATATCCATAATATTTCTTGCCTCGTATAAAAAGGCCAAGGGAAGGGTCAACTACTATTTTAATATTCGAACATTATCGACTGAATATTAACTTCACTTCTTTTCTTCATTTCTATATCGATATAATAAATAAAAAAAGAGCTATAATTATATTTTACATAAAAATATTGTATCTTATTTCTATATATTATAAAATATTATATAAAATATATTTACTACAATAAATATCAAAAATACTTAATCATAAGTATCTATGGTTGGTACCCCTACCCGATAAGTCGAAAATCCTAGGGAAATAAACGAATTTTTCGTTCATTTTCCACGGCGTCTTTTTCTGGAGTGTGTAATATTCATTCCATAGGTACATGTGGGAATGTGGGATACGATAGTCTTCCTAATTCGGTAGGGAAGAACGAGAAAAAAGGGGCGCAAATTTGATTTCGAAATGGTTATTTTTTCTACGTTTTTTACTACGTTTTGATTTGGGGAAGGGGATGTTATTACAATATGCGACGTCGTTTACAAAAATTGTTTGGCGTTATGCGTTATTGTAGATGGCAACCCTATGTGTTTTTTATGTTTCGGGAAAATATGTTCTATTTCATGCAGTTTAGGAGGGCCAAAAGATCGTCATCGTCTAGTCTGTACATGTGGATATTTAAATATGGGATACAGTAACTAGGGTTCAGAACCGGGGAAGTCCGGTACCTAAAGAACTGAGAATTCCCGGTTCTTTTGAGACATCAAAGAACCGAGATTCGAAATTATTAATTCCCGGTTCTTTAGGTACTTTCGGAACTCGGTGATAATAATTAAAAACATGTTTTTTGTTACGTGCGAAAGACTTTTGATACTGTCTAGCGGTCGAAATCAAACTGTTCTAAATAAGTAGTGATGCTGTCTCTTACTGTTCTTCTAAAGTTATTTTGAAGTTTCTATAATGTTTATTAGCAATTATTGAAGTTTAAATAAGTTATTTTATTTTTTAGTATAATATTGCTGATTGCTGAATGTATTAGTTATGTTTTTTTTGTGTTGTTTTTATAGGCATTTGCATCTTTAATTGAAAATTGAAAAAGTTAAGTTTTTTTTCTAATTTAGTTGGTTTCGAGGTTGGTTGATGTTGTTTAATGTAATTTTTAAGCTACCTTTGTGTTTTCCTTTTTTTTTCGCTTGTGTTCATGTTTACTTTCTCATGATTGAATAATTATATATTATTTTCATCTAAAACTCAATTATTTATCGGTTTTACTTTTGAGAAACCATCCCTTGCTTGCTAATAATTGACGAACTCCACAATCATTGAACGAAAATATTTCAGCACGGTTCCGGAAACTCTAATTAATACTACAGGATACTACCAATTAGGGTTCAGATCTTTTTGGCCATCACAGAACCGGGCCTCGGAAACAATAATTAAAAAATTACTTCTTTTTGTTACGTGAGAAAGTCCTTTAATACTTTCTAGCAATCGAAATCACACTCTTCTAAATAAGTAATGATGCTATTTCTTATTGTTCTTGCTTCTTTTCTCTTTTGAAGTTCCTGTAATATTTATTATGTTAGGTTTTAATAGATATTTGCATTTTTAATTCAATATTTTAGGGCTTTTGTCATAAATTCAATTAAGTTGGTTTATTTTGTTTGATGTGAAATTTAAGTTACCCATACTGTTTCCTTTATTTGTGTTCATGTTAATTTTTTCACGACTGATTACTTAATAATTTAATATTATTTTAATTAAAACGGCTCGAAAAACAGCTCCGGATCCGGAAACCCTAACATTAAATATTTAAATATTAATATAACAAAATTTAAAAAAAAATCAAAAACATTTCAAATTGTCAATTTTTTTTTTCACGAAAAAAACCTTATAGATGTCTTTCTGGGGTCGAAATATACCACCCCTAAAAATATTTGCACTTATATAAGACTCACCCTGTATATGACAAAGGGAGGAAAGGCGACGGCGTATACATTCCCCATTTAATAACAATTCGAGCCATTTGCATAACTCACGGCCATTAATTTGACCGGACCATATAGTAATCGCGATGCGGCGGACCGCATGCATTCGCATTACTTTGTCCGCGGGGCACAGGGGGCGCAGTGCCCCCCGTAATTATGTCTCGATGGGCGCCACTTGCGGCCTCTGGAAGCATTTCATGTTCAAATAACGCGAATTTTATGAGCCTGCTATCAAAATACCATGGGCGGAAAATGTGGTTTACCCTAATAGGTTTAGGCGTGGATATTATACGATTAATTTAATAATTGATCAAGGAAATCCATTGAAACTTAATAATTTAGGCCTCAAGTTCCAAAACCAGTCTTATGAAACTCCCAAAAATATTGTTTCGAGATAATACGCAAAAACTGTTTTAGCAAATGTTTGTAGAGTTATTTTACAATAAACGTGTCCATTGAGTAAAATCATTGTTTTGTACTGTTTTTTTTTCTAGAAATATAAATTAATATACAGGGTGGTCCGAACTGTATTCCGGAAACTTCGGCAGCATATTCTGCAGATAAAAATAAGTAAAAAAAGTTCGTATAAATGTATGTCCTAAAATGCTTAGTTTCGGAGATACAGGGTGTAGTTTTTTGGCATAAGAAATTTGATTTTGATTCATATGACTCCTACTTGTAGAAGGCGCCACCTACATATTTTTTAACTGGTTTGAAGAGTAATAACTTTTCGTCCGTACCTGTATAAAACAACCGAATAAAAAAATATGCATTTACGATGGCGACGTTTTTTACGTAAAATAAGTCTCTTGGTAAAAAAATGGTTTTCGAGATATTTGGAATTGAAATTATCAATACCTGTCATCATTGACATAAATTAAACATGTTGACTAAATAATTATTAGACCGAAATCATAAATTTTAAATGTTTTTGTGCTAAAAGTTCAACAGAAACTGTTTTATTATAATTTTTTCGAAGAAAACATTTGTGATTAATTTTTAAAAATCTACTCAACACGTTTATTTTTTGTCAATAATGACATGTATTGACTACCTCCATTCTAATTACCTTGAGAACGGTTGTTCGTAGCATTTTTGACCAAGATCACGCAAATGTATATTTGATCACTCAGTAGTTTTATACAGTTATGGACATATAGTTATTACTTTTAAAAACAGTTAAAACATATGTAGATGGCGCCCTCTCCCTGTAGATGGCAAAAAAGAAAAAAAAATACAAAAATAATTGGGATAAGGCGGATTTTGTTGCAGTATGATGCATATTGTGGGTTTTACTACAGCAAGATATTTGCATCCTAACATGGAATTATTAGGTATGTTATTTTATTATAATTAGGTAAGGATTTGAAATGGGTAAGACGTTAGTAGATAGTAATATTATACTTGTGTAAAAAGCCTATGAAAAAAAAGCGAAATACAAAGGGATGAGACGGATTTTGCTGCAGTAATGTAATTTGTAGTGAATTTTATATAGAAATAGGAACAAAAAACACCCAGACACCAATTAATATGGTTCTCGGGATATTTGGTAGTAACCAAATATGGTAGTTAGTTCAGAAATTATTAAAAAAAAACGAAATATAAATTAAACTTCTACACCCTGTATTTGGGTATCTCCCAAAACAAATCATTTAAGCCATGATTTTATAAGATTTTTTTTACTCATTTTTATCTGCAGAATACCTTTTCCAATTATAGTTCGGACCACCCTGTATAACTACAAATTTCGAATTTTTTTCTGTATTTTCAATTTCGCGCTTTTACAGTGGCTGACAAATCAAAGAAGAAAAACCATCTTAAATACGTCTAGAATAAGATTTATGTGTTATCGACAAAGAAGGATATCAAAGCCAGAAAGCGTAATTGAAAAAATATATACAACCGGAGGCACACACGCGTATAAAAGAATCTTTCAGCGACCGCAAGATGTTACCATCTTGATGATGGATGGGAAGAAATAGCTTCAGAGTCGCAATACTGATACGTTTTGTGTAATTCGTCTTGTAATTTGTTACGTTTTTCGTTTTTAATTTCGAACGTCAAAAGGGAGAGCTAACTGCAAAACGATTGTTACCAGGAACGATCAATGAGTGATAAAGGAGAAGCAAATAGCAGTTGAGATCCTATTGAGACTATAGAATATCGCATGATCGAAAAAAACGGCTTAAATTGGCTGGAAAATGACAACCGATAACATACCATATTGGATATTGATATAGACCAAGAATACAAGGACTAATAACACCCGAGACCAAATTGTTACCATACATCCAAACAGTGTCGTGACATATATTTTTCATAAGAGAAATATTTTAACTGTATAATAAGCGGAATACCGTTATACTTAGAACTGGATGGCATGTGTCCATCAGCAGTGTACCATTAGCTGAAGAAGTATTGTGTTGGATTGCAAGACTATTCTCATCAAAAACAACTATTAAAATTATAGTAATTTAACTATAAGAGAAATATTTTAACTGTATAATAAGCGGAATACCGTTATACTTAGAACTGGATGGCATGTGTCCATCAGCAGTGTACCATGTACTGTATCTCCGAAACTAAGCATTTTAGGACATACATTTATACGAACTTTTTTATTTATTTTTATCTGAAGAATATGCTGCCGAAGTTTCCGGAAAACAGTTCGGACACCCCTGTATAGTAGGTGTCCGGAGTATTTAATTTTCGGCCTAAATACTCCTATCCCTGTCCCTGCTTTGATATGCTTGCATTTGAATAGCCCATACACTTCGGGTATTTTGTTTTGTTAAAACAAAATCACCAAAGTGTATGGGGGCCTTTAGGCATACTTTTAACACCATTCAATTAGCTACAATTTGTTGCCAAGCATTTTTTTGGCTATACGATATAGTTTTACAGATTATTACTTGCAAAATATCGAGAGCCATTAGAAATTGCCCCTCGCTCATTAAATTATAATTAAACAGTGCCTGCGGCGAAATAAAAGAGATGAATATTTTAATGG